AGAGTGAATCCGTTTTGGGTCCCCCTGAAACAGAAAAGGGGGTTTTCGAAGTGATGTCTGTGCGTGTGGATGTTTACAGAGCTGCAGATCACACCTGTGGTCCGATTTTGATGAAATTTGGTAAATACTAATCCATGGTATCTCCAGGAGTTAAAAAATTTTAAAACGGCTCTAACGATTTTGATAAAAATTTAGTATGTTATAGTCCTTCAGAAACAAAATGGTACGACTCCCTTGATGTAAAAATTACGGTTTAAATGTTATTGCAGCTTTAGTGTTTTTACTCATAAAATAGTATCATAGTTACTCCCTACGATTTAATATCATAGTTAGGGCCCCTTATTACTAATAAGATTAATAAGATAAGGGTTGTTGTATTTATAATGGGAGGAAGTATGTGTCATACTGTTCATACCGTTTTTGCTATGCAGTGGTGCCTGGGAATTGAAATGATCTCTACCTAAATAAATTATGTTAAATTGTTTCATGCTCTTCGCAATTGTAACAATTCTCAAGCAGAATTTGACTAAAGGAACTATTTAGAATAGGACTTAACGGTAATCCACAGATTCCACTTTAAAATTAATTTCCCCAAGCTGGACCTAGGCACGTACTGTAAGAAAATGCAACTCATTATTGTTGTCAGTAGTGACTTATTGCTCTATGATGGATAGTGCACGGAATCAATGGTCGACAAATGTTGTTTATGTTTTGTTGTCCGACCTTGGTCTAATATGTACCTAGTGTTATTGGTATAGACGTCTAGCCTATTGTATCCAAAAATGTTATGGATTCACAGGATTAGTTGAAATCCTAACCGCAATACACGTTAATCATAGTATAGCTTTGCAATTTTCTTAATCATATTTTGAATCATTGTATAATATTGAGACACGGACAAAAGTGATATGCGTATTTGAACCTGACTATGAATTAAACATGAGTTGATGCATTTTGTGAAGCTTTGTTTTAGTCTTTACCGGTGGTTTATTAATTATTTCCCCTACGATTTTTTGTTGAAAGAAAAACTACCAAGGATAACTGGATCATGTTTCGATTTGGAGAACAGGCAATTTTGGTATACAGTTTTAGAATACTGAGAAAGGCGAATAGCCCAGTCAAATAAAACAAAAAATTGCCCTTAGGGTGAAAAAATTCCCGGAGAGTTGGAAGTTTGTTTAAACGTTCCTTTTGTTCATTAGATTGAATAAAATAAAAAGTCCTGATGGGTGGGGGGTCGAGCTTGACAGAGGGAAGGGTCGCTTTTTTAGCTTTTCGCTTATATTTCGAAATCTGTAAGTCATATTGAAAAGTGTCAAATACAAAAGTTGTAGCTGACAAAATTCTCTACAAAAATGACTGTATGCATATTTTGTAGGACTTAACCGTTTAAAGATAAATGGTAAAGAAAATAACAGTATATTAAAATCGTGTGTTATTTTCATTTCTGTTTTTAAAGTTAGGATTAAAAAAAGTTAGTATATACTAGGGGATCCAGGGATTCTTCAGTATCATCCAAATCCACGGAATAGTCGTCTACCGGAGGGTCATTAGTGCACGCTCCTTCGCAGTTCCGCACAATGTTGAGAAGTGGATCCTCGCATTACGGCACTTTACGGCACCCACAACGTGTTCTACAACCATTTGTACAACTGCAAAAGATAGTTGAACATGAAAGAATCATATAAAGAAGACTTATGTCTTTCTCATATCTCTTTCATCAAACAGAGCTATAAGAGGAAAGGCGCAGCTCGTAGCACAGAAGGTCCTTTAGATCCTCGTAGTTTTTCTTTGTAATTGCAACTTGTTGAAATACGAGTAGTGGATCCACCACATGCACTACGTTATTTTGATAGTGCTGCTCAATGAGGCCGATAATAAGACTTTGTCTTTTCGAGCCTGTTTCATCTTCCATGCAAATAAAACACCATTTTAATATACTGCTATATTCTTTACCCGTTAGCTTTGAACGGTTAAGTCCTACGAAAAAATGCATACAGTAATTATTTTAGGGAATTTTGTCAGCTGTAACTTTTTTATTTAACACTTTTCAATATGATTTACAGACTCCGATACATAAGCGAAAAACTAAAAAAAGTCGCATTCAAAGTCCTTCCCTTAGTCAAGCTCGACCCCCACCAATCAGTACTTTTTATTTTCTTCAATCTAATGAACAAAAGGAACGTTTAAAAAAATTCCCAACTCTCCGGGAATTATTTCACCCGATTAGTCTAATATAATTTAACTGGGCTAGAAACATAGTCGATGAAGTCAGATGTTCATATACAACCTGTTATGTTATGTAAGCATGTTAAACGAAATTTTCGAATAGTTACAAGGCAAGTTGAAACAAATTAAGCCGAGTATATAGTGGGCAGTGGCTGCAAAAGCGACCAAGTGGTGGTCTTAACAGCACTTCACCATGCAATCAGTAGGGCCTCTTGTAGCCTGGGAAACAGAGAGAAATTCACTCACAACCCTTTGCATGTGATTAAGGTTCTGATAGATTTTGTAATAATCAACTAACATACTTAGTTCAACGGTTATAGAGTTCGACTAATAGTCAGAAAGTTTATGGTTGAGGCAAGTTTGTAGCTTTTTGATGATTAGAATCAGTTCTCAATGTGCTTCTCAATGGTCCTTTCTAAAAAAAAATACCCCCGCCGCAGCAAACCTGCCGACTAAGCGAATTTCCATTTGTCTGAATTGATTTTCAGTTAAATATATTTTAATAACATTAGGTTTAACGAGTACCTAGGTTTGCTGCTACAAGGAAACTAATAAAGTGTGTTTTTGAGTAAAATATTGATAGCTAAGTACAAAATAAATAAATTTGCCAAGTTTGATCAAAATATATCCATAAACAAGCAAACTACAACATTTGACAATATTCTCCATAAGAATAACATAGGAATTTGAAATTTACAATTTTTTAAATTTTCTCCGTTACTAATAATTGAGCAAAAATACTTTTATGTACTAAATTATTTGTTTTTTTAAGCTCTTTAAAAAGGACTAAAGAGAAATCGGGAAATTTTGTGTTTTGAGGGTCAAAAGTGAGAAAAACCAATTTTTACCCCATAAAACCCCCCGTAAAGCCCCGTTCCCATGGTCCGATCGTGCTGGTTCGCGAACTCATTCAAGTTTATCCCGCTTTACACCTTTAAACCAGATTTCATCAAAATCGGAAAAAAATTACTCAAGTTATCGCGTTCACGGACGTATATATATATATATATATATATAAGTCTATATATATATATAAGTCTATATATATATATATATATATACATATATAAAAATTTGAACGAATAGTGTTTTTGGCCTCTGGGGACATCAAAATGAAAAAGAAAATCGGTCCCGGCTCTAGGTCTTACCGTGCCACCTACGGTAATAGCTACTTCCCTATAGGGAAATTTGCTAAAAACTAGTACATGGTCAATATAATCACAACTGGCATTTGAAAAATCTCAATTTTTCCCATTCTGGACAAAGATTGTATTATCAGCAGGGGTGAACTTTATTTTACCCCATTGCAGTCACTGTATTATCCACCCTTTTAATTATTGCATGAGGATAAACAATTTCTGGAATATCTTACAGTTTCTGAATTAAAATATTTTCCAATTAATGACTTTATTGGTTTACTGCATCGGTTTTTACTCTTATTTTTCTGCTATCTGTCCCTTGTTCTGTGCTCATCTGATAATCAAACCTTATTTGTGTTTTCGCCATCACGTGATCCTCCATGACAGGAATGAGAGGTCTCTACTGAATTAACTGTACAGAATACACAGTATGACACTAAAAATGCGCTCCCCATGTCTTACAAACGTATCCAAGAAGTCTTCAAATTAAATACGATGATAAATTAATTTCAAATTAATTTATTCTTTAAAGTTCCGAATTTATATATGTGACGTCGATCTGAATATCATTTTAACACATTTTCAGACAAAGCTATTAAATATAATATATGAGTATCATAAATAAGTTTGTCTACTTCATCATAAAAAAAACTCATCCTTCACTCACATTTGGGCGATACGCACGTAGGTGGCGCCCCATCTCATATACTGATAATAATAATAACAGAAATGTGTAACAAGCAAACCTTTGTAATTTTGAACAAACATGGCACGCATTTCACAGTTTTCACCAATACGACAGAGGAAGGCATACAGTAGACCGAGCGTTCCTCGATATATTGAATTGATAGAGCTTGATTGGCAGCCATAGCGTGTGCCAGGATAATAGGCTGTGTCACTATGTCCAGGACCTCAGGACTACATGTGAGCAAGACAACTGCCATTAGTGAACGGGTATTAGGTAGATATCTTAAAATAACCTCCCTCATTTTCTCTCTCCACAAGACGCCATTCATTCACCAAACTATTTACCCGCAACCAAGCAAATTCAAATAACCCCTAAAAAACCTACACCCAAATAATGTTTAATCCTCCTAGAAATATCTCCACTGAGGACAGGGTGATCCTCGAGACAGTCAGCCCCGTGGATGCATGCGGCAGAGGACGTTAGTTTGCCCAGGAGCATCGGGCATCTGCCCGAAGCAGCGTTCCAGCAGGATTGGGTAGATTCTGCATGTCTACCAGTCCTTTCTTGTCAGCAGCCTGTCTGTGTACTGTGTACGTGGCACCTAGTGATCTACTCGTAGGTTTTATCCCTCCAGTATTACCTGACCTTCTGCGTCCACCTGCATATCAACATTAACGTCTCGAAAGCTTAACCTTTCAATTTGAAATCCTGCAGATTCGAAGAACAAAGTATGATCCCATCCAGTCCAATAACTTCTGCTTGACTCAGAAAGACCTGCACCTTCCTATGAGTCAAACTCGATTCCAAACTCGTTCAGACTCAAAGAAACAAACCACCAACCAACCACGTGTTTTCCGGGTTCAACCAACATTCCTGTTCAACTTCAAACTCACTAGTCAAACTGTAAAAGGTTTCTAAACGGAGTTTGGTTTTGTATAACCCACCTGCATCAAAAGATTGGGTCCACTTCCGTTATCGTTTAGTCGGAAGATGAAGGGGCCCTTGTCAGTCATCGTATCAGCTGGGGCTGGCTACTTGGGTCTCCATCCCTGAAAGAAACACGAGATGTTATTTAAATTTAGGTACATATATGTACGCAGTAGGCCTATATAGACCTATAACCATAGACAGCTGGTAATATGGTTCAATCTAGGTAAAAGATTGTTATATGGACATATATCAGGAACGCCATAGTCCTACTAACTCACTTCCTTGAGTTTCCCTCGGGTTTCGCCCCGTGGCTGTCCAAAGTTTTGAGGTGAAATTTTCAAAATTAATATTGAATGGTCCCCATGACATGATGAGACACTCATTACTGTATGTTTATCTTTGCTTTGACATTTCAATGTAAACAAGAAGAACTGCCAAATGCTCATTTCACAATTTCAGACAGCTGATCCAAAGAAATTAAATATTTTCCACAACTATGTTGTTAGATTATTAAATCTAAAACTTTATCGTAGATTATTTATTCTAAACCTATGTGAATAGTTCTGAAACTGATTTTTCTTCCTGTTTCGAAGCACGGGTACAGTAGCAAGTAAAGTGATCTATTGCTATAAATGAAGCGTAGATCTATCATCAACCATGTCTACTATAACTTTATGGGGTTCTCATGAAAGGAATCAGCTGTTTTCAGTTTGTGTCTGTATTTTAGAGTGTTTTCGCTTCGCAATATCAATCTTAAGATACGAACGGTTTACCCCTCAGTCCCTTTTATAAAAATAGCCACAAACTGTGGCTGAATGTTGGGCACCACACAAGTGGAAATATTGATACGATTCCTCAGCAAATGTCAGTGGACAAGATGTGGGTAAGTTACCCTCTGCTTGACAGTCTGAGCCGTGAGCACGCTACAGCCTGCACAGCCACAGACATTGACAAATAACACATAATGGCAGTAACTCTCCACAATCTTGTTTAACCTTTTATTATACTGGCGAATTCGTGTTCGTTTTACTTTCTTAGAGTTACTGGGGATTTCCTTCATGACTAGATTTGTTCGAGTTAATCTAATGTTTTGTACTGAATTGGTTTGAACAGCAAAAGATAATGTCAAGCAAACTCCTCAACATTCGTTTTTAACCTGTAGGGCCTACTGGTGAATTCGTGTACATCCAAGATTTTTCACTTACTACCGAGTTATTACCGAGTTACTCGGGTAGGATAAGTTTGGTTGCAGTCATTTTGGTCATTTTGTTGTCAATTGTCATTTTGGTTGGAAATTTAATTAAGTGCTTTCCAAGTCCCCTAGTTAGATAGAAACATTAGTTAGAAGGAGCTCTTCTCGATGCCCTATGCTCCCGCTGAGCGTCAGGAAATAAGTCAGTAAGTCAACATAATTGATTTTGAATGCTATTCTGGGTGGTTCGTGGAATTTCATTTACGATTTCTCATGTTATATTTAATCGAACTGTTTTCTCATGACAAATGGTAACATTCATAGCTCCATTTTCTGTACCAAACATTAATCACAAATCTCTGATAACTTTGTATTTTACTGTACACAGTGCGTTAAAATAACATAATACTAAACACTGTTCGTTGCTAATTTAATTTTTATTTAGTTCGAGGTTTGCGGCTAGGTGATTCTGGTTTGGTTCCAGTTTACGGTTCTGATTGGTTTGGAAGTTTGATTTAAATTACATTAAAGGGAAGATTGATATAAAATAAGTGTATTCCAACCTATATCATCCAGTTGCCAAATCAACCCTGAAAACAATCAGTAACTATACCCCCCTGTCCTTGAACATTGGAATGGTAAATGGTTCCTGCTAAGGGAACAGCTGGCAGTCAGTAACGAAGCCACACAGATCATCACACTCCATTCGATTCTATACTTTGATTTCATACTTAGCTTAAAACACGTTCTCGGGATATATCGGTTCATTCATTTATTGTCCTGTAGTAGACCGTCTTACCAGTAATCACAATTTTAACAGTTTTCTAGATGACTAACGTCTTGTTCATGTAAACTAGTAAACTACAAAATAAATGCTGTAATGCATATCTAATTGGTTTTTTCCCTTAAACAACTATGTAACTGAATGTATGTGTTGGAAAACCCTCCGTTGTTTGCTAAAGTGAACTTTTAAACAGAATAAAATGAAACTTATTTTGATTCACTCAAACTTACTTAACGTAAAACGAAGACATTAAGTTCCGTTTCTAAGTAAAAGATGTTTAGTCTATGATAAAAGTTTAAATGCTATGTAAACCTTAAATTTTGGAATGCATATTGATCAACATATCCCACGATACCAAATGTTGCGTGTGCTATCTGCGGCTTAAAGCACGCGGCAATGCGAGAGTAATAAGATCTCGTTACATAATTGTTTTTATTTTATCCCAAAATTGCATACTTTATTGTGAATACTCTTGGTAGATTATATTTATAGATTAATGCTTATTATTAAGATTAATAGTAATGCTTGCTATCGTATGGTATTTACGTATGGGTTTACTTTGAGGAATCGACCGTTCGACAAAAAATATAGAAAACAAAACTTTGGATTTTTCAAGTAATTAAATATTTTACAAATATGGCCAAATAGATGAAGTACTTTTAAAACCATCGAAATTCAAAATTTTATTTATTTTACTTTTTGTATCTACGCAAATGTTAACGTTTTTGTGTTAGGGAACGATCCAAGCACTATAGTTCGGCCGCTTAGAAAGCGACCTCCTCTAGCATTGGTTTAGCATTAGCGCGCAGGTCGTTTTCTAAGCGGCCGAACTATAGTATTGTTATTATATAAAACAAATTTTAGTTACTTGTTTTGATATCACTAGCTTCTATTGAGGTCCGTGTGGTAATAGCTATTTACCTTACAAGTGTAGTAAGAGCGTTTTTACATCACGCAGGTAAACGTTGTGCAACGAGCGGAAGCGAGTTGCATAATTCACCTAAGTGATGTAAACACGCTCTTGCGTAACGTATAACGTACAAGATTTTATCTGACCCGACAATATACATTGGGTTACGTACAATATTTTTTATTATCCATTTCACTCATCTTCTAACAGTAACGTTCTTTACAAACAAAAGCTTAAAGCTAGGTTAGGAAAATTAGCAAAACTAAAACAATAAAATTCAAGCGCTCAGCTGATTTCTAGCGTTAACGTCGTTGGCTTCATAGAGGTATATCCTATACTCTAATATGAGAAATGTTTGCTTGTATGTATGTATGCTTGCTTGCACAAAGATCTCGAAAACGGCTCCGACGATTTTCTTCAAATGTTGTAAATAGTTTATTTCTGGCCTAAAAACGAGTTTACTGCAGTTAGAACTGCCAACAAAAATCTAATTACGTAGAAAAATGAAACTGAAAATCACATTTTTTTAACATTAGTCTTATGGGTTGCTAGGTAACCATGTTGGCTGAATTAAATAACAAGGAAAAAGTAAGCAAAAGACTTGAAGTTGTAGCATGTGTTCATAATAAGCCAACTACCCACAGTATATTAGCAAATTACAAATACAGTACAAAAGGAAAAACATCCCTTGTTAATATTTAGCAAAGATTATACTGAAGATTACTCGATACATTGTAGTCAAGGGTAGCAGCGCGAAGTCTGGGATCTGTTGATGACGATTAGATTAAGGTATCTGCAATCCTAAAATGCTATGGGAAGGGAAGGAAACAGGTCCGCGACGTAGGAAGTAGTGAAGGAAGTAGTAAAGGCAATCATAAAATGCTATGGGAATAGAGAGAAACAGGTCCGTGACGTAGAAAGTGATGAAGGAAGTAGTAAAGCGAGCAGTCCGGAGTGTGGGGATTGTTTATGACGATAAGATTAGGGTATCTGCAATCCTAAAATGCTATGGGAAGGGAGGGAAACAGGTCCGCGACGTAGGAAGTGGTGAAGGAAGTAGTCAAGGCGAGTAGTCCGGAGTGTGGGAACTGTTTATGACGATTATATTAAGGTATCTGCAATCCTAAAATGCTATGGGAAGGAAGGAAAACAGGTCCGCGACAGAGGAAGTGGTGAGGGAAGCAGTCAAGGCGAGCTTTCCGGAGTGTAAGAACTGTTTATGACGATTAGATTAAGGGTATGGGCAATCCTAAAATACTATGGAAAGGGAGGGAAACAGGTCCGTGACGTAGGAAGTGGTGAAGGAAGTAGTCAATGCGAGTAGTCCGGAGTGTGGGAACTGTTTATGACGATTAGATCCACGCTATATGATATATGGTTCGATTGGTATACCATATATCACATAAGGAACTGGAAGTTGTTCTGGTTTGTTTTGGCATCTGCAATCCTAAAATGCTATGGGAAGGGAGAAAAACAGGTCCGCGACGTAGGAAGTGGTAAAGGAAGTAGTCAAGACGAGCTGTCCTGAGTGTGGGAACTGTTTATGACGATTAGATTAAGGTATTTGCAATCCAAAAATAACTAATATAATGGTTTTAAATACCTTCAGTCACCAGTTAAAAATAGTCGGCTATTGCGACCTAGGTTTCGGCACGAAGTTGTACCATCAGGCGGGCCAGTTTTGAGTGAAGGTGACTGAAGGTATTTAAAACCATTATATTAGTTATTATAACCAGTTCAGGGGCAATCCCACATCTTATGATGTCGAAATTAGAAAATAAAAAAAAATTAATCCAAAAATGCTATGGGAAGGGAGGGAAACAGGTCCGCGACGTAGGAAGTGGTGAAGGAAGTAGTCAAGGCGAGTAGTCCGGAGTGTAGGAACTGTTTATGACGATTAGATTAAGGTATCTGCAATCTTTAAATGCAATGGGAAGGGAGGGAAACAGGTTTGCAACACAGGAAGTGGTGAAGGAAGTAGTAAAGGCGAGTAGTATGGAGCGTGGGAACTGTTTATGACGATTAGATTAAGGTGTCTGCAATTCTGAAATGCTATGGGAATGGAGGGAAACAGGTCAATGACGTAGGAAATGGTGTAGGACGTAGTAAAGGCGAGCCGTGTGGAGTTTGGGAATGGATTTATGTATCTCCAATACTAAGACTGCTTTTAGAGTGAACTAATGATTTTCTCCGAGCAAAGCTCGGTCCCCAGGTACTATTTTTTAAGTTGAGCACTCAATGTTATTTAAATGGGTTTCATTACCTCACCGAGTGAGTTTTTTATCACTCGTGAAGTAAAGAAGTTGTATACATCACGCCTGGGATAGGGAAGCTTAACATGGCGGGTTAGGTAAAAGTCTGTTAACGGTACTTTGATTTCACTCATAATCATTTTAGAACGTGTCTCAATTTAAACATTCTAGCCTTGAAACAGCTGTAAACATTCTTTAATTCTTTTTAATATGAATATCCATAAGGTAAACATGGGAAATTCTAGAGCCACTGGGGCGGAGGCCTAAAGGATTTTTGAGATAATAATATGTCTATACGTTAATCGGGAATGTGAGCTATCATTATACCAAATTTCAACCCAATCCGACCAGTAGTTAATGCGTGACTGGACTTCACACAAACAAACAAACGCACAAACTTGTTATAATATTTATAATATTAGTATGATTATAACAACTACAATACTTAATTTTTATGTTCTTCATTTAAAGTTTTAGTTGAACTAGTAAAATTGATTATACTATTAAATAATGTAGCCTAATTACCTAACCTTACTTTGTATGATGAACGTATAGTTTATTGAAACTGTAAAACTAACTTTGGTTGTTCGTGTTTTCATAAATTAGAATAAACAGTTCAATGCAAATGGTAGATATTACCAAAGAATAATACAATACAATAGAATATAATGTATTCGAGGAGGCTATGGTATAGTACGTAAACATCCAGATAAATTCCAATTCAAGTTACAATCCCAATATAGACTTTATACTGTTTCGCATTATTATTATCATTATCATCGCATTATTATCATTTAACGTAATACTAACTTAACACAGTGGTGGCACAAAATAATTTCTAACTTCTTACTACGTGAAACAAACTGTACTCACTTAAAATCTAAGGATGCCAACGGAGTAGATCATGTAGTGCACAAGTTGAGTGAAGCACATAAACAGTCCATCATGATTCACGCCAAAATATACAGATATTCGTACATTTTCAAATAAAGGCTACCAAGTCTGTTACGCGAGTATACCCGAAAATTAGGTCGAAGTGTGTATTAGGCCGGGTCGCAACGGTGTGTGCCTCGCACGCGACCGAGGCTTGCTTATGTGTACCACCCATCCCAACCCACCCAACCCAACCCATCCCAACCCCGCCAACCCACAAACACTAAACTCGTGCGGTTTATTCAGAACCATTGACAGGAAACATTGAATATCGATTACATAGTGAAATGCTATTTCGAGATTTCACCCTGTTCTCATTGACCCTTCCGCGTTAGCTCGTGACAGCGTTCCTGGACTGACTTGCGTTAATGTAGATAAAATAACGAGCTTAGGTTCCTGCTGATGGTAAACATAAATTATTATCGAGTTCGGGCTACACATGATGTGGTTACTAACATTGTCAACTACTTTGGTGGTAAATCATCTCTTCATCTGACAATTATTGTATGAACCTTACATCTTACATGCTGATGATTATCCTATTGAATGGCATTGCCATTGAAATGCATGTTCGCATCTATATATTAATAGGCAAACATGTTTCTTGAAAACCTTTTTTCTCAGCTCGTATGCATTGCAGGGAAAATCTACGCATACTCTTGAAAATAATATGCTTTCCTGTTGATATGCAGAATCCCTTTAGAAAAATGGGCTTAAACATAAGCACAAAAAATATTTTTAAATTAAATAAAAATATTAACATGGGCCTTATGGGTTATCATGCTGGTGACGAAATAACAACGAAATATAAACAAAAATCTAAACAAATTCCAATCACATGTTTTATTTACAGAGTGGGTGAAATTATAGTTAAGTCATTAAATATTTTTGGTCGAGTTTTCGACCACTGGACGACCTCTAGTTTGTATTATTGAACACTGAACAGGGTTCCTGTACTGACGACATCTTCAATACCGACATCTCTTGAACATCTTTTTAAGAGGCGATCTTTGATCTGTTAGCAAAACGTAATACCAAAGGAGTAGACAGCGGGAGTGCCTACTCCTTAATCTATGGTAATACACGTAACCAAAGTTTATAGATACTAATAGCTCGAATCGTTACCATTTAAATGTAAAGTTTACGTATTCAAACTGATCAATGCAGTTTGACAGTTCAAAGAGCAAACTAGCCTATAATTTATCACAGTATAGTAAAATGACTAAAATTATCCCTATAGCCAATAAATCACAACTGAAATAACAATTTGGGGTCGGGTCGCATGCTATATGGATAAAAATACAAGGGTAAATGGTATAGAGCAATTTATAAGTTCGCTCATGCTTTCAGCGCCGCGTTTCTTGATTTATGATCTTGCGATTGTTTAGAATCATCTGCTCTACCGCTCACGCTATTGCCTTTAATGGATACGCTCATTTATAAGTATTAAATAACATCTGTTAAACTACCTGCTATAATTTACAGAGCGGGGACCGCGTGCACGTAAAGTTTATTAATATAGCATTCAACTTTCTGCCGGGAACTACTAACATCGAGTCTTGTGTATTTTAAGTTCATGAAAAGTGCTACGACATCATGCAAGTTTTAGCTCAATAATTCATGTTTATAGCTGTCATTACAAGTTGCAAGTTTAACTTTGGGTCTGTGGAATTAATGTTTTCTTTATCAAGGTTTTATTGGCCTAAGCATAAAGTTTGAGAATTGCCAAGTTTGTCATGAAGAAAAGTAAAACTGATTCTGCGACTATTTGCTTCTGATTTGTGCCAAGGAACGATGGACGAATTTAAAAAGCCAAAATAGGGAGTAGGGCCTTTTCTAAACGATTCTTAGATCAATATAAATTCTTCTTTATGTCGAGTAATGATTTAATTACATGGTGATTATTTAGTAAATATGAGATTATATTTTTACCTGCAAATTTCAGGTTTAAGTCTATAACCCATAGGTTGTTTGTGCTGCTTTATACGCACGTTATTCAAATTTTAGGCAAGCTAATCTTTAACTTGCACAGTTAAAACAAAAATCACACTACCCTCTACTTGTACTAACCTGTTTAAAATATTTTGTCCCAAAATAGTAATAATGATCTTCGAGCACGTATACTTAAGTTAAAAGTAGGTTACCGGTACCCGGTTACCCTGTAATAGTTCATAACATTCAAAGATTTTTTAAACGTGTTTGTAAAGACATAATTTTTTACTTACATGTCAAAGAACTAAAATTTACTTAAAAGAAGAACGAAATAAATCTCTATTCTACAATCAAAATGAAGACCAGAAACATCATCATTAAAAGAAGGAGATCGACTCTCAATGGTCACTAGCCACTGTTTATAATTCCAAAACTCTTATTTTTATAAGGAAGAATTTAATGAAACATTTAGGTTTAATTTAATTACAGTAGTATCAAAACCAAATCGAAACACAGAGCATTGTTGAGTACGGTACATGGCGTGTAAGACTGCCCAGAAACCGCTCAACTGTCATGTAGACATTGCTATCCTATCTCCACGCTAGGCTACATGGGCGGTTGTCGCTAAAATGTGATTTATTATACTCGGCTAACTTGTAAACAATTTGCTTATCTGCCAACATGACTGACATTCTACTGACACTGACACCAACTTGGAATAAACTGTTCCAATCAAAGAATGCCATCTTCAAAGTAGAATGTTGGATGAAGGAGGAGTTAAAATAGCGATTTACTTTATTGATTTTAATTGTTACCTATTTCAAATAAGAAAATATACATGAACTAGCTGTACCCGCGGGCTTTGCCCCGTTTAACTTCACAAGTGAGCTCGTTCGCATGGCTCAATCACGTCCTGGTTGAAGTTCGTTCGCTACGCTCACTCACCTTTAGGTTGGAGCTCGTTCGCTCCGCTCACTTGCCTTCAGGATAGCTCGTTCGCTACGCTAACTTGCTTCCAGGTTGAATTTCGTTCGCTACGCTCACTCACCTTTTGGTTGCAAATTGGCTGTAGTCATAAATTTAAAAAAAATAATAGTGCTGCACCCTGTTGGTAATCCTTGTAACTTTAATGCTATTGAACATCATAGAACAGAACCAACTTGTTTAATTGAAACAGCTGTTAAGAAATTCCTTTTAAATATGAAAAATCATAAGGTTAACATGGGAAACTCCAGAGCCACTGGGGCGGAGCCCGAAAGCCCGATCAGGATAAAAACTACTTAGTTTTCCTATTTAATGCCCAAAGAATCGGTGTACCGAATTTCAGCCTCCTAGGTAAATGGGAAGTGGGAGAATTAGTGATGAGTGAGTGAGTCAGTCAGTCAGTGAGGGCTTTGCCTTTTATATATTTAGATACAGCAGTCAAACGGAATTAGTATATTACGTAACTAGTCCTGAAAATAAGTGTTTACCGGACGTATGGGATAACCATACGAGTCCGGTACACACATTTTGGACGAGTTACGTACGATAGTTTACGCCATACTACCATTGACTATTGGACAGTCAAAGATACTACCACTAAATCTGTACAAATCCTTATATCCACCAACTAAAGGACTAAAAATTACGAGTCATAACCTGTAGAGAGGTTATGTTTTTGTTTATAACCACTCATTGCCACCCAAATACAGTATAATCAGCTGATTGGTGTCCAGTAAAACTCATTACAGTACAGTAGTACGCAATGAAACCCCATTTGATTAAGCAGGCGGCAAACAGCTGTTTTCTGGACTAAATCCTTGCGTGGGAAGTTCGTCAAAATAGTGTAGTGTGGCGTAATAGCTATTTACCTTACAAGTGTAGTAAGAGCGTTTTTACATCACGCAGGGGAATGTTGTGCAACGAGCGGAAGTGAGTTGCATAATTTACCCAAGTGATGTAAACACGCTCTTGCGTAACGTGTAACGTACAAGATTTTACCTGACCCGACAATATACAGGAGGTTACGAACCATATTTTTCATTATCCATTTCACTCATCTTCTAACAGTAACCTTCATTTACAAACACAAACTAGGTTAGGAAAATTCTTCAAAACATAACAATAAAACTCAAGCGCACAGCTGATTTCTAGCGTTGAACGTCGTTGGCTCCGTATATTTTTTAAGTTAAGCACTCAATGTTATTTAAATGGGTTTCATTACATCACCGAGTGAATTTTTTTCAACTTAACATCACTCGAGAAGTAAAGAAGCTGTATACATCACGCTTGGGATAGGGAAGTTCAACATGGTGGGTTAGGTAATAGTATATTTCGTACCTAGGGCCGAAAATGAGGTTTTGCCGGCTCGAGATAGTTTTTAAGTTCGAGACGAAGTCGAGAACTTAAATCGATCGAGAGCTGCAAAACCATTTCTGCCCGTGGTACGAACGCTATTTTTCACCACACTATACCCTATTACCACTATTCACCACTATAATAATGCACACTGATAGTCAACACAACTACAACATTAAGGTTATGTAAAGAAATAATTTGAGGAATCAGCAAAAATAAAAATAAATAGTTGCTAGGCAACGGTGACAATAACACAATTCTATTGCAATGCTATGGATTTTGATTGTGTATTTAAAATGCATTCATGTTTTAAGTAAGTAAGCGGACAGCTGATTTTGCGGCCCCGGCCTGTAAAAACCTGCTCGGTCCCCAAATTTCGATGACAGCTGGCATGGCCAGCAAAACGTAACTTTCAGCCACCAATTAACGTATGTAATACAGCCAAAAACATCATAGTGTGGTGAAAAAGATTTTTCTACTTACAGGTTTGTTGTTCCGTGATTGATAGAATCATGTTGGTAAACACACAGTATTGAATGACCTACAATAGCTTCCTCTAATACAAAAGGTTACAAGCATTGAAAATATAACACTATAGTGTTATATTCAATGGTACAAGGCCACGGCATTGGTGTGTGACAACAATGTATTCATTGGTGAACTGACCTGTCTACAGTCCACCCGCCGGCCGGCTGGTTACCACGTAAACATGGTCCTACAAAAAAGAACCTCGTGGCATTATTTAAGTGTTTATAAAATTGAAATGAACTTTAAAATATTCACAAAGATCCAAAGTACACCCTGGATAAACTGAAACTTCAAATTTGTTTTATTTACAAAATTATTTTAAAAACCTGTAAATTAGACTTGTTTACATGTGTTTTTATCTTAAATAATAGTTTTAACACTACCCCATCATGGTAGGTGCCTAAATATACTGTAGATGTCAACTTTTGTAAAGCCTTGAAATGTATGTGTGTTCAAACAGACTATTATTTGTGCATTATACATACTAGTGCTAGGACTTCAATGAATACCGGTAACTTCTTGATCAGCATCGTACTGTTATTAAATTACCTGAAAAAAAACCAAAAATAATATATACGTCTAATAACACTTGTAATAATATATTTACACTTATACTGTTGACTCACAAGATGGTAAATACATATAAAAGTTGGTAAGTGGTGATCGATTTCAATTGGACACTCCAATCATCATCAGACCCAACCCAATAGGCGAATGCACCAACTTTTATATGTATTTACCATCTTGTGAGTCAACAGTATAAGTGTAAATATATTTTATTACAAGTTTTATATTAGATGTATATATTCTTTTTGTTTTTTCAGGACTTCAATCAAATAGTATCTAGGTAGTTAGCAAAATTATTTTTTATTACTTACGTTATTTATAATGTAGGCCTATGTATACAAATTAATATAATTAAGTTTTAGGTTGGAATGTTCAGGCCAGCTTCTTTATCTACAACTGTCTCCAACTATGTAACTTGTGTGTCACCTGTCATTGATGTATACAATCTGACAAATATTATGTCAAAAATTACATTGATGCAAGACATCCATAAAATAAATAATACTGTCTGTTATAGAAATATTTATTTAAAATAATCCCATACATAACAACAATGTAAAATAAAAAAATATAAATTAACATAACAATGTTTTAAAAACTCACTCTTATTTGTGCAAGTTAAAGTCAAATAAAATGTATTCAAATAGTCTAAATATATTATGAGTCATGGTAAGATTTTTGGATATAAAGTATTGTCTTCCAAAATATTACTATACTAGTAGTGGTATCTTTGAGCATTGAATCTAAAAAGTCATTATGTGGCTAACATACTGCAGCAAACGAACAGCCTGTCTAAAGTAGCTGTATAACTCCCTAGGAAGTAAAAGTCAGCTCAGTTTAGTGTCGAAAAGATTCACTTTACGTCCTAGTGATGAAATTAACTGTAATTCGTTTGGATCCACTAATCTCCGCATCCACCCGATGTTTTTGTAAAAAGATGTTTTAAACTGATCTACAGTAAATTAAATCAGTTTCTGATAATCGTACATTTTCGTCCTAATCTTGTCAGTATTTAATTTGCGTATTCTGCATTGATAGCTCTTCCGATAACTAATCTTCGCACTTCAGTTGTACCAGCCCCGATCTCGTAAAGTTTGGCGTCCCTCAGTAATCGTCCAGTGGGGTAGTCATTTATGTATCCATTTCCACCTATAAAAATCAGAAGAGGTTGATTATTTTATATATTTTTGTTTTGTTTCACTTGTTGATACCACTGTTTTATCACAAGATACCCCCTGTAAGAATCCATTTGGTTAGGATTTTTACGATCATGTATATAGTGTATAACACTCGTATACTTACACTTTCAAGCTCTGTCCATCGTTACAATCAAAAATACGAGTCACAACCGGTGTGTAGCACACTGTTTGGTATATGTACAATTATAAGGCTGTATTTCTTTGTGAACTCAGTGGTTTACTAATTTTCACACAAAAGGTGCGGTTTAGAAACCCATCCGTTTACTTTTAAGCACACCTCTGATGGTTCAAACTTTTTTAAAGTTCAGACTATGGTCCATTCTAAAAAGGTATCTGAGATTGAGTTTATTGTACTATTGTTAAAAGATAAAACGTCTAAACATCTAACAGAAATATAAAGACCTAGTGTGACATTCTTACACCCTGCTCTTCACTGCAATAAATTGTGATGATTAATAAGCTTCTGTCCTTGGTATAGGTCCTTGATCCATTGTTATCAGATATGGAATTAATTAAATTTTGTATATACTTTTATCTAAAAAGGCTTTTATAAACAACCCAATCACTGAACCAATTAAATTTTAACTTTCCTAGGTAGCCGACACCTGTATAGAACTCCAGTACGCCAGTCCACCCGTCCACTCGTCTAGTCTAGTGCAGTATGAACGAAGAACCACCTCGTGCTCAGATTCAAAGTTTACATTTGCCGGTTCGATACCAAGAGGTTCATGACCCAGATGTAATTTTATGTTGGGCTATTAATTGGTGCTAACACAAGAGTGACATTTTTCATTGCAAGGCCACCGGACTATTCCCTTACAAAAACATAAAAAGTTGATGACGTTGAAAAAAAAAACATGAAATATAATTACATATTACTAAGTACTTTAGTTAAAAAAGAGGTACTACTAAGAGGTAAAAAAAAACAAAATCATACCCAAACACTGTATTGCGTCTAGAGCCATTCGAGTAGCAGATTCGGCACAGAACATGAGCACACCCGCACAGTCTTTGCGGTTTACACTGCCTGAATCACAGGCCCTGGCAACACTGCGGCAGAAACACTGTCAGGCACTCTTACAGTTACATCTAATATTTAACACTAGATATTATTACTGAATCTATTGTTACGCGTATAGGTGGCGTCCCCATCTCAAATGAATGTGAATATCAGAATGATTTCTATCTGACAGCAACACCACAGGTGCGTATTTGAAGCTCGTTTACCCTGAGTAAAGTCAAAGTCAGTAGCTTTTTGAAAAGTTTTCTGGCTAAAAAAAACATCTGATCTCAGATTAAAGTACGGCTCTGACACCAGGGTGTCTATTTAATACAAAATGAGTGTTTTGACAAAGATCAGCTAGGACCATTAAAAAAGTCCGGAGTTTTCTCGGGATTAAACCGGCAACCTTCAGATTAGTCGGCAAGCACTGTATCCAATCAACTACATTGCCAACCAAACGGTTACAAAACTGCACAGCTCATTTCATTCTAGACATCCATCTACACCTCCATCATTAAGTAAGCCCACAAAACATTTTGTGTTTTAGTCAAGTAAAAAAGTGACATTTAGCTAAAAACAGATGTCCAGTAAAAGTAACATTAATAATTAACTGATCGGTTTTCCCTCGCCCTAAATTAGAGAGCGGGAAATGACTACTGTCATTGATTCGTTAAGGAGTGATGAAAAAGTATTTTTGTTTTTGATTGAAATGTACCGTAGTAATTAATGACAAACCTGTATAAATAGCTGCGACATGCGCTTAGATGTATGTACATATCTGCAAGTTTGCTCTGAAACAAGATACAAATGAGAAAAAGAGAGCATACACATACAAAGAGTAAAAACTTGTCTACTGAGTTAACCGTAGGTACTGAAAATAATAGAATTTTGAGTTTTATTTAGTCAGTCACAGTGGTGAGACAGTGCTGATCAGCCTTAAACATTTTAACCACTTTTATCACTTTTTAGCGAATTTCCCTATAGGGAAGTATTAGCGAATTTCCCTATAGGGAAGTAGCTATTACCGTAGGTGGCACGGTAAGACCTAGACCCGGGACCGATTTAATTTTTCATTTTGATGTCCCCAGAGGCCAAAAACACCATTCGTTCAAATTTTTATATATGTATATATATATATATATATATATATATATATATTAAAACCGCAATAGATAGAAATATGCAGTTGGCGGGAATCATCTATTGGCGTAGGGGGCACAATTTTTTTTAATTCAACGTTACATTTACATTCCCCCCCTTTCCCCCCTGCCCCCAACTTAATTTTTTTAAATAGCAAGGTACCCCTTGTGACATATCAAATAAAAGAGCATGAAAAAAGAAAACGTTTGATGAAAAAAAATTGAAAATCGGTTCATAAATTTGTGAGATATTCCCCCCCTCCCCCCCCCCCGGAACTTAATTTTTTTAAAAGCAAAGTACCCCTTGTGACATATCAAATGAAAGAGCATGAAAAAAGAAAATTTTTGGTGAAAAAAAATTTAAAATCGGCTCATGAATTTGTGAGATAATCCCCCTCTTTTTCCCCTAACCATAACTTGTTTTTTAATAGCAAGGTACCCGCCCTTGTGACATATCAAATGAAAAATAAATTTCACCAAAAATTTTCTTTTTTCATGCTCTTTCATTTGATATGTCACAAGGGGTACTTTGCTATTAAAAAAAAATCAAGTTCCGGGGAAGGGTAGGGAAATATCTCGCAAATTTATGAACCGATTTTTAATTTTTTTTCATCAAACATTTTCTTTTTTCATGCTCTTTCATTTGATATGTCACAAGGGGTACCTTGCTATTTAAAAAAAATAAGTTGGGGGGAAAGGGGGGAATTTGAATGTAACGTTGAATTCAAAACAATTGGGCCCCCTACGTCAATAGATGATTCCCGCAAACTGCATATTTCTATCTATTGCGGTTTTAGCGAATTTCCCTATAGGGAAGTAGCTATTACCGTAGGTCTCATGGTAAGACTTAGGCCCGGGACCGATTTACTTTTTCATTTTGGTGTCCCCAGAGGCCAAAAACACCATTCGTTCAAATTTTTATATATGTATATATATATAGGTATATATATATATAGATTTATATATATATATATATGTGTCCGTGAACACGATAACTTGAGTAATTTTTATCCGATTTTGATGAAATTTGGTTTGAAGGTGTAAGGTGGGATAAACTTGAATGAGTTCGCGATCCAGCATGATCGGATCATGGGAACAGGGTTTTATGGGGGGTTTTATGGGGTAAAAATTGGTTTTTCTCACTTTTGACCCTCAATACACAAAATTTCCCAATTTTTCTCTAAACCTTCTTAAAGAGCTTTAAAAAACGAACAATTCAGTATATCAAAGTGTTTTTGTACAGTTATTGGTTACGGAGAAAACTAAAAAAATGGTAAATTTAAAATTCCCATGTTATTCTTATGGAGAATATTGTAAAATGTTGTAGTTTGCTTGTTTATGGATATATTTTGATTAAACTTGGCAAATATATTCATTTTATACTAAGCAATACTTTTTAGCGAATTTCCCTATAGGGAAGTAGCTATTACCGTAGGTGGCACGGTAAGACCTAGACCCGGGACCGATTTACTTTTTAATTTTGATGTCCCCAGAGGCCAAAAACACCATTCGTTCAAATTTTTATATATGTATATATATATATATATATATATAGACTTATATATATATATATATATATATACGTCCGTGAACGCGATAACTTGAGTAATTTTTGTCCGATTTTGATGAAATTTGGTTTAAAGGTGTAAAGCGGGATAAACTTGAATGAGTTCGCGAACCAGCACGATCGGACCATGGGAACGGGGCTTTACGGGGGGTTTTATGGGGTAAAAATTGGTTTTTCTCACTTTTGACCCTCAAAACACAAAATTTCCCAATTTCTCTTTAGACCTTTTTAAAGAGCTTAAAAAAACAAATAATTTAGTATATAAAAGTATTTTTGTTCGAATATTAGTAACGGAGAAAATTAAAAAAATTGTAAATTTAAAATTCCCATGTTATTCTTATGGAGAATATTGTCAAATGTTGTAGTTAGCTTGTTTATGAATATATTTTGATCAAACTTGGCAAATTTATTTATTTTGTACTAAGCTATCAATATTTTACTCAAAAACACACTTTATTAGGTTCCTTGTAGCAGCAAACCTAGGTACTCGTTAAACCTAATGTTATTAAAATATATTTAACTGAAAATCAATTCAGACAAATGGAAATTCGCTTAGTCGGCAGGTTTGCTGCGGCGGGGGTATTTTACTTAAAACACGAACTTGATTAGTTTCCTTGTAGCAGCAAACCTAGGTACTCGTTAAACCTAATGTTATTTAAATAGATCAATTGAAAATCAATTCAGCCAAATGGAAATTCGCTTAGACGGCAGGTTTGCTGCGGCGGGGGTATTTACATAAATAAAGATGCAAGTTTTAAAAAAAAACACCCTGTATATATATATATACGTCCGTGAACGCGATAACTTGAGTAATTTTTTTCCGATTTTGATGAAATTTGGTTTAAAGGTGTAAAGCGGGATAAACTTGAATGAGTTCGTGAACCAGCACGATCGGACCATGGGAACGGGGCTTTACGGGGGGTTTTATGGGGTAAAAATTGGGTTTTCTCACTTTTGACCCTCAAAACACAAAATTTTCCGATTTCTCTTTAGACCTTTTTAAAGAGCTTAAAAAAACAAATAATTTAGTATATAAAAGTATTTTTGTTCAATTGTTAGTAACGGAGAAAATTAAAAAAATTGTAAATTTAAAATTCCCATGTTATTCTTATGGAGAATATTGTCAAATGTTGTAGTTTGCTTGTTTATGGATATATTTTGATCAAACTTGGCAAATTTATTTATTTTGTACTAAGCTATCAATATTTTACTCAAAAACACACTTTATTAGTTTCCTTGTAGCAGCAAACCTAGGTACTCGTTAAACATAATGTTATTAAAATATAATTAACTGAAAATCAATTCAGACAAATGGAAATTCGCTTAGTCGGCAGGTTTGCTGCGGTGGGGGTATTATTCCATTTTAATAATTTGATCAACATGACTAGTTCTGACTATTGTGATTTTGACAGTATTTTAAAGAATCTTTTGATATACTACAATTTATTAATACATTGATGATGTGGTTGCATACAATGACCTGACAAAGTTCTAAGGAACAAAACTAGTTGTCATACCATCAACTGTGGTTGGATAAGGTAATCCTTTTATTTTATCAAGAATTTAACCCTTGTAAACTCCTGTGATGGACTCTTGGAATGTAAAGAACAAAATCAAATTATAGCAGAAAGTTACTGTAACTTTCTTGTTAAGTTAATTTATTAAATAATTTGTCTCTGTCTGCCATCTACAGTTCACAATCTCACCAGGCCAAGTTTATATGGGCTGACTGGACTATATCCAAGAGCACCAAGTTTTTAGGAGCAGAAAATTTTCAACATACATATTTACATTAGATCTTCTTATTCACTTTTCGGTCGCATTCACGGTCGCGGTTACCTGGCGACGGTGACACAAGCAGCGGGGTGCATGTTCATCTCATTCGGCACTGTTGGTGTACGATTGACTTGTACTGGGTCTGCGTTAAATATTTGTGTAATACAGGTCTTGTCACTGTGTTCTAATAACACTGACCAACTTTTCTAGTCTAAAGTACAGCAGAAATTACAACAAATATAGATACTTTCTAACTCACCTGGATAAGCTGAAAATGTCCCACGGGTTGTTGGAATTGTTTCCTGACATGTACATACTCAAACGTGGTGTCCACACACGCTTGCATAATGCTACAAAATCAAATAATTGTTTAAAATATTTATTAAATCCCTACCTATATAGATGTCTAAATATTTGAGGAGCTAGAGAATCAACTTACACCATTTATACATAAACATGTAATTCTGTAAGTAGCTCTAAAGCTTATATGAATAGTTTCTATAGTTTCATTAGAGCGCATAAAAAACATGGTTTATAATTTATATGAACTAGCAGAGTACCCGTCCTTCGTACGGGGTTGGTATATAAATATAAAATGCTTATTGCAGTTATGGAAGAGGACACGGTTTAGAGAATTTGGCTCTTTTAATCTATACGGTATGCTATAGTATAGCAAATCTACCATAGCCATAATGTTCTACCGGTCTACCACTGCACCTAAACCATAGAAAAAAGTAAAGTTCTCATTGTGTACTACAGCTTTTTGTTGCTAGTTGGTTCAAATTAGCTGTTGTCATAAATGCAAAAAATATTATAGTGCTGCACCCTGTTGGTAAACCTTATATAACTTTTTAATTCTATTTAATGTCATAGAACCAACTAGTGCAGTCGAAACATATGACAAATTTCTTTTTAAATTCCTTTTAAATATGAATACTGAAAACATGAAAAACTCCAGAGCCACTTGGGCGGAGCCTGAAAGGGATTTTGAGATAAGAATATGTCTATATCTTAATCGGGAATGTGAGCTATCATCATACCAAATTTCAACCCTGTCGGTTTAGTATTTTTCGTGTTTACTTGTCACAAACATCCATCCATCCATCCATACATCCAAACTTTCTCACTTATAGGATAGGAGGATAGAAAACACTTAAAACAATTCTTAAACTAGAAAAAAAAAACTTAAATCCATTACCCAATAGGTCCTCCAGCTAGAACCAGCCTCTCAAGATCCAATCCACTCATGAGCACATACACTCCTTTGTTCTCCTCACCCAACAGATTAGAAGCTGGAAATATGTAAAACAAAGGAAGTTTAAACAATAGTAAGTTACATAAAAAAAAACTACAGACAAAACTAATCTCTTTATGTAACTACTTTAAACTTTTTTTGTCAAAAAAATGTACGCTTTTAATTTTAGAAACAGTAATTGTACATTGATAAGAGGTTTCTAAACAGTTGTTGAACTAAAAGAAAAACATTGTTCTAGGCATTGAACTCAGATAAAAAATAACAATATCTCAAAATCACATTCAGATCAAAACCTTCAGTTTTACTCTCACTTAGGAATATGATTAGAAAATTGTCTTCCAATAATATTCAATATAATTACACTCCATACAGTAAACATTACAATTAAGACCGTACTTATAAATCAATGTACAAGAAGTTACAATAGCTCAACCAGTTACACCGGTCATCATCCCAGTTAGAGATTGAGAGGATCAAAATTGTGTTGATACTTAAATGCTATTGGTCGCTGTAAGTACTGGAAACAAACTTCAATAAGTTCCGGCGGAGTCAAAGTTGACTTTTTCATTAATACTTACATTCTACAACTTAAATTCTTATAATCACAAGGAGAAAATAATCATTAAATCTACTAAACATTTACTAGCTACTGAAGCACAACTAATTGTAATAAAGAACGTTTCTGCGCTGGTCTATAATGAGAGATGTCTTTACCAGAAATATTTTAAATACTAAATTGAAATGAAAGGCAGCTCTAAATTACCTGGTATTTTGGCATTCTCAAAAACAAGTTCACATGTGTTAGAGCCTCTCATCCCAAGTTTATCCAACTTCTGGGCCGTAGAAAATCCTTCGGTTCCTTTTTCAACAATGAAAGCAGAAATGCCATGCTGTGGTTTGGAGGCGTTGGGGTCGGTTTTTGCATACACCTGCAGTAAATCAAAACCTTATTTACTTATAAAGTATTTAAAGATGAAATAACTCAAAATTTTTGTCCTGTGGAAAATAGTGTGTTTCATCACAAAGCTGGGAAGTAGTCGTGATCACAGTACGAGCATGATAGCTTGATCGGCCAGCCTCCACACGTACATTTCATGCAAGTTTGTTTAACACCCCATTACCCATGTAGCACAGATGGTTGGGCCAACGTTGGCCAACTGTGGGACAGTTGGTCGATGGTTGGTTGGAGCTTCCACAACCAACCAACCGTTGTCCAACTGTATATCTCGTAGTTGGGCCAACCAATATTTACAACTGTGGACCAACATTGGTTCATTGTTAATGAAATACATTAATATGCATTGCTGGGTATCATACATCAAGCCAACCGTTGTCCAACCGTTTTTCACTCCGTTTGGACCAACAAAAGTATCTTTTGTTGGACCAACGATGGTCCATAGTTGAGTTTACACGACTTTCATTCTCTGGGTATAGCTTTCACAACATAATTATAATAAAATATCTGGTTTTACAATACCTTTATCAGTTCCAAATGTTTTTGGAACTGATAAAGGTATTGTAAAACCAGATATTTTATATATTACAGTTCCGGGGCTACAACAATGAATTTTAATAATTATAATAATGCAAATATTTTTTAAATTAATATTCTTTAACTTATTTGCAACAATTTAAGGGGAAAGAGTAATTAATCATATAACAGGCAATTATAATAGCATTAATAATCTAACGGTAATTAATAAATTAATCTATATTCAAATACCAGTATCCTCTCTAACTCAAAAAAAAAAAAAAAAAAAAAAAACTACTTATGATGCCTTAACAGATTAACAGAATCATATTATACTGTGTAGTATCAAAAATGTTTGAAGTATTGCGACCATTGCAACTGTCGGCTACTCTTTCACCACTTGAAAACTCTCTATATCAACAATCACAGATAGCTCAGTGGTAAAGTAAGAGGCTCATAAGTCGAAGGACCCGGGTTCGAGACCCGTCTGGGCCAAAAAATTTTGTTCTAGCTTTTTTTCAAAATTTGTTTTTATGAACTATTTAATCAATTTACTCAACTAATAATTATGCTTTTCATACTAAATCTTTATTATTTTGTGTGAAATAAAACGGTTGGACAATGGTTGGCTGGAAAACAGTTTAAAAAGGTGACATTTCTACCGTTGGCCAACTGTGTGGCTCCACAATTTACCAACGTTGGCCCAACCATCTGTGCTACATGGGTAGACTTTGTACCACCACCACTTTGTATAACAAATACAGGTTGTAAAACACAACTCATGCATATACAATAATTATATCTTTGTTTAATATAATCTATTTTAACAGAATTTTCAACTATTTTTAAAAAGCACACCCTAACGACTTTAAACAGTTTTAATATTTATTATGAGAGTGCAATATTTGTCCACACATGTCCAATATCCTATTGTGCGCAGCTTTGTTTAGGAAAGGCCTACGATTTGTATGTAGTGCTCTATGGGCTCAAGAGATGATTGCGCCTCCTCCTCCCTTTCCGCGAAGTAACTCTTCTTCAGTGCCCCCAACAAACTTAAAACCCTTTGCCCCCCTGGGCCCTGGTTTATGAGTGTGGCGAAGAAACTGGCGTTATGACTTTTTGAATATGCGTGTAAATTTGCACTCCCACCGATCTTAGTACATCTCAGATTTTTTTACCGAACCCTTTCTGTAAACAACAAATTTCTGGCCTACAAGGAATATAGTCATCAGCTGAGTACTGAGTAGGGTGACAAAAGCATTACACAATATTTATTTTTTGACAATATAAAGAAATATTGGTTAAAGGAATAGAAATTTATCTAAAGTAAAGTAAGAAGCATAAGTTATTAAATACTCACAACGAGAATGTCTGCATCAGGTCCATTTGTGATCCAGAACTTGCTACCATTAAATATGTAGTAGTCACCTTTCTTGTCTGCTCGGAGTTTCATGGAGACGACATCAGAGCCTGCCCCTGGTTCGGACATAGCTAGGGCCCCAATGTGCTCTCCAGTACATAACTGTTAACAGGGGTAAAGAATTGTATTGAACAACAATTAGGTATTTAAGGGGAATCTACGATGTTATTTGAAGAGTGTTTTGGGTGGTAGATCTAATTTATAAATCTGAATAAGTTTTCCTTGTGGAGTCAGAAACTACTCAGAAGCATTTTGCGTAACCTTTATATATGATTTTATAATTAATGAAAATTTGCTAAATATGTCAATTATTTTTGAACTCCTGGACATCACTGGACTTTTAAATTCATATTGTTTCCTAACTCAAACAGTAATAAAAAAATATTTAACTTTTCAATGTTATTTGAACAACAAGACCTTTATTATACAGATTTGTTTACCTACCTTTGTCTGAAAGTCTTGTAGAATGTTGAAATTACTCAATGCGCATTTCGCTGCTCAGTGTGGCATCTTCATGCCGACTGTAACAAGGAAAGTACCCTGCCACTCATGTCACCGGGGAAAAGAACAATAAGAATTTAAATATATAAATATAATGTAAGAAATTAGAGTAAGAAGAACAAGTTCCAAGAAGATCGCGCACTGAGTGGCGAAATGTGCATAAACTAATTTCAACCTCCTACCAGACCTTAGGCAAAAAAAGTAAATAAATCTGTTAACTTTTCTTAATGAACAGTTAAAGTGAAATATTCATTCTTTTTATGGTGTAAAATTTTTGTATTTCTTGTATGAAGATGAACTCGTGTCCTATTCAGTTAATCCTGATATCTAACAATCCTATTTAGGGAGTATGTTTAATTTATTTTACCTTAGGTAAATATTTGAGCTTCTGCTGCTCAGAGCCGTTACGGTGTATCTGGTTGACGCAGAGGTTTGAGTGAGCGCCATAGCTGAGTCCAATGGCGGCGCAAGCCCTCGAGAGCTCTTCAAGAATCACAATGTGATCGAGGTAAGACCCATCTGACCCACCATATTTACTACTCACAGTAATGCCAAGCGTACCAAGTGATCCAAGCTTGGCCCAAAATGGCTGAAATCATTAATGATAACCGTTTACATCGGGTGAAAAAATTAAAAAAATACTTTTAAGTCATCTTAGTGTTAGGTTGTGGTTATTTTCATCACTTACATTAATAACAGCATAAAGTAGAGCAGTGTTTCCCAACCAGTGTGCCGCGGCACACTGGTGTGCCGGGAGGCCTCTGTAGGTGTGCCACGAAATTTTAAGTAGTTAAAAAATTTTTGATCAAGAAAGAAACTTTTAATGAGTAAACGTCGAGCAAAAATTTCCCACTAGAACTCAAACCAGGGTTTATTAAATATTTCTCACTAATTATTGGTAAATTCATACAAACTTTTAATCAAGCTCAATGTTTTATTATTATTTAAAACTTTCCACATTAATAAACACTAAATAATGTACACATGTTAGATAACAAATGTGAGTTTTATATTTTTTACCTTTTATATATATATTTACTAGTAAAAAATAGGTTTTACGGAGTAAGATGTAATTGAAAAAAGAGTTTTTTATGCACTTACTAAATGTAATTTTAACCAACGATATTTTGTAGACAAGTGTGCCGTGACTACAAACTTGTTCTAGTTAGTGTGCCCTGAACGGAAAAAGGTTGGGAAACACTGAAGTAGAGTTTTGAGACATAAATGACACTTCCTGTAACATAAATATTTTTGCTATACTCTATGTAAACTGCTCAATAATGGAATAATGACACAGCTAATATGAAACCAAACATTCAAATTTTTGTTTAATGTAAAAAATTCAAAAATGTATGCAAAAAATAGTTAAAAACAACAAATTTCCGTAGAAGTCAAAGTATATAGATTATTGTTTATTTTATTGTGTTTGATGATATCTTACAAATATATTATTTAAAGGTAGAATTTACAAATTGAAATAAAACAGAAAAATATCTACATAATTATAGTGTTTTTATGTACAATGCATGATATTACCATTGACTAAGGATTAAGGAAATAAAAATTTCCTTTTAGCGAATTTCCCTATAGGGAAGTAGCTATTACCGTAGGTCTCATGGTAAGACCTAAGCCCGGGACCGATTTACTTTTTCATTTTGATGTCCCCAGAGGCCAAAAACAACATTTCGTTCAAATTTTTATATATCTATATATAGAGATATATATATATATATATATATATATATATGTCCATCCGCACGATAACTTGAGTAATTTTTGTCCGATTTTGATAAAATTTGGTTTGAAGGTGTAAGGCGGGATAAACTTGAATGAGTTCGCGAACCAGCATGATCGGACTATGGGAACGGGGGTTTATGGGGTAAAAATAGGTTTTTCCCATTTTTGACCCTAAAAACAACAAAATTTCAAAATTTCTTTTTAAACCATTTTGTAGAGCTTAAAAAATCAAATAATTTAGTATATTGAAGCATTATTATGCGCCTAATAGTTACGGAGAAAATTCAAAAAAGTTGTAATTTTAAAATTCCCATGTTATTCTTATGGAGAATAAGACAACTGTTGTAGTTTGCTTGTTTATGAACATATTTTGATAAAAGTTGGAAAATACATTAATTTCTTACTAAACCACAGTACCTTTTAATATTCTACATAAAAAAAACTTGTTTACCCTCCCTGTTGCAGCAAACCTAAGTACTCATTAAACTAATTCTGTTTAAATAGGGAATAAATGTGATATTTTTAAGGAGACATTTTAGTTTAGATCCAATCAGGCAAATGGAAATTCGCTAAGTCTGCAGGTTTGCTGTGGCGGGGGTATTTTCAATTCAATTCATTTTATTAACGGCAAACACCATTTTACAAGTGGGTTTAACAAGATATAATTAATATTTAAGAAGATGATCAATCAATATTCATAATCAATAACAAAGAACACAATTAATTGAAAGAAATAATCATTAAGAACTATACAAAAACAACAACAAAGAGTAACAACAATTGATAAAGATTTTATAAATTATTAACAAGGATACAATATTTGAAAATGAAAACGATACAGTGATAAATACTCTAGACAAAAAGATTGACGAGATAATATTGCTTGGCAGTTGGCACCTACTCCCACTGATTGTGTGGCCCTTTGTTTCCCTTGTCTGTGATATTACTTACCCTCAGATCAGAAAACCCATTTGTCCTATCAATCTCTGCTGCTTTAGGGGCCAGTTCCTTCTGAGCGAAATTGAATATGTTTTCTCGAAGCTGTAAAAATAAATTTGTATTCATAGACATACTTGAATAACAGAACCAACAATTTTCAGGGTGCACAAAAGTGACCATTCCGATTTCAGTACATTAATTTATATGTTTTAGAATAAAGATATTATGTAAACAAAGAAAATTATAATATAATAAAGATGAGAGGATGAATACCTGAATCTGTTCTGGTGATAATCCAAAAATACTTTCATCTATTGGATAGTGCTTTGAAGAAGAAACATTCCTTATTATTACATTTAACAATAGAACTTGGTTTTTTGAAGTGAACCTTGTACCTTTTAATAAGGTCTTTAAAAACCTATGAGACATCATTTTAGGTAATACACTAACCCCTCAAAACATATTGTTTGCTTCACACACTCTAGAATCTATAAACAAAAACAGACTGCTGAGCTGATAACAGTGATAACCCGATTTATAAGGATTGATGATAATAGAAAATTTAAATTTGACACAGCTGAGATTGGACTTTGGCGGTTTTTTTTTAACTTTATTTTATTTTGGACTTCAGTGGTGGATTTTTTTTTTCATAGGTGCCAAGGTGCCCAACATTACCCGTAGAGTAACGATGCTGATTTCTTATACCTTTTATATTTGTAACAATGTATTTTGTTAAGTAAAGTACTTAATTAAGATCCAACAATTTAACTGCTGTATTACACAGTGAATAATACCATGGATAAAACATTGGTACTTCCCTAAGTGTGCTCATATGCTGATGTCACTTCAAAAAACCAAGTTCTATTGTTAAATGTAATAATAAGGAATGTTTCTTCTTCTTTTGACTGGGACGGGTGGCGTCGTCCTGTAATCCAGCTACTAGGAGGTCACGAATTGTGGATATTTATAGGGATGCACTGTGGATGCGATGCTCCCTGGTGTGGATTAACGTCCGCACTAGTGAGTACTACGACTATCCGCAGTACTATCCTGGTAATTAGACCAATTCGTAAATTACAAGGAAAAATGTGGTTCGGATTCCACTATAAACTGTAGGTCCCTTAGTTGCCATTAGCTATATGGGCTATTAATTAACAGCTGTGTCTAAGGAACATGTCGGCCTTAGTCACTAACAAGACTACAAGATCGCGCCACTCATCCTACACTCATCCTTCACTCATATTTGGGTTAAAATACGCACATAGTGGCGTCCCCATCTTAACTAATTGATAATAATAATAATAATTGTCACCCAGATTGCAAACACCATTTAGAAAAAATTGTATAAACAATAACAATCAAATCAAAACAAATATATACTTATATGATAATGGTAATACAATCTGCTAATTTTTTGTTTGCAATCTGGGTGACGTCATAGCATATGGCGGGAATAGCACACCTATGTATTTTCCATTTTCCTTCCACCATAGGTACTCCCTTAGTAGATTTCTCATTCTTATGGAACAGCTGAAGCTAATAATTTTATTATTATTATTATATAGAGGTCGCGTTTTGTTTACAGTTTGTTTTATGAATTGTGGATATTTATAGGCATGCACATGTATAATAAAAATTTTAAAGAATACAGTCTCTGACTTACTATAGGATGGACCCAATATTTACGTTGTCTTCTTTTTTTCTTAGACCTAATTAGAAGAGCACAAACAAAGGGTAATTCTACAAAGTCCATTTTTTTTTGGATAGCTACGCATTCGAAAACATCCATAATCAACTAAAAAATCACCACGTGTGCGCCAAGACATAAATTAAGGGCAATTTATTTTTGGCCGATTTTTTTATCGGCCTCTCAAAAAATCTAATGTGTGCGCCAGGCCGACCAGTGTTATTAGTAGTATCATTGACTTTATATCTACAAAGATAGTGTAGATAGTGTATCTAACCATAGTGTAGATATAAATTCAATGGTAGTATCATAGATAAAACGTAGTTCCTAGGACCTAGGGGACTATGTTTTATCTATGGTAGTATCATAGACTAACCTTGTATATTTTATCTATGGTAGTATTTCCTTTTTCTAGTTTTTTTTTTTTCTGAGCCCTTAAGGCGGCTTGGATAATTACTCCACGTAGCCTTTTTATCTATGCTATTAGATTTCTATTTTCTAGTTCAAAGAACAGTTTCAGTCCCACTCCCAGTCCGAGTAGTAGCACGTAGTAGTCTAGGAGTCTAGTCTCGTTCTTTTCTTGTACGGACTCTCGTCCAATCCAGTCCAGTTGCTGTTGTTGTTTGATGTTTAACATAACCTAGGTTTGGTCTTCATATAATTAAATTAAAAATTGTAACCATAATATTACAGTTTGTCGCGTGTCAACATCCTAAATTATATTATTTAGTTTGAATCCGTACCTACCTTGCAAAAATACAAGTAAAGTAAGGATACTTTACAATTCCACATAGTATCTAATTACAAAAGTAAAGCTTATTAGAAATCCCCAAAAGCCTGTGGGATTTGATTTTGTGTTGTGCTTGTTAGGCCTAGCCAAGAAAATGTTTACAATAGCCTAGTAGTAGTAAGCAAAAAAAAATCTATTACATTTGTATGCTGCATTTGGTATTTAAAGAGCCCAAGTTTACTTGCTAATAAGTACAATTAATAAATATATCATTAGGCCTGGGGTAGGCCCTACCTAAGTTAAAAATGATTAACATAACTTGGGCCTAATCTATACTAATTCTGTTCACCATCTTGATTTATAAGTTTAGTAAGGTATTAATAATTGAATAGGTATTAAAGGCTATCTTTGAGTATCAATTTGTTTGAGTTTGATTTGATTGACATGTGCAAGTTTTAATTAGGCTTACAGGCTTAGGTTCTAGTAATTAACTTATGTTGGTTATTAGCATAGTTATATGAGGTAGGCCTAACTAGGTAGTTTTTACTTACATTTTACGCTAAATCTGTAAATTTTGTTCTTTGCTAGTACCGTATTCCTATAGGCTAAGTTAACTTAGGCCTTTGTCCAAAGGATTAAAAAACCTGTTTAAGCCTAAGCTAGTAAGTTTAGCTATAACCACAGAAAACATACTACTATAACCCAGAATGCCAACCGCATGGTAAAAAGCATTAAGTGTTTTGAGAGAGCTTTGCCTGTCAATTCGTAGGCAGCGCCACCAGCGTTGCCATGCTAGCTCTCTCAAAACACTTAATGCTTTTTACCATGCGGTTGGCATTCTGGGTTATAGTAGTATGTTTTCTGTGCTATAACTTACATGTGGCTAATAACTTTAACACAGAGGATACGCGTCCGGTAACCAGACGTGGATTAGGCGTCCGTTAGTGACGTCACTGGGTTGTGGGGTCCCGAAATGCCATTACCACAACGATACGATGTTCGGCCAGCGTTGTTCGTCGTGTAGTGGATAGAGTGCTCGGCTGATATCCAAGAGGTCCCTGGTTCGAAACCCATCGGTTTCTTTAACTTTTTGTCACAGATTTTGCTTTGAATGTAATTTCTTCTTAACTGTACATCTTTTGTTAGAATTTTTGGCATTTATAATTTTATGTTATGAATAGAATTTAACCTTCATTTGATTTTTTTCATTATCAGCAAGTTTGGTTGGTTAGGTTAGGTTATGACAGTAACTGCCGGACGCCTAATCCACGTCCTGTTACCGGATGCTTATCCTCTGCGTAACTTTAAACCATCTCTAGACTAGGCCAGTGCTAGAATAAACGGTAGGCCTATATATTTGGGAGTGTTGGCATTGTTCAAAGTTTTGGGTACCTACTACAGTTCCGCAGAGAACCTGCGATAACTTATATTATTGGATAAATAACAATATATATATATAGCCTATATATATATGATACAGTAACTTACCATATCTATATGAATAAGTTAACTTATCAACTGAATTCCTTGTTATTTATATATTTATACATTTATTTACCCAAGACTGAATACGAGATGTATTTACCAACAATTTGACCTGTCTATGCATTTCATATGTATAAATGATGAATAAATGTCTTATGTCTTATATTTTTTGATGAATAACAATACATATGATACCTAACTTGACTTAGGCCTATATGATTAAGAATAAGTTAACGATCCGATTATATTAATATTGCATCGAGATTAACTTATTTTAAGCCATAAGATTTAAATAAAACAATAACAAAATCGTTAAAGAAGCTTTTTGTATTTATTTTATACTAGTTATCATATTGACAGTGCCTTATAGATAACTGCGTCAATTTTCTCAGGAGCAACGGTTGATCTCCTTAAAAGCAAAATCATAGACTTAAGTTCCTTTATCGTAGTTTGTGGTTTTAACTAGTTTTGTTTTTGTTTTTTTTTTCATTAAATAATTTAATTAGTTTTTGGTTATAATTTAGGCCTATATTATTGTTTTTATTGAGAAAGATGTCAATACAATTTTAAACAATTCATATCTCAATTTTTTAATGTTTAAGTTAGGCCTACATAGCTAGTGAAATAAAAACATAGGAAGGTTAAGTTATATTGAATTGCATAATTATTGATATATATATATAACGTTATTCATCTGATAATATATTGCAGGTTCTCTGCGGAACTGTCCCCAAAATTTTTCCTATTAGATCACCCGGTAGGCTATGCTCAAAATATATACAGTAGGTAGCCTAATATGTATGTTGCATCTTTTTCAGATATAATACAGATTAAACAACTTGCCGTTACTCACCAGGAAAATGTGTGATAAATTAACAAACACTTCATATTCAAAACAACGGCGGAGTACAACTAACACATCCACTAGTGGCCTTAACACGATTGCGCCAACGACTTCGTCTGTTTCTGGTAAAATTTTAAGTTTTTCTTTCTTGCGGCCTACATAACCAACTTAAGATAGGCAAAGTTAAGTTAGATATTAATTTGGTAGGCAGGTCTTGTTAACGTTACTTCCATAGTAGGCCTACTCCGCAGGGATTAGGGTAAGTTATTTTAGGTTTGCTTACTAAGTATTTTAAGCAAGTATTTTAGCTCTGGAATGGTGAGGCAGAAATATACTAGAACCGAGCAAGGAAGAGCCTGAAAAGCTATTGTTTACAAGAGCAGTTGTATCGTACATGCTCTTCCTACAGCAAGAGCGCTGAAGTACAAGACAGTGAGAGGAGAGCGAAAGGGGACAACCAATAGAATTTGCACTGAACACAAGCGACTGGTGTTGGAGACGATTGTAGCATTGAATGTTTCCTCTGTGATTTGATTTGTATCTTACTTCTCTATGGCCTACCTAAAAACCATCTTAATGCCGTACCAAAATCTTTTTTAGTTTTACCAAATTTTTTTATTGGACTGGTAATACTACATCAACCCCTGACTTTCTTTCCTTCCATAAAGTATTTTAAGGTTATTGGGGTTTTATTCAAGTAAACAAAAAAAATCTGCAGCAGTTAAAAACCCTAACTAGCCAACTTAAGTTTAACCCCTTCTGAACTGAAATAAATACCATGTCAAAGGCACTTAAATGAAGATATTACAAAAAGATGCAAAAGAATTTTTACTATACTAGAGAGGTACCAGACTGTGATTTTCAATCAAGTTAAACTTGAGGTAATATCGTGATCATCTCATGCGGTCGTGGGGACATCATCGTTGTCTTCTGCGATCATTGTAAAATTCCGGCTATTTTCCTCAAAAAAGGAAACATCATCACTGTCATCCGTGGTCGCAGCAAAAGAGTATTGCACAGCAGTAAGAGGAGCAACACCATTTAGTCTCTTGCTGTTTTGGAAACTCTGTCAACCTCTTCTGTGATCAAGGCAAAATTTTCATTATCTCCGGGGGTTGTGTAGGGTTGTTGTCATCTTCTCTGATTGTGAAACACTTCTTAAAATCGTCTCTGCTGTTGTGTAGGGCATCCTTATGGTGTCTCGCAATGGCGGCAAAATCATGAACCTCTCTACTTGCATTATTGTCTTCACAATCGTGTAGCCATCATTATCGTCTTCACAATCGTGTAGCCATCATCTTCTTCACAATCGTGTAGCCATCATTATCGTCTTCACAATCATGTAGCCATCACTATCATCTACCGTGATCGCAGCAAACATTTTAGGATTTCTCATGGTTTTATCTCCCATGTAGACTTTGTCATCTCCCGCAGCTGTGTAGACTCAAGCATTGTCCCCCCTGGCCATGGAAATGTCATCGCCGTCTTGCACAATCCCAACAATTGTAGTACCTATTCTTCCGATCACATCATCTTCGCAGACGTGTTTAGTATTGCTATCAGCATCAACTTTTGATGATCGATTAACAATACCCTGATAACAATGTCCTATAGGTGGCGTTAAGAACCAATATCCATAATAAGTTGTACAAACTTAATTAAAAACGGTTGTAGGTAGAGTAGTGTAATCAACTCCCATAATTAGTCTTTACGACACTCCTAGAAGTTTTCAAACCACCGTCGTAAACTATCTTCACACGATTGTTGTGTAAACTAACTGTACCATTATCTGTTTGGTAAGCTACTGTGATTTTAAATATGCTTAGTTTTTTTCAGATTTTGTATAAGTTTAGCTGAGTGTTGAGTTAGTCAAATTTGTTTATCTCTAAATCAATAAACATCATTTTTCTCCCTTGGACCCAGTCAGATCTAATTGGCCAACTTATACTATCATTTTTTTACAAAATGGATGTTATGATTAATTAAACTATAATACCTATTACCTAACTTTAATGGTTTGAAATGTCAGTTCCAGTGTCCACAGACCTAGCCTCCCTGTTTGAGTGCCCAGTTTGTTTTGACTATGTTCTGCCACCCATTCTACAATGTCAGAGCGGCCATCTTGTCTGCAGCAATTGTCGCCCCAAGCTCACTTGTTGCCCAACCTGTCGCGGACCCCTTGGCAACATTCGTAACCTTGCAATGGAGAAGGTAAGCATACGATGTAAGCAGATAAATAAGCATAAGAAAACTTGGCGGCAGCGCATAGGTAGTTGTTCTTTCTGCTTATGAGCTTGATATTATAAGAACAATATACCAAAGCTACTTAGGGTATATTACTATAATTTAATTACGTTGACAGTTTCATTAAACATGCACCTATTGATCTTTATGATAAAATCAAACTTGTCAGCAAGCAACACCTTTTTTTAAGCAATGAACCCTAAATATACACATTTGAGAATTACGTTGAACATTAAACCCCCTCATAACCGACTCCTCAAGATATCAAACCCTAGGTCCCATTAAAAACTATCCCTAAAACATAACTACTGCCTTGCCTACAAGCTCAAGAGATCAAATGCTAAGTCACAAAATCATGTAGGCCTTACTAAGATAGTTGGTATGACATGAAAGGTGCTATATTTTATCTCTTTTCAGTTTGGCTTGTTCTAAATACCCCCACCGCTGCACACCTGCAGACTAAGCAAATTTACATTTGTCTGATTTGATTTTCACTTAAATATATTTAAATCATTAGGTTTAACGAGTACCTATGTTTGCCGCTACAGGGAGGAAAATACCAAAAAGCTAAAATATCACAATTTTTAGTTGTAAAATAAGGCAAATGAGGTGTGCATCCTGACTAGCTTAGTCCTATTTTACAACAATAAATTGTAATATTTCAGCTTTTGTCATTCAATCTTTTTCAATAGCAAATTTTAAATACTTAATGAAAGTGTTCTTGGCATTTTATAATAAAAGTAACAGTTTTTTAGTAATTTAAATGATAAACATCCAAGTTATATGTTTTTTTTTTTTTTTTATATAGGTATAGGTCTCTTTACCTTAACATACATAGTGCCTACAAAGTTTCATGAAGATCGGTTGAGAAAATTTGTAAGGATAAAAAATTTATGTAAAACATACAAAATGGCGAATATCTGGCTAAAGTTTAAGCGATTTTGGAAAAAATGTTATTCATAATTTTGTCCCATAGAACCATTTCCAGTAGCCTGTTAACTTATTTTGATCCTCAACTACGGTAGAACTGCTATAGCTGAGCTGTGTTGTAGGTTGCCAACACAGTGTTTTTCCCCTGCAAGTATTCCTCCTCGGGCTGCAATGTGTCGCTGCTTCACCCACAGAAAGTAGAACACGAGGATCTGTGTGAGCATCGGCCGTACTCCTGTCCGTGTCCCGGAGCCAGCTGCAAGTGGCAAGGGACTCTTGAACAGGTGGGCTAAATGTTTGATGTGCATGGGGTTTAAAGTGAGTCGCCTGTCTCTTGAGAAAATGTAAAACTTGTGTTGACTCTCATCAGTTATAACAATTAAGATGGTGACGCCACTATGTGCGTATTTTAACCCAAATATGAGTGTAGGATTAGTGGTGTGATCTTGTAGTCTTGTTAGGGACTAAAGCCGACATGTTCCTTAGACACAGCTGTTAATTAATAGCCCATACAGCCAATGGCAACTGAGGGACCTACAGTTTATAGTGAAATCTAAACCACATATTTTCCTTGTAATTAACAAATTGGTCTAATTATCAGGATAGTACTGCGGATAGCCGTAGTACTCACTAGTGCGGACGTTAATCCACACCAGGGAATATCGTATCCACAGTACATGCCTGGATATCGACAATTTCTGTTTACTTGGTAGATCTACAGATCACTGTTCCCTTTATGGTTTATTTCAATATATTCCAATAATTTTCAAACCATCTTGTATGTAATAAGATTATGGGTTGGCTTGCCCTAGCAAAAAGAGCATTTTAACAGAAACTAACTAGTAAGGAGCTGATCTGCTGGCTAAAATCAGAAGACCTTTTCCTGAATTCATATATTTAGTCAACAATTTCTGGTTATATTCTATGGCAAAGACTTGTAGGGTGAGTTTTTTATTCATTTACCATTTTTGTTTCAATGCCAAAGACTTTTTTTTTTTTTAAGTGTCAAAACCAAATCTCAAAACCATCAAATCTTTGGAAAAGTTTCGGTTTACGCTTTTAGATTCAAAATTTCTGGTTTTGACCATCACTACTAGCTGGGTCTGGTTTTGAACCATCGACTTGACAGCTTCTGACCTTTCTCATGATAGCACCCAGCTGCCTGCTGAGCACTATACACACTCAGCTACATTGCAGGTTATGCCTCACTTGATGGTAGCACACAAATCTATCACCACGCTGCAAGGCGAGGACATTGTGTTCCTAGCTACTGACATCAACTTGCCTGGAGCTGTGGACTGGGTCATGATGCAGAGTTGCTTCGGACATCACTTCATGTTGGTGCTGGAGAAACAAGAGAAGTACGATGGACATCAGCAGTTCTTCGCCATCGTACAACTCATCGGCTCCAGGAAACAGGCTGAACACTTTGCATACAGGTGAGAAATCTTGTCTACAGTTAGATGTCATACAAAGCGACATTTTGTGCACTTTAGTAGATTGCAAAATAACTGATTGCTCAACATTTTACTTGGTTTACTCCGAGTAACAACTGAACAAAACTAAATTTTGGCTTAAGTTTATTTTAATTGCGATCAATAGGAAATGGTGCGTATGTATTTTATATTAATTTTAACATGTAAAATTTTATGTTAACATTTTTGTTTAAAAACAAATTAATTATTTATCAAGTTGATTAACTTCATTTTACTATGCAAACAGAGGAGACTATGTGACTACGTTTATCGTCCCCACAAGAATGCAGCTAAAAATCCGAGGCTCAAAAGGACCAAAAATGTGGGGTGAAATTATATTATAGAGGAAAAAGTCGAGGTTTTGGTATAAAAGAGTATAATTTATTAAGAGAAAAATGAATACGTGATGTTATGAGCGGTGATTTGAGACGAATAAATGCAACAATGATAATTGACATATGATAATGTGATGGGAATTACAGATGGACTGTTAAAAACAAAGACATATAAAATTAATACAAAAATCAAAGGCAACTTGACTGAACATACAATATACTAACTTTATATTTTAACGGTTCATTTAATTACAACTCAATAGGCCTAACTGTAGACAAAATATAATGTACAATTAGTGTGCAAAGTGTCTTTTAAAACTCATATTTAGAATAAAAAAATAAAAACTCAGTTTCTCTCACTAGGTGCACTGATAAAAATTGTTTATATGTTATTTTTGCTACAATTTTTAAAAATATTTAAAATAAAAAAATAAAAACTCAGTTTCCCTCAATAGGTGCACTGATAAAAATTGTTTATATGTCATTTTTGCTACAATTTTTTTAAGGACTTATTCACATGTGGAGATATTCTGGAGTTTGTTGCCCGCTTAATCAATAGGGATGTCATCACTTACTATAGATATTAATGAATTTTGCCACACACCAGATAATTGTAATTAACATCCTATTTTTAGTTATTTCACACCTCGGGTATTTCATTAACATAAATCATTATCAAATTAAAATAACTTGCACAGAAATGTAAGCACAATACTATTAAAGAATCCCTGCCTATTGTATCCTACCTTAGATACAATACAACAAAAGTACAATAAGCACAATGTAGCTAAACAGCTGAGGTTGCCAAAACTGTAATCAGGTGTAACATGCACTAGGGTTGATTTCATAGCAGTGAAAGCCAGTTGAGCGGAGTGATCACTTTTCATGGTTTTTGTTTTTAATAAATCAATATATTAAAACAATGTTTATAAATACCGGGTGTCCCACGAAGGGGTTTAAACGTTTGATTTTATATTACGTGCCCATTCATGCACCAAACTTTTTTAAACTTTACATAGTTTACAAAGTAGGTTCTAAAAATATTATGGAAAAATTTCAACTCCCTTACCTTAGTAGAACTAAAATGGTGGCATATTGACAAATTTACCAATGTGCTTTCTATAAGAACTACTTTCATGATTTATTATTAGTTATTTATTTATTATTATTATTTATTAGTTATTTGATTTATTTTTAGTTTTCCACTAGGCTATGTTCTAGTTTTTTTTTTTTTATTTAAAAGTCATATTGCCCTGGAAAGTAACAATAAAAATATTTTATAAAACCAAACATTCCCTTTTTAATGTTTTTAAAGTAACGTTTTTCAATATGCCGCCATTTTGTTTCTACTAAGGTTAGGGAGTTGAAATTTTTCCAGAATATTTGTATAACCTACTTTGTAAACTGTGTTAACTTTCAAAAAGTTCGGTGCATGAATGGGCACGTAATATAAAATCAAACGTTTAAACCCCTTCGTGGGACACCCTATATAACATTAATTTAACTTATCAGTTTGTCTCAGAACTATCAACATCTAAAACAAATTTCACAAGTAAAAATGTAGACATTAAATAGGCCTACATCCTTTGTATAGTTATTTTTGCCGTGATCGATCATTACAATCAACTGTCATAGAAATGCATTGCTTCAATTTTGTAATGCTATTCCCAACCAATATGATAATCTGGTCCTAATTTTTTTTTACCACACTACATTATTTTGACGAACCGCCAGCATATTCAAATGGGGTCTCATTGCGTACTGTACTGTACGTCATTACTGTACTGTAGTGAGTTTTACCGGACACCAATCAGCTGATTATACTGTATTTAGGTGGCAATGAATGGTTATAAACAAAACATAACCTCTCCTAGAGGTTATGACTAGTGATTTTTAGTCCTTTAGTTGGTAGAAATATATAAGGGTTTGTACAGATTTAGTAGTATGGCGTAAACTATCGTACGTAACTTGTCCAAAATGTGTGTACCGAACTCGTATGGTAATCCCGTACTCGACTTCGTCTCGCATGGGAAGGACCACACTCGGTAAACACTTATTTTCAGAACTAGTAACGTAATATACTATTTATGCCGGACTGTGATTTAAATTCACACAGCAATTCATCTTTTACTGTTTTGTCCTGCAGACTGGAGCTAAACGGCCACCGCCGCAGACTGACTTGGGAGGCAACTCCACGCAGCATCCACGAAGGCATCGCCTCGTCCATCAATAACTCAGACTGCCTCGTGTTCGATACTTGCATTGCTCAGCTGTTTGCTGACACCGGGAACCTTGGAATCAACGTCACAATATCCATGGTGTAACTGTTTTCATTTCTTGTTTATTTGAGATCATGATTCTCTTTCATAGCAGTTTCATGACAAGACTGACATTTTTACTGTAAAATATTCATGTGGTTTCGTTTCAAGGAGAAACAAACTGTCGACGGGTGCTGCGTGTGAAAGGTTACAGATAATGTTTTGTCATTGTTTTGCTATTATGACTTTGTCACATTTTCTTCATTCACATTCCGACGTGCAGTTCAAGACTGATCTTTTAAAATAAAATTTTAGTTTATTTGAGTAAGTTTTATTTTATAATTCAGGGTGTTGGTTAAGATGATTTCTTTTTAAGTTTGTGTGTTGTACTCATCACATTTTATGAGTTGATTAAGTGAATTATAAACACTTAGGAGTTGTGTTGTTGCAACTGAAGTACTTGGATAGAGTAAAACATCACCGTATATTTTGATAAGAAAGATGTTTAATATTTTGGTAATAGACTGTGCCATGTTGCTGTTACCTCGAGAAAAATAATTGTATTTAAATAAGTACTGTGTTAGGACTTATTTAACATGAAAGACACTGTAAATATTTTGTGAGCAATATAGTTGATAAATTTTTTCTTATGTGTGTATGATTGCTCCACCCTTGCATTTACATTTTCCTTGTTAGTTCATAAAACAGCCACGGCTACTAGGCAACATCTAAAATAACAAAGCTGTTTGTATGCAGTCGCAAAACAAGAAGGAAACCATTTTGAGAGGTAATTTATAAAGATAAACAATGTATCTATGTTGACCATCTCTCGTTTTCCAATCATATTGTTGCCTCGGTTGTTTAACCTGAGCCTCCATCTTCTAAGAACACAAACATTAAATAACACCATAATTACACTCCCACGTCTTACTGGCTTAGTCAAGGAAAAACTCAAAAAGTTAATAAAAACTTCTCAACTTAATATAAAAATGTATAATTTACAGGTTTAGCATTCACATTTTGTACAATAATAGATTAAACAGACACAGTGGCTTTAGATGACTTAGCATTGTAACTAACCAATGTTTAAGGCATAATTTTCAGGAAAAGTGTAATAAAGGTAACAACTAAAGCGTTGTAACATTAACTTAACGTTGGAAGTATATGGAAAAATAACAAAAATATTTATCACATTAATAGGTCCATTCATTACTAGAAAGGTAATCGATTTTCACAAGATAAAAAACTTTCAATGTTCAAAAATCAGTTCTAATACATGCTTTCAAATTATAAATTAGAATACAACAAATTAAAACTTGATTTTTTGACATAATACATAGGCTTTAAATAAAAAAATAAATTTATTCTCCAATTTTGTGTAGATCACCTTTACAATACTCTGTTAAAAAAAAAAACTAAATAAAATCGAGGGGAAGCGATCCCATCCCCTCCACCTCACCATAAATTTGAAACGACAGCCAACAACTCACAGCTGGTACATAAAACTAAAAAAGTGGTGATGGAACCTTACCCCAATTAGGAAAATTTAACTTTCATTTTATGGAGCAAATAACAACACAATAACCTCAAGACATACTTGTGGATTAGATTATTCATATTGACATTCTCGGTTAGTCTCGAGACTATTCTGCCTGTCGTAGTCTTGCAAGACGTTGTGTAAGTTCGTCTTGTTCCTGTGACACTTGGGTTGACGTCCCAACACTTCCAGCCTGAGGCAGTTCTAGGTTCAAATCCAGACTGAAACGGATTTTGCATTTTAGACATAGATTTATTGATCTGTATGTTTACCTGAATTGCACCAATTTAAATCAGTAATTAGTCATAAAGCAAAAACTTAGGCTAAATAATTTAAATATGCCTATTTATATACAGTACTGGTACATAACTTCATGATTTAAAATTTAAAGTAATTCAATAATTTGCACTGAACTCTCATAGCCACAAAATAACCAGACTAACAAAAACAACCAAGAAAGACGATAATCTCGTCATGACTGCAGAAGATGTTCATGATGTTGAAGACGTGATCACAGAGGATTTTCATGATTTTATGGTAACCTTGGAAGATGTTCACGATTTCGCTGTGAACGTGGAAGATGACATTGATTTTACTGTGACCACAGAAGACATTCACGATTTCTCTGTGAATGCTTAAACTAGTTCATAATTTTGCCTTGGCCAAGAAAATTAATTCCATTTTGTAGCCCCTGAACTGCGTACCGTAGTATAAACCTATTACATACCGCCAAGAAAATGTTTTAACAGTCGTATTTTTCATGCACTAACAGATTTTCATGAGTGTTTACACAAGCAAACAGAGTTATGTTGCTGGGTGTTTCACTCTTTAAAATTTGTTTTAGATTCACGTTTCAACAAAATTGCAGTAAAATCAGGGTTTCCCAACAAAATTTCAAAATTTATTCATAATTCCTGGTCTATGGCTATTCTGATGTTTATTCTGTCTGTAGTAACACTTATTTTGACTGATAAACGTCGAGAGATAACTCATAAGGACAAATATCATCAATGACTCACTAAAAATACAAAGGTATAAGCCTTAGTAGATATAATAGAACTGCAAGCAAAATTGTTGTGAAAGTCCATGGAAAAAACCAAATAATACCTTTAAATTGCCTCAATATCTAACTGTATGCAAATTCAACTAGGCGGCAAATCTTTGACTTCTGATCAAACTAGACAGTACAACCACGTGTTAACTTATCAGCAGTTTTAGATTGAAATTAATCTAAAAAACACACATACTCATCTTCTATAATAAGTTTGTTTCGCTTTAGCTTTGTATAAGTAAGTTGGTCACTATTACTTGACTTGAGACGACAGAGTGAGCTGTAGTAAATTAAGTTACTTGTTCTGTAAGAGAAGCTAACTTTTAAACAAGTAAAACTGATACGATGACTTACAGTAAGCAATAGCGACTTTTATATCACAACAATTATCTCAGTCACTAAAGTCAAAGGAAAAAATTAAATTTTATTACAGTCTAACCTTGATATAACGAACCTCGATACAACGAATTCCTTGATATAACGAATTTTTTTAAATCCCCTAGAACTCTCCATAAGACACAATGCATATTTTGCCTCTACATAACGAACAAACCTTAACAACGACCTTGATTTAACGAATTTTTCATGATTTCGGCTAAAATAAGACACCTCATTATAGCGAATTTATCATTGTTAGAACCTCTACATTGCGAATTTAACCTTTGCATAACGAATTGTCTACGTCTTTCCCTCGATATAACAAATCCCCCACCCCATTATTGTTTTTGAAAAATCTGTTTCTTTATCAAATTAAATGGAAAGGTGACGTCATCGCTTGTCATGACATTTGTCTGCTCCGTTTTACACATCTCTGTCTGCTGTCGCTGCGCGCGCTATGTTGCAACTGAGAACTGATTTCATTCACTGAGGACTGATGACGACGTAATGTTTAGTAAGCTGTGATTGGGCGATAAGTAACTATGGTGAATTGAACTTTTTGGACAAAGAGAAACCTAAGAAAGAATATAAAAACAAAACCAAAGAGAAAGAATATCAACATCGTTATTTTAACATTCCTTTTTCGGGTGTTTTTATTATCTTAAAGTTGGCTATGATTATACACTTTTATAATGAATTATCTAATTATTTATTGTTTTCTATACGATTTGTTTCAACTAGCAACACCAATGCTATAGTTAATGATTATTATTGACATTCCTCTGCTGTGATAAATCAGTACTGTACTGTAAGTAGCCTACCGGCCTATCACGAGCAGTAGCTTACAAAACTTCCTACTACTGTTTTGTTTTGTTCTTTACATGGTTTATGACTACGCAATACAGTGTTTGGCTAGGTTTTAGGAGGGTTAGAACAAGCTGTGATTTTAAACTTACAGTTTTTTAACCTGTACCAAGGTCAATGCCATTTTCATGATTGCGCAATATTCAAGATCCCTCCCCTTTTTATGCCGGATAATTTAGGTTCTACTGTACAATGTAAACACTGTACTGTAAAGTATTGTAGCCTATGCTACTTTAATTGTGTTTTAATGATGTGTAATCCCGACCTATATTGACCGACGCTGGTTCTGAACCTCGACTTAGCGAAATTCCTGCAAACATAACCTCTATACAACGAACCTCGTTTTAACGAAATCCTTGATATAACGAATATTCAATTCGGTCCCTTCAGATTCGTTATACTGAGGTTGGACTGTATGTCGCACACTATAAATCGCTCATTAAACTTTATTAATATTTTTTTTGTGACATCCGATTTACACATATGGTATGTCTTATCTTGTATCTAAAAGTAAATGTGTAATAGTCATCCCACACATACCCAGCTTCATCAGCCACCTCTTGCATGAGAGAGTCGACGTCGTTCTGAGGCACGGAGGTGGTAACTGTTTGGCTCATGGTGTTCTCCATGTAGGAACTTTGGACGTCCAAGTCCTCAAACTGATTCTCAAACTTGTCCATCAGTCCAGATATTTTCTCAAGATTCATCGACTTCATAGCAGCATCCATGGCCTTCACCACTCCAGCCATTGATTGTGTCACCTACAATTGATTCAGACAACAAATTGTGGATCTTCCGTTCTCTATTTTGTTGAGCAATGCAAGAATGCATAAAAGTTTATATTTCATATTTTGTTACTGTAAAGCCTATGTTTAGAGGATTAGTTTAAAATTTATATACTGGAAAAGCCATTAATAACAGATATATATTTTATTTTGTCTAGTTTAAATTACAAAGGTATCAACAATGCCTCTAAGAATACAAGCTGGTTAAAATAGGCCTACAGCCAACGCTCGCAACTGAATAGCGTTGTTCTTGTATATTTACGCCAACGCTCGGAAAGGGTTAAGTCACAGAAACATACCTTTCTAGTTGTAAGTGCAGTTTGTACTCTGCTGGCCACAGCGTCTACTCTTGCGCTCATTCGCAGATAGTTAACGGACTGGTTCTTCTGCCTGATGGCGTTTTCAGCATGGATTCGGGCTACCTCCATGTTACCCTTCTGTATAGCTTTTTTTGTCTTGGCTTTTTCAGCCTTCTCTTCTTTCTCACACCGTTTAGAATTGCGCTCAAGCTCTTTGACTGCAAACTTGAGATTAAACAAGTGATATGTGCTAGTGTTAAGGATTCAATAGTCAAAACTTGTTTAAGTAGGTACCGTAGCCTACACTTACTAGTTTTCAAACCCGATCATGATAGAAAATGTAAATTGCTCTTGCAGTTTTCATCGTGCATCCACAACATGACAACACATTGAAAAATTTATGTTTATATTAATTGCAATGTTTACATCTATGATAAGTTTGGTGCGATCTATTCACTCAATTATACATATATGTGTTTTATGTTTAAAATGAGCTGACAAACAAAATTTATAACAAAATATTGCAAACAAAATCCACTTACTTGTGATTGGAAAATAATGTGATCGCAAGGTAGAATAGGCCAAAACGCACATAATAATCTAATGAGTGACTTATCACATCCCACATAAACTAGGCCTAGGTAAGTTGGTTACAAAAAATGTAGCTGAAGAGACACGAACAAACAATTGTTAATAGGCTAACTTACCCAACACCCACAGCGTTCTTCTGTTGCAAAAAATAGCTGTAAGTTAAGAATTGTATGTAATGCCCAATACCGAGCCCATTGCAAACCATTGTTCAAACTGTGTGGTGCAATGACTATTGTTAATAATTACATTTTACAGAGCCTAGTAGCAATCAAAGATAATGAGAGTGTATTTCTGACAAACAGCGACATACATATATGTATAATACAAGGAATAGAAATAACTTTCACATGAACAGATCTAGGTTAAGTTTGGTCTTGAATTGTTATCCTGTTTCAGGTATGAAATTTTTCAATCGCCTCCCAAAACACCTGTAAAAAACCTGTGTAAAACTAAGTTTGTAAAAACTATAAAATCATGGCTTTTGTCAAACCCTCTGTATAGCTTGGATGAGTTTTATGAAGCAGATCTCTCTAGCATGATTAAAGAAAGATTTAACACAAGTAATGTATAGCTTGGTAAGATGCACGGTTTGCTGCTTTGCAGATGATGTTTGCTTTGAACTCTTGATTTTATTTTGTTTGCTTGCATGTCGCTTTTTATTAGGCTATTTGATGTTTGATTTGTGCATGTTGAATTGTAATGCTTGATATGACTTAGCCTATTGTGCAGTTTGTATTTAATGGCCAAATAAAATGATTTAAATGATTCAACACAAAAACGCATCTGACTTAATATAATCAGGGAACGGACTCAACAATTTAGAAAATTATGAAGGCCTGTACACTTTTTGTAAAGCAAAATAGACTTGTTTGTGCGGTTTTCAGTTGTTCCCACGGTCGCAGAAGACTTTTACTTAAGTCTCGGGGACCGCAGGCTATGCTCCTCCCCATATCCAGTCCCCTCGTAGTCGAATCTGAGGGTTCCACTGTACACCCACGACATCCTAAATAGTGAGTAGGCCTAGGTGATCAGCAACAGTCAGGTGGTAGGGGTACAGTTTCTTAACTGCGCTATGCTAATATAGATTGAAACTATTGAATTGAAAATATTGATTTATAATTGTTTCTTTTAAAAATATCTGTTGTAAAATGAAACTGTCATAACCTAACCTAACTAAACAAACTTGCTGATAGTGAAAAAATCGCATGAAGGTTACTAATCGAATCTATGGTTTCGATATTGGCATAGCCCAGTTTCGATCAATATTAGCATAGCCCATTTAAGGAACTGTACCCAGTGGTAGTTCATGCTCATGCAGGTTCAAGGCGTAAAGAGGTTCGTAGCACATCTTCTGATGTGAGGGATTGTGTTGTAGAACAGATCAAATGGCTGCACTTTAATTTATGTCCTACACTCATGCGAATGAAAATATTGATCGATATATATATTAATCGATAAGTTATATCGTTTGGTTAGTTAGGTAAGGTTACCTAACCTAACTAACCAAACGATATATCTGTTAAAATTGAATCAACTATTCTTTAATAACACTCACACAATAATAACTTTTATTTACTTATAATCATAACAAAACTAGATATATAACATATGATTTTATAAAACAGGTAATAAGTAAATTGGATGATGTTGTAACTCCAACACACCCTCTCAACATCATGCCTAGTAAAGTCCTAGGTAAAAGAGTGATCTTTTAAACACTTGCCCTAGAAGTGGCTTTGTTAAAAGGTCCGCTTGATTATTTTCACTTGGACAGTATTCCAGAAATACTTTGTTCTTATTTATCATTTCTCGGACGTAATGTTTTCGAATATCTAAATGTTTTATTCTAGCACTCATCTTTTCATTTTCAATAAACTTGATACAGCTCTGATTGTCTTCAAATATTACTGTAGGATTTTCTTGGGGGAAGCCCATATCTTTCAACAATAGTCTTAACCACACTACTTCTTGAGTGGCTAAGCTTGCGGCCATGAATTCAGCTTCTGTTGAAGAAAGAGTGACATTAGTCTGTTTTTTGCTAATCCAGTTTATAGTAGTGTTTCCTAACTTGTACATCATTCCGCTGATTGATTTTCTATCTGCTAAGTCACCCCCCCAATCAGCATCTACATAGCATGACAATTTCAATTCTTTTTCCACCCCTAATTTTAATTTCTTGTCAATGGTACTTTTCAGATATCTTATCATTCGCTTTACAGCATTCCAATCACTTTGGGTGGGTTTTTCAACTCTTCTAGCTAGAATTCCAACAGCTGACAAAATATCCGGTCTTGATGTCACAGCAAGATAAAGAAGTGATCCTATTGCCTTCCTGTACATTTTGTTATCCGGCAGATCTGGTGACATAGCTGTTGAGTTGATAAATCCAACTTCCATTGGTGTTCTTGCTGGTTTACTGTTTTCCAGCCCATGTTCAATTATGACTTTATTTATTTTTCTTCTTTGGTGAATGTAAAAGTCTCCATCCATCTTATCAATTTCAACTCCTAAGTAGTTGTGAACAACTCCTAAGTCTTTCATTTCAAAGCATTGTGTCAGTTTTTGAAATGTTTTCTTGACATTTTCAATTGATCCAACACACAAAATGTCATCAACATGAACCACTACGTATGTATAATTTCCATCAGTATTACTCGTATATAAACAAGGGTCAGAATTGCTTTTTTCAAATCCCATGCTCATCATTGTTGTATTCAGTGTTTCATTCCAGGCCCGAGCTGCTTGTTTTAGCCCATAAATTGATTTCTTTAATTTATAAACTTTATCTTCATTATCAGATTTCACAAAACCTTCGGCCTGTTGCATATATATTTCTTCTTCTAACTTTCCATTTAAAAAGGCTGTTTTTACATCAAAATGATGCACAGTCAGATCTTTTGTCGCTGCTATGGTTAGTAAAATTCTTACTGTTGTTGAATTAACAACAGGAGCAAATATTTCATCATAGTCTTCTCCATATTTCTGTGAGTAACCTTTGGCTACTAAACGTGCCTTATAGCGCTCAACCATACCGTCATCTCCATACTTTGCTTTAAATATCCATTTACATCCAACTGCTGTTTTCTGTGGAGGTAAATCTACAAGTTCCCATGTATCATTTTTTAATAAGGCTTCCATTTCTTCTTGAGCTGCTACAACCCATTGTTTTTTCTCAGGTTCAGGCAATTTCTCCAATTGTTTCCAAGATTTTGGCTCAATCACATTTCCTTGAGCTATTAATGATACTGTAGTCTGTTAGGAGGAACACCTTTTGTTTTTCTTTCAGATTTTCTTACTTTCAAGTTAATACCATTATTCTGATGATCATCTCTATTATTATCCCCATCAATCATATATGGCTCGTCATGTTCAATCTCTTCCATTTCATTTGACATATGTTCTTTAGTTTCATTTGTTAATGTTTGCCTATCACCAAGTACATTTTTCTCATCAGTACCTTTTGGTTGATCAACTTGAACACTTCTTTGATTTTCTTCGACCTTTTCATGTCTTTGGAGTAAACTGTCTACAGGCAATACCATAAAGCTTGAATTAGTATGATTTGCATCGACATGTGGAAAGGAAGATGTGTCAAAAACTACATCTCGAGTTGTAATGATTTTCCTATTTTCGGGTAACCACATCCTCCAGCCCTTTGATACATCTGAGTAACCAACAAATATCCCTTCTTTTGCTCTTGATTGAAACTTGTCATTTGTCTTGTCTAGGATAAAACCTTTACAACCAAACTTTTTTAGATATGAAACATTTGGAATTTTCCTATACCATCTATGATATGGTAATACACCATCGATTGCATCTGATGGGCATCTATTCCTAACATGAGCTGCTGTTGCAACTGCCTCTGCCCAAAACGTTTGAGGAAGATTTGCTTCAATGAGCAAACATCTTGCCATGTCGTTTAATGTACGATTCATCCGTTCAGCCACTCCGTTTTGTTGAGGCGTTCCGCTATATGTTAATCTTCTCTGAATACCATTACAATTCAAAAATCCATCGAAGTCTCTGTTAACATACTCTCCTCCATTGTCTGTTTGAAGATATTTAATTTTTCTTCCTGTAAAATTTTCTACTTTGTTCTTGTACCTTTTGAAAGAATCTATTGCATCACTTTTCTTCTTCAAAAAGTAAACTTCAACCCATCTTGAGCTATCATCAATAAAAGTAATGAAATATTGAGATTTTCCATGTGACTCAGTTTTCATTGGTCCACAGATGTCAGAGTGAATAATGTCCAGCACTTCAGATGTTCTTTCACTTTTAAGAAAGGGTCTTTTTGTAAATTTTCCTTGAATACACACCTCGCATTGTAGAATAAGCTCTTTTGTGTTCACTTTAATACCTTTAACCATATTTAAATTGATTATTCTTTTCAAGTCTCCAAAGTTCAAGTGTCCAAAATGTTGGTGCCAAGACAATAGACTTGATTTTTCACAGCTTATATTCATTTCTTCACTATTCTCTTGTACGTAATAAAGTCCATTTAACCTATTCGCATGGATCTTTGTCTGTCCATTCTGATCTATTATCAATGCAGCATCTTTTTTAAACAAAACTTGATACCCATGGTCAGTAATTTTAGCTACAGACATCAGATTTGTTCGAAGTTCTGGTACATACAAAGTGTCATACAAATTAACGCTTAGATTTGTACTCCCATTTAAAATGTTCATATTAACTGTTCCAACCCCTCTTGCATCAGTTGATGAATTATTGGCAAGAGATATACTTCTTCCATTTACAGGTTTGTACTTGGTAAATTTACTGTTCACATGAGTCATATGTGAAGTGCATCCACTGTCCAAACACCACTGTATATCTTTCATTGACAAGTTTCATCTTGTACAGAAGAATTAAGTCCTACTTCTTCTAGCTTAGCAATCGCTACGTTTTGTTGATCTTTATTTGCTTTGGGACAAAATTTTGCTTTATGCCCGATCGCTTTACATATAAAGCATCGAAACGGAAAATCAACTGATTCCGTTCTATTTCTATAAGAGTCTTTTGAAAATCTTCCTGGTTGAAATCTAACTTTATTCTGAAATTTTCCTAGCAGAGCTTCACTACTCTCTTTCTTACCATGTTCTTTTCTCGCTTCCCACTCTTCTACAATTTTTATTTTCAAAGTTTCAGGAGAAGGCAGTGCATCTCTAGTTTCAATAGCAATTCTAAAGTTTTCAAATTCATCTGACAGGGAATACAAAAGAATAATTGTCAAAAGATCCTCATTAATATTGATGTCCATTCCTTTTAATTTGTCCACTACATCAAAAAACATATTAATGTAATCTCTGACATCATAATCAGGGGTCAGTTTTGCCAAAATTAGCTTCTTTAACAAAAAGGCTTTCCTTGCTGGTCCACTGGAATCATAAATGCCTTTTAATTTTTCCCATATCTCTGCTGAAGTGTTACATCCTTTCACTTGCTTTAATTCGCTTGGGCTGATAGAGAGGATTATATCTGCCTTTGCCTTTGCATCAGTGATTAGCCAAGCAGTCATTCTTTCACCTTCTTCTAGAGGCCTTTTAATGGTTCCTAACACATACCCAAGTATATCATTTTTAACTAAAACTGCTTCCATCTGCATTTTCCATGTGTCATAATTATTTCTGTTCAAAAGTTCAATGTGATTACTCATATTTCTTTCCTTAATCCTCACTTAATTAAGTCTCATAATCTGTTAAAATTGAATCAACTATTCTTTAATAACACTCACACAATAATAACTTTTATTTACTTATAATCATAACAAAACTAGATATATAACATATGATTTTATAAAACAGGTAATAAGTAAATTGGATGATGTTGTAACTCCAACAATATCGACTGAAACAATCGAATAATCGATATTTTCATTCGAATGAGTGTAGGACGTAAAGTAAAGTGCAGCCGATCAAATTCCAGAGCAAAACAGTTTCCAAGCCGAGCAGGTTGACAAGCTAGTGGGCTGAGGAGGATGAATGATGTGGTATGGTGCATCAACCAAAGAGTTCCCTATTTCTAATTTCTAGTGCCAGAGGGCACTTTATAAATCCACATTATGAGCTTTAATGAGTTTTTGAGTTAACTACCTCCTATAGGCCTAGGCCTAATTTAATACTTTAACGTTTTTCATTTAAATGGCAACCAATAAGAATTAAGGCTACTCTGTAACTTAGTTATGTGTAACTTGTATGTCATGGAGTGTTCAGTTAATTAAATAACAATAATCTTAGGACATGATAAAAGGATACTTTCCATGGCTGCTGACATCTTGAATTTAACAAAAATGCAGCACAAAATATATTTTAAACAAGCACACAAACACTACTTATGCCAAGTCTAGAAACAACTTATTGTGAACACTTGGTGAAAGTTTGAAGGCATAAAGTACTAAAATAATAAGTGAGATGAATATTACAGAAAACAATCCATTAATTGCACAAGGTTGACAATGGCAATATTTCAATTGGCAGTCTGCAGTGACAGCAACTCAGCAACAGCAAATGACTCATATTGACTCACTCCACTCCACTCAGTCACTCCAATTAACTAGAACTACACTCAGTAGTGCCCTTGAAGCATAGATTATATTTTTAAAGCAATTAGTGAAACAAATTACTCTAAATACCTATTTGAAAATCTGTTTCGATTTGGGTTTTTCTATTTTTCGCCCATTTTAACATAAGTTTTATCTTGAGGAGTATGTTTTATCATAGATACTTGTGTTGGTTAGTCTATGGTTTTATCTATGGTTTTATATCAAAACGGACTATTCTTTTGCCGTACAAAAATCCAAAATGCTTTGCAAAGCTGCATGGTGCAGAGCTGAGACAACCCTTCTTGCTAGAACCACTAAACCATGAATAAGTGAACTTGAACTATTAGACTTAACCTCAAATCGCTTTGAAATAACAAAAGAAGCATCACGCATTTACTCACTCACTTTCATTAATAATACAAGTTTTCTTTCTTCCAGTGTTTGTTTAGTGAGTGGAGTGCAGCAAGTTCAAGTTCGTTGTGTATAACTAGTTAACTTGTAAAAAGTATTGACTCCGATAATCTCAGGGTACCAGTTTGTAACGTAAGTAAATAATGTAGATGTAGGCCTATGTAATGGAAAAAGTACGTCTCGATATATACGGTATCTAAACATTTAGAAACAAAACTTTATTGTAAGCTATTGGCGTACTAGGCCTGATCGAAATATTATTTAGTAGGGCTGTGCTTTAGTTTACGTCCTACATTTACTCATATAGCCTACTGCAGTTTGGTTAAGGTTAGGTTTAGTAATGGTTTAGCTTAGAACAGTTTCATTTTATAATCAGCCGGTAGTTAATGTATAATGTATAACAGTAAATGTAGGATGTAAACTAAAGTGCAACCTTTAGTAGGCCTAGACCTGGTTTTAATCATTTTAACCAAATGGTAGGCTAATTGCGCCCAGAGATCCAGGGATCGGATTTCATCACGCAATACGGATCTCCTCGCCCTGTGCGTGTAAGTTTCGGATCTCCCCCCAGTCAACACATTACAAGAGCACACATTAGTTTGAAAACCACGTTTAGCGAATTTCCCATAGGGAATAAGCTATTTTGGAATTTAGGGGGACCCAAATGTACCTATATATAGCCTAAGTTTAAGTTAACATAGGCTACTCATCTAAAACTCAAAACTCAAAAATGTTAAAAGAACAATAAGTTACTTTCTCCATATAGCTTATGGTGTAAGGGGAGAAAGCAAAAAAGTGGCTCCAGCCGCTCCATATTTCATAGAACATAGGCCTACCTACATTTTGTGTTTTTGTTTAACCTAAAATATTAACACATAGGCCTACTTACTTATGCCTAGGCTTAACTTATTATTGGATTGGTATTGGATAACTTAGGCCCTACTCAATGAATTGAAACATTATACAATTTAATTAAATGTAGAATAGTCATAGATCTGTACGATTGAAAATATTAATACTTTTAGTTCAATGTTATTGTGTTGGGCATCAGCTATCAAATTTTCATCATAGAATTACTAAACAAAAAATAACAAAACTGTTTCAGCAATTTGTCATTGAGTAGAAAATGATGAAACATCAGGACAACAATCAGCCTCTTGGTGGGGTGACAATCAAAACAGAACCTGGTATTAAAACTGAACCAGGGACATCGTCTGGTCCCGTCATGCAAAGACTGCCTTCTCTTCGGCCTCCGAGAGATCTGTCGCTATCAGCCTACAGTCAGAAAATACCAAATTTGAACCAATCAAAAAACAAAAAAGTCTACGTACCAAACTTGAATGTGCAGCGTAACAAGCCTGCCGAGTAAGTATTAGTTGTATATTGTGTTTTGATTAAATTTTACTCACCTCGAAATGGTCTACATACAATACAATACAGCATATTATAGCTTCTTAAATGTTTTAAAACTTTCTTCATGTGAGTGAATTTTCCATACAGGGAATAAGCTATTACCTTAGCTCTCATGGCAGCTCAGCAGCAATAGAAAATTATTTTTAAGTAATAATAATGTTAACAAAACATTACAAGAACTTTCAGTCTCGCTTAAGCATTTCTATTCATATACAAACATTTTGTTTATATAATATAAATATATCGTCAATAGTTTTATTGCTTAAGTTACACTATTTATTATTGGATTCTGACATCCCATATTTGGACCAGTTGTCGCCAATTTTTTTGTAACAAAGGACATGATGATTTTGATTAAAAAACTGACAACAACTTTAACATGGTAATAGAATGTCTAGTCAATAGTCATATCAATTGGTAAAGGTTACACCTAACATTCTTTTCATTCCAGTCTCATTCATAACAGCAGGAACTTTAATGTGTGTCGGTTTTAGTAGTTTTGTGTGTGTTCATTATTTTTTTACTGTCCTCAGAACTGTCACCACAAAAAAAGAACAAGTGAAACCAAATTTGACCCAAAAAACTGAAAGAAGCAGAGGAAGAGGCAAAAGAACACTTATTCAGGTAGCTCATTCATATTCTTCATCCTGTTTATGCATTTATGGTGGGATTCAAGATTGTAGGAGCCTAATTTTATTTATATTTTCAGACCTATGAAGATTAGGCTTATAAATGAAGCTACTTGGTATGCTTTTAATTGTTAAAAAAAAGTGTTATAATAAGTCAAGCTCCCTTGTATTGGATATCAAATTAATTGTAAGCTTCTCTTGCGTTGTCAATTGAGTACAACTGTGATTCTTTTATGTTTCAGCTGAACCAGTGTGTGTTTTCCGAGGGTGTGCCTGGAGCTAAGCCTGGAGGGGGAAGAGGTCGGCCGGGTGGAGGGGGGGAGGCATCCAACTCCGTACTTAAGAGGCCTACACTCAAGTTAAAGGTAACCAATATTTAGCTGTTTAAGATCTAGCATGGTTTTTTTGCACTTTAACATATGAGGTGAATAAATGTAAATGCTGAAGGTTAAAAGGGAAACAACAGAACGATTATAACAGAAAATCCGACATGTTCCCGATTTAAAATTACATGTCAATGATTATTATTGAGTCGTTAGTGAGTCGGTGGCTCAGTCGGTAGTGTCGTGGCCTTCGGGAAGGCAGCGTTGTTATTGGTTCCGATCCTGGTCACTGCCGAAAACATTTTATCAGTACAGATCTCCTTTGTACTGTACCGGCTCACTCCTTGCTTTGCTGTATACAATCCACGCACGGGCGGTTAGTCTATGTGTACGGGCAAATTCAAGGTTAAAAGAGGCCACCAACCTCTTAAAAAAAAAAAAATATTGATTACCCTTAAAGTCTCCTCCTGGTAGATTTCCCAGCCTTTGTAGTGTAAGACAAATGATGACAAGGACTTTGTACTAAATGATTACATAGCTTGAACTGTATCATTGGCTTGCTAGAGGCGCTTTACAAAGTATAGTTTAATTAAAATACAAATTATAAATACAATAAGAAAGCAATACCATTATCAATTTTTAAGGGTTTTTATGTTTACGTGTAAAATGAATTTTTTACGTTTATTGAACATGATTGTACTACTGGAACAAAATTCTATTATTATTAACTATGCTTAAAACCTGAGAACACAATATTTACACAATATTTATTTGGCAACAGAATTGAGCATTTTCTTCCTTGTCTGATACTTTCATTATTATTTTCTTTCTAACAAGATGGAACCAGTTTATACCAATTCTTTGAATATTCTCTTAGGCTACCAACTCTGTTGGTCAACAAAGATGAACATCATTTTATGGCATTAAAAATCATGTGATCATATTATTTAGCAAGTCGTAAGTCTGCTCATAAAATCTATAGGCTATGCAATCATAGTTTTAACATAATTGTTTTACCACAGGAGAATCTAAAAGTAGACAAGAAAGAAGAAGAAGATACAATGAAACAATTGCTTAAAGATGACTTTGTTGATGATCCCAATCTGGAACCGGACTTTGACAACTGTCCCATCACGTTACCGCTGCTAAACAGTAAGATTTTTCAGTTTTTTAAATACAGTTAGTTACAATATTAGTTAAAAGTTAACAGTGATCAAACAAATTGTGATGTAAATTCTAAAGGGTGGAATAAATCAGTATTCACAAAACAGGCTAGGCTAGGCCTACCCCTAGATTCAGCCACACTCAAATTTTTTCCTTGGAGTGCTCAGAAAAAGACGATAAAATCCAGGATAAAAAAGCTGTTCCACGGTTCAAACCGGGCCTCAAATGATTTATTATTTAAGTATAATGGAAAGGGGGGTCATCCTCACCCTCCGTTACTGATTTTTTTTAAATTTTGCCTAAGTTGTAGAATGACTGAGATAGCCTGTATGTAGTTTTATTTCTAGTTTTGGATGATCCCGGCCTAAAGAAAAGATCTGATGTGAAACCTGTCATCAAAAAAGAAGATATTTCAATTAACGATGTTTTCTGCGACACTACAAAACCTGATCCTGGTTTTATCTTTCTACAGGTACATAAGAGGAAGTTTTTAATATTATTAATTATTTTATTAGTGAGGTTATTTAAGACTTCTCAGTTACTATTCAGTAATTAATCTGATGAATATATTCTTGGTTTATATTACTGGCAAGTGATCCTTACGTTTAGTGTTACTAATAGATTTGGTTTACAAAATAGCCATGGTCTACTTATATTTTTTGCTCAGTTGTAGGATTATGTAAGGCTAGGCATTTGCTACTTTTTATGCCTTCTGAAAATAGAGCAATTAGTTTGTTTCGTACAATGGTTTTTGTTTATTTGAACTCTCAAAACATTACATTATCGTTTTATTGATTCCAGTCATTTTGTATTTCAGCTACCCAATACTATGCCAGGTCTGAATCCAGAAACAACAGTGGATGGACAAAAACCTAATGCACAATCCACTGTGCAGGCCGACCAACCTACAGAAATTAAGGTGGGCCTAAGTGTAAAATTAAATACAAGTTAGATTGCTAGTAGTAGTCAGTCACAGTTAGATCATGGCAAAGAATAGAAGAGTTATACACTACCGGTACCTTATGCATTTATGGATCAGCTAAACCACCTTGGGTTTACTGTGACAAATTCAAATATTTGTCTCCTGTTATTTAATCAAATTTAACTATCTAACTAATCAAAACGATCTATTTTCAAACTATTACTTGTTCCTAAGTATTTCGTCCAAAGAGTAGGTCTAGTTTAAATTTGGTTTGGTACGGTACAGCCTACAATAATTAATCTTTAGTTTTACCGTACTCAAATTGAACAGTAGGACTAATAAGACATTGAGATTGCACAATGGATAATGAAACCAGATTAACTTACATGTGTGTTTGTGTGTGAGCACCTGTTTCCTTTTATTGATAAACTTCAATATTATAATTCCACATACCTACCTGTGGCTGGTTCTATTTGGCTTGCAGTAGTCGCAGTCAGTATATTGGATTGAAATATTTTTCCTGCTATTTTGGCCCATATCCAGGATAGCCCTCGTAGATAAGTATTTGTTGTTCGTCATTAAGTTGCTTGATCACATGTTCGGTTTGAAACCTATTGTTTTATTGTGCAGCCAGAGAACAATCGATGTTTGCTGTCAACACTGCCTGGTGGTCAGATTGGGAAACTCCAGATACTTAAGTCAGGTCGAGCAAGACTGATTTTCGGAGACACAGCGATGTGGCTTGAGATGGGCACACAAGTCGCTTTTCAACAGGTATTTCTTTACTTGACACTTTAACCCTTTGTGTGCTATGTAACAATGTATCGTTGTTTTACTAACTTCTCTAAGGGATATAGAGAGGAAGGTTATTTTAACAAAAAGTAACAAAACTGCCATTGGTGTCCTGCATGTTTATACACTAACAACCACTTAGCTAAAAGATTTGCCCAATCCGATAATTCGAGGTGTATGTCCAAACCAAGGATTATGAACACCTCTCTATGCCCCGGTAGTTGTAGTATATCGCTACAAACTCACAGGTCACCAATTATTTGCCACACAGGACGGGAATCGAACCCGAACAAATGAATGCCACTGGCCAAGCGACACATCCAATCTATCTGTGCTTGGAGAATATAGAGTAAAAACTGGTATTCAAGATGATGCCAACAATTGCTAACAGATGGAGCTACAACCTAGTTGTTCAATGTGTGCAAATCTTTTAGGTAGCAGCACTAGTTAGTCACGGACTGTTTTGTTATTTTTCAGCTGAACCATAACAGAGATCATAAAGGTTACTGACAAACAGGGTTTTTTTCTAAAAAGGCTATATTATAATAACCTTATCAAACTAAATCAAGGTTTAATTCAATATTACGTTGTAAACTAGATGTCTTTCGGTTTTATGAGATTTTGATTTTAAATAATGCTAACAGAAGATTACAATTTATAATAAAACTTGGAAATTTATTACAAAAACACAGTTTAATTTATGTTTACTGAAAATACCAAGAATTTTCTTTGTTATATTTTTGCTATTGACTTATTTTTCCATATTAGGCTGATTAATAAAATTGTGAGAACAATACAGTTGCAATTCAACAACAGGTAATGGAATTAAAAGGCAAACAAAAAAGACTTACAAAATAGGCATTATTGGCCGAGTACTCAGAGGTAAATTGTGTCGAGACCAAGCATAGGCATGATAAAACACATTCACAACAGCATTAATAATCCTGTTTTCTGTATTTGGAGGGGCCAATTTTCATAAAATATTAAAAAAATTTGTTTTTTGTGCTTTTTGCTGTAAAATATGTTTTTTTTTTTTTTTTAGTTTAGGTTTAAGTGAGATGATACAAAAGAAAACAAAAAAACTGCTTTGTAAAATTGTTAGTATCAAATTTGCTTTAATTTGATTTTGATAAACCCTAGTAGAAAAAGTTGAAAAGTTAGTTCTGTACAGGGTTTTTTTACACAATCATTACAATATAATTAAAATTATCTTAAAATCCTGCTAAAATCAGCCTTTTATCACCTTAGCTAGAGGTCAATATCACTTTTAAGCCAAATTAGGTTAAGAATATAGCTGGATGAATTTATTAAAAAAGTTAGGTTATATACTGGATTCCAACTAGATTTTTTAACAAAATGCGGTTATGTTACAGGAAGTAGTGTCAACTCAGTTAAACAAGGAGAATCACACCGGTCACATTATAAACATTGGATCACTGAATGTTCGAATGGTCGCAATGCCCGACTGGGAAGGGCTGATGTCAAAACTTAACACTCAGACTAATGTCAAGCTATAACAATGGTATTGACAAATAAGTTGTGTTAGTGTGTGTGTGTGGCCCAATCAATAGTTAAGTTTTGACAGATAAAAATATACCATAGCTACAAGCAAAATATAGGATAATGTATTTTTATTTTTATAGAAATTTGGTTTAAGTTTTATTTATACAAAATGTTAAAAAATAGTTTTTTATAGAAAATTGTAGATAAAGAGTAGAAGAGTTCACTTTGGCTCAAGAAAAAAAACTTAATAGTAATTCTATAAAGAAAAATTAAAATATTTCATTGTCGCTCACAGTAATTGTTTCAAGGAGGGTTTGAGTTGAGAAGAGACCTGTCTTTCAGAACCGTCCTTGTTTGTAAAATGCTATCTCAGTGAAATATTCTGATATTTGTATAAAACGTAGATTTTTTTAGGATTCATTAATCATTTTGGAAAGTGGGTACGCTTTTTTATTCAGGTAAGCCAGTTATCCCAACCAAAGTCCTTAAAACCTAGATCCTTGTGCTACATGTTAAATCCTTAAATTGAAAAAGAATGGTTCTCAGTCTGCAAGTTTTCTGATTTAAAACCACAATCATATTCTTTTAAAATATTTTGTTTTATTGGTATTTATTGACTAACCATTACTAGTCTTGTGTATAGTCCTGTTGTATTTTTTATTTCATTCTCAATGATATTTTTAAAGTGTTTTAATTTAAAGTTTTGTAAATACTGTAAATATTTCATGTTAACGTTAATATTTATGAACTATACATAGTGTGGCTGTTAAAGACTGAAGTAGGTATTCAAATAAATAGTTTCATAGAAATGATTGTTATGTATTTGATTATTGTAAATATTTTTGGATAATAAAATGGTGATTAAAAAGCTGTGTTGTTTTAATATTATCTCTTTTTCCATTAAAGAAACAAATAACTACAGCTTAATATGTTAAAAACTTTTAATTTGCACTAAAGAACCCGTTTATTGAGAGAAATAATAAATAATTCTTTAACCCTTTAGAGACCCTATAGTATAAGACGCACTGCGTAAGACCGGGGTACTTTGAACAGTTTCTGCTATGTTATAGAAAAAAATTCTATAACTTTTGAATAGCAGCCCTCATTAACATTTCTGCATGCTGTTGTTGATTTTTTAAATTTTAAATTTTGTTTAGATAATCGTTTATTTAAACTGCCAATATATCAGAAGTTTGTCTTTTCAGCAAAAAATACTAAGTTGGTCTAAGGGTTAAAATGCATTATAAATATTAAATTTAAAAATTACTTGTTAGAGATTTGTATAAATACAGTAGCAATTAATCCTCGAAAAACTTTTCATAAATCTTCAAGTTAGTTGAATACCAAAATCTAAATTGAAATGACAAAAAGCTATTTTTCCTACAGTTACCTAACAATGTACATGTTCTCTCACTGATTTGAGAAAGCAAAGTGGCCAATTCGCTCATCAGTGAGACAATGTTAACATTGTCTCACTCTAATTACTTTGTCTCACTCCAGATTTGCAACGTGAAGGCACGAAATAGTGAGCGCATACATGCAGGCAACGTCGTATGCGCGCGAAATACGTTGGCAGCACTGGCTGTAAATCAGCTGGTCAGCTGTTGTACTGTTGTATTTGTCACTTCACATTAAATGTTATATTAAAAGTTCACTTCTGTGTAAAAATAGGTTATGTTTCTTCACAAATTTATTTGTTTTATGGTAACTGTAGGAAAAGTATAATGTGCAACTCGAGTTCAAAATACAATTGCCTCACTCGAGAAACCATTCCTCACTCGCCTACGGCTCGTGAGTAAGGATTTCTCTCGAGTGAGTCAATTGCTCACTTTTCTCACTAGTTGCACAAATAACTATTGCACATCTTTTACCTCACATTTCAATTTCAAATCCATATCAACTTTATCAACTTGTTATGTCCTAAACTCTATTGACTTATGTAAATTTATATCTAATTTTTCTCATAACTCTTTTCTTATCTTAATTATATGATAAAGTAATTCTTTATCAAAAAGGCATCAACTTTATACAGATAAAACATATATTCTGTCTCAAAGAATTCTGTATGTATATATTTAAGACAAAATGAGTGATTTTATAGAAGACCCTAATGAAGAAGGATATGAAGATTCCATAAATTATCAAAAGACAGAAAGCTATGGAGGATCTGAAAGATTTGGATCTGAAAATTTTGGGGGATCTGAAAATGTTGGAGGATCTGAAAGATTTGGAGCAGCTGAAAGTTATGAAGGAACGAAAAGGTTTTCATCAACTGAAAGCTATGGGCAATCTGGAAACTACAGAGGAATGACTGAAAATGAAGGAGGTTACAAAGTTGCAGCAGGTATGAGAGATTTGAATGCCAGTAGGCACGAGGCTTTCCTGAAGAGGAAACAAGCACGGATTGAAAACACCAAGATGAACTATGAAAGCTGGGAAAATGACAAAGAGTGTAAGTATTGAAATTTTACTTTTGTACATTAAAGAATCTATTATTACTCTAGTTGGTAATTTTTAACAATACAAATAATTTTTATTCTCAAGCAATCAATAAATGCATGGTTTTGTTGACTTATGTTTGTGGTTTGGTTTTAAAATTGAACTCAGTTACACAGAATAGATGTCCTGTAATGTAATTTACCTAACCCGCCATGTTAAACTTCCCTATCCCAAGCGTGATGTATACAACTTCCTTACTTCTCGAGTGATGTAAAGTTGAAAAAAACTCACTCGGTGATGTAATGAAACCCATATAAATAACATTGAGTGGATAACTTAAAAAATTTACCTCTATGGAGCCAACGACGTTCAACGCTAGAAATCAGCTGTGTGTTTGAATTTTATTGTTATGCTTTGAAGAATTTTCCTAACCTAAATAAATAAATAAATAAATAAAAAGGCCTTTATTTGCGAGCGAGTTTCATAATACATGGTTTTCAAACTAACTCAAGTCACTAAATCTAAACTATCCTAAAATATTTACATAAGTATATACAAACAAATTACAACAGAATAATTACAATATACATTTTACATTTGTTTTTTTCATTGCGGCCCTGAATGTGTTGTACGATTTTGAACACTTGATCTCTTGAGGGAGGCCATTGTACAACCGCGGGCCGAAATAAGAAAAAGCCTTTCTTCCAGCCTCAAGCCTCACTTTAGGAAAGTGAAGCTTGCGGTCGGAGCGAGTACTACGCAGACAGATCTCCCTCCTGTACTTCAGCCTCTCGCTGAGGTAATGAGGCTCTCCCAGCGTGAGCACTTTGTGGACCAGGCAGCAGGTCAGCTTTCTGCACATGTCATCCATTGGGATGAGCTTAGCAGCATCTCTGTAGGAGGACACGTGTTCAAAGCGACTAAGGCCAAAAATGAACCTTATGGCAGAATTTTGAATTCTCTGAATTCTTGCCATATCCTCCTTAGAGACGCTGTTTCCATATGCAGGAAAGCAATATGTGAAGGCTGGAAGGACCAAGGACCGCATGAGTTGCGTTTTGGCAAATTCTGGCAGGAGAGTTTTGAATCTGCTAAGACCTCTCAATCTTCCCACTGCGCGTTGGACTGCAGATGTGACGTGGTCAGAAAAAGAGAGGTCTTTGTCAAGTACAACACCAAGCGTGTTGACAGTGTCACAGACAGACAATCCCATGCCATCAAGGGTGACTTTAATGTCAGATTTTCTCAACTCCTGCATTAGAATATGTGGTCCAGTATGCATGACAACACACTTGTCAACGTTCAATCCAAGGCCATTCATGGCAGACCATTGAAAAATGCTGTGCAAATCAGCATTGATGAGTTCAATTGCTGCGGATGTCATGTCTGGCTTGTATGACAAGTGTAATTGACAGTCATCAGCATACAAGTGTGCTGTACAATATTTTACACTTCTGGGCAAGTCAGACGTGTATAAATTGAACAGCACAGGGCCTAAACAACTACCTTGAGGAACACCTCGCAATTTGCAAAGCGGATCTGATGTCCCACTCCCAATTTTGGTAACCTGCAGTCGGGACTCCAAATAGGACCGAAACCAACATACAACTTTTTCGCTGCAACCATAGTACTTCATTTTTGCCAATAATAATTCATGATCAATAGAGTCGAATGCTTGAGAGTAATCTAAAATAGCTAATGTGCTGTAGAATCCTTTGTCTTTGGCATCAAATAGATCAGCAAACATATTAGTCAGTGCAGTACACGTGCTGTGGTTTTTTCTAAACCCTGACTGTAGCTTAGGCAGTATATTATACTCATCTAGAAATAAAGCAATTTGTTCGGTTACTATCTTCTCTAGTATCTTTGAAATAGCAGGTAACACAGATATCGGTCTTAGCTGCTGGATGGTTTTTGGCGTAGCAACTTTAGGCAAAGGTTTCACGTAGGCAATCTTCCAACTGCTAGGAAAAACACCAGAGGCCAGGCTCATATTTAATAAATGTGTAATTGCTCCTAATGCATATGGGCTAACAGATTTTATCATTTCTATAGATATATCATCAGCACCTAGAGCTTTTGATTTTATCGAGTTCATTGCCTCCTTAACATCATTTTCTGTAATAAGTTTGAAATTAAACCTATCATTATCTCCGTGTTTTCTATCTTTTTGAAATACATTCAGTATTTCAATATCTATATCTTTTCCCGATCCCATATTGGTGAAATATTCATTTATTCTGTTTATATCTAAATCAGGGGGGAGCACACTATTTCTCTTACTACTTATAATCTCACAATTTTTTAAACAATTCCAGAACTCTGCAGGTTTTTCACATTTTGCAAGCTTGTTAGAGAAGAATCTTTTTTTAGCCTCTAGTATCATGGAATTCAATTTATTCCTCGAAGTCTTGTACTCATACCAGTCCGAAGAATCTCTGGTCTTCCAGTATTTGTTACGGTGCTTATTTTTTAAAAGTGACAATTCTTTAATCTTTTCATTTATCCAAGGAGCCTTTTTCCGTGTTACCTTCTTACAAACAACAGGAGCAACCTCATCAAACACCTTCTTTATATTATCGGTAATGAATTTCTCTATATCATCAGGAGACTCTAATTTGTACACATAGTTCCAGTTAATATCAGCAATTATATTTAGTGCAGTATCAACATTGAATTTGGAATAATCTCTATATGTGATTAGCTTCGACCCCCTTTTGTCTTTCTGACAAGATATACAACAATATATTAATTTATGATCAGTCATCCTCATTCCTCTGTGGTCAACTATGCTGGGGGTGTCTATGACTCCAACACTTTCAATCTCGGCAGATTTGTCTACTATAATATGGTCAATCAATTTTGCCGAGGTTTCTGTCACTCTTGTAGGCTCGTTGACAATTTGTATAGTGTTGGATTCTCTCATCAGCCTACACAGGTAATTTGTTTCGCAGGTTTGTGACAGCATATCAATATTTGTGTCCCCCAAATAAATGACTGATTTGACTTCAACCGCAAGGTCAATAAAGAGGGAGCGAAACAGATCCGAAAGGCGAGTGTACCTTATGTAGGAAGGCCGATAAACCACACATATACCAAACTTACTCCCTTTGAAACTCACCACCACACAGAGATGCTCAATACCAGGATCGATGAAATCAGGTAGGGGGTAAGGCTGAAAGTCGATGCCGTCTTTCACATACAATGCCACACCCCCTCCTGGGTAACCATTTCCAGCATTGCGATCGCAACGAAGCATTGAGTATCCCGGTATAGCATAACTGTCTGTGGGTGTGTTTGGGTGGAGCCAGGTCTCAGTAACCCCTAAAATGTCAAAATTAAAGTCATGAACAAGTGAGCAGAGCTCATCGAAAGCTGTGTTTAGAGACCTTATATTGACATGGGCCACTTTGAGATTCCCTTTACCCCCCCTCCCAGTCAGTTTTCCGGGATATGAGAAGCCCTGGATGCCTCTACAATAGTATTGGAGACGCAATCGACACTCTCAGTCCCGGGAACATGACAGGGAGTAGGAGCAGCTCCACGAGAGAGAGAACTCACACGATCCAAAGCTGCAGAAATGTGGTCCACAATCAGAGAACCTAAGCGAGAGGTGCCCCTTCGATTGAAGTGGACTCCGTCCCGGGCTAAGTCACTCCTGCCAACACAACGGTTTGGATCAACAAAATTTACGCCAAAATTATTACACATGAGATCCAGCTGAGAATTAAAATCACGTAAAGGCTTAAAAGGAATGTCATGGCGAGTTAAAACACTATTCAGACAAACTTCAGCTTTTGGAAACCGTGTCTTGGCAGTGTACAGGAGATCTGCCATATGATGCAAACTCTCTCTCTTACCGTGCCCGCCGTTGTAACCCGGACCTCCCCTAAAACCTCTCTTTAAATTATTACAGCCAACATGTAGGTAAATAACAGACAAATCCTTATCTATAAAGCTTAACAGTTTTCTTTTGACATCTTGGATTCTGTCTCCAGGGCCGCAATGCACTTGAGCACCTCTGTTTGAGGCTTGTTTACCAGCAAACTTTAAATGTGAGTCGCCAATGACTAACACTTTTTCAAATTGATTTGAATGACCCTGAACTAAATCACTCCCAGATCTATTTACACAAACATTAACATTGCACTCTGAAACTGAGGTTGAATTCTTAACATCTACGCTAGCTGAGTCAGAGACTATGACACCTGTGACAGTGGAATCAATACAGAGTGGTACAGATTTACAATGAGTGTTGTTAGATCTCTTTAACATTGTTTTTCTATTTTTTATTTGATTTTTAGAATGCTTTTTTTTTACAATTTTTTGGCTTTGTTATCCAAGAACCTGATGTGTTTTTAAATACCACACCATCAGACATCTCATTAATATTACTTAGGACGGCAAAACTGTTTTTACAAGGAATTTGAGTTTTGAGTGTATTATTACTTTTTACTTTATTACATTTTTTATTCTTTTTGCATATTTTCCACTTTTTGTCACTGTTACGCTTATCACTACTAGCTGAGTCTACCTTATCGACCGTTGTTTGGTCAGCAAGTTGTGTCGTAGTCAGTTCCACACTTGTGTCCACCGCCGTGACGTCACTGATGGTCGTAGCCAGGGTGCCCTCATCTTGCCGTGGGAACGTAGGTGTGATGATCTCTGCGCAGAGTTGAGCCAGCAGCAGCCGCGCGTTGACGATCACATGTAGACCACACTCGAAACCCGCAGTCTGCTGCGCCACACACCCCTCGGTTAGTTGGATGCCGCCACTCAGTCCCAAGTTGTCAAGGAGTATCTGAGCATGCCGTCTGTTGACACCTCCCGAAGAGTCGTAATGCACTGCAGACTGTTTACAAGTGTCCAGCAACAATAAACTCCAATGAGTACCCCCTTGCTCACTTAAGGAATTGTTGATACAAAAGAAGAAATAACGTTTGGTACCAAATTGTAGCTCAGATAGGAGGGTTTGTACTTGAGATTTTTCACCAAGCTTCAAAATTTGAGTCAGTGATGCTCCCACAAAAGTAATATCAGTTCGGTGGTTAGACACTTCCGTATTAAACAAAGTGAAATATGTAGTCAGTAACTCGTCTGATACCCATTTGGACTTGTCATCTATCGTAGCCTCCAAATTGTTGAGCGCCAATGACACATCAGAGAGTTTTGATTCTAAAGTCGTGCATTGTGACACATTTTTGTCTAAAAGTTTCTTCAATCTACTATTTTCAACAATGTACCGTTGGTTTGTACACTGCAACCTGTCACAATCCTCAACAAGCCTATCATGCTCACTTTGCAATTGTCTTAATGTTAAATTGACATTGGAAGCCTTAACCAAACTATCACTCAAATTACGAATTTTATTTTCTAAAGAAAGTCTTTCACTAACAAGACAATCATTTGCAACAAGTGACTCGTTAATCTCCCGACGGTGGTTCCGCGTAAACACTTCCAATTGGCAATCAAGTTCCTTCATTTTAGTCTCTGTACTTAATAACTTATCATTTGTTTCAGATAAGTGGCCACATATAGAATTAAATTCAAAAACAACCTTAGCTGAAGCATTAACCAAGTCTTCATGGCCACTTTGATTACAGTTTGCAACGAACTTTTGTAGTTGAAGACAAAAATTGGAAATTATTAGTTCAGTATCATCAGAAAAATGTGTACAATCAGACATAAAATGTTCTAAGTTGTCCATTTTTTATATTAAAATAATAAAACCTGATGAGAGTATACTGACACGGCTAAATCACAACGAATAATAATACCAAGTTGATGATTGACGAGATATCCCAGCGCCTGCAAACTCGTATCCTGGATGCAACGCAGTACTGTAGTTGTTTTGCGTCGAGCAAATTGCAGGAGTAGCCAAAATTACGAGTGGTCGTAGGCCGGCTAGCAGCGCAACGCGACGGGGAGAAGCGATACGGGAGAAAGTCTCTGCGGCCGGCAACACTGGTCCCGATGCGCGGCGGCGAGTGCGCAGACGTACCAAACACGCTGTCGCACAGTCTTATCAAACACGAAACTTGAGTTATCAGTTGTCTGAATATTAACAACGACAAACCACGATGTCGTTACACAGTAAAATAATAAATGTCCAACTGTCCAAGATCAATAGTAACACTAAATTACGTAGTCGCAAAAACATTATACCACTAAAACATACTTTTAAAAACTCACAAGACGTGCACCCCTTCAGTTCAGGGCAGATCACGGCTGCCAACCCCTAGCTTTTGTTATGACCTAGCTTTTGTTATGACCTAGCTTTTGTTATGACCTAGCTTTTGTTTGTAAATTAACGTTACTGTTAGAAGATGAGTGAAATTGATAACGAAGCATATTGCTCGTAACCTCCTGCATATTGTCGGGTCAGGTAAAATCTTGTACGTTACACGTTACGCAAGAGCAAGTTTACATCACTTCGGTGAATTATGCAACTCGCCTTCGCTCGTTGCACAACATTCACCTGCGTGATGTAAAAACGCTCTTACTACACTTGTAATGTAAATAGCTATTAAATGTGTACATTTTATCTTGAAGGAGACAGCTGGAAAATGAAACAATTTATTAATTTAGTAAATGTTAAAAACTTAAACTTATATTTTGAAACTGTCTTTTATTCTTATCCTGTGTGTATTCTTCATCGGCCCTGGCCATTCCCATCTCTTGGCTACTTTCTCTTCACCTCTTTTTTGGGCGTCCATAAGGAATTCAGTAGAAAAAAATACCGTAGTTAATTTTTATCATCTTGTCCAAGGCCTTGCTTACAGTAGCTCGTAGTCACTTTTACCACACCTACCATAGCATATACTGGATTTTCTTATCATTTATTTTAAGCATTTGGTAATACTTGTATTTATAGCCTATATTATACAGAAGATATTTTTGGCCCAACCAAATAACTGACTTTAAAAAAATTCTGTATACCAATTTTCATTGGCTCCCGCCACTCAACCACATAGTTCTGAGCAGCTTGTCAAGACTGGTATTTTTATGTAGGGAGGCCATTCACCATCATACCCAGGGACTGGTGGCGAGCCATTCCCCCGAGTCACTCGGCTCCATTGATTCATCCCGTGGACTTGATCGTAATGACCTACTCCCACGGCAACACCTGCTGGAACACCTACTTCTGCAACCGTGAGGTCAAACGCATCCAGTCCAACCATGTGCAGAACGGAGCCGTTGACATAGTTTTCAAGTGAGTATGTATTCATAGTTATGTTATCTTCAAAGCTTGCAGAAAATTCTGCGTGGGGGAAATAGACCACATACTGTTTGAATGCCCAGCTCTGTTAAGTAAGCACACAAAATCCCGAGGGATGCTTTAGAAGAGTTTAAGGAGATCAGGGAACAATAATAATGAAAGTCTTAAGCATAAATGATCTAGGATGTCACCTGGGATGAATCTTGTCATACACACTATACGCTGATACATAACTGTTTTGCAATACAATGAAAATCAAGTCCTGGTTAAAAAAACCATTAAGGTTGATTACTATCATTAGCATAACTCTTGTTTTGAGACAAACCACCAGGGGGGTATTTTGATCTGAATATGAATGCAAGAATATTGTAGAATGAAGTGGGATAATCTGTGTAGACTTATCACTGTAGATCCTTATTGCCTAAGATTGTAATCTTGTGCTAAAATCTTGTGTAAAATTGTGCCTTGATTGATCGAGGCAGTTTCGCCTCGATTGTAAATGTTTGTCCCCCCCAAAGCCAAGCTGAGTACTATCGGAAAGCTACTGACTTCTCAGGACTGAAAGGGTGACCTTTTGATTGCCAGACAAGTACTAATGTCTCAGCTACCCAGAATTCTGACTGAATGAAATACTAATAACTATAAAACGTCTTCCAAAGAAAGCTTTAGAATATCCAAGCACAAATTGCAGTTTTGGTAGAATGTCTGAGACTGCTTCACCAGGTTAAATTTAAAAAAAAGTTTCATTTTTACATGTCCATCATATTTTAAAAATTCCATATAAAACACACAAACATGCACCTATAAATATTCTTTGTTCAATTGTGGGTGTGTGTATGTAGACCAATGTATTGTGTTATGATAATTGGCATGTATATAGAAAAATATTTTATTTTTTTATCTTAATCTGATCTGCATAGACTTCTGAAGTTGTGAAATTCCCATTTAACTCTTGTGGTGGTTTGCAGTTTCTTGATTGGAGGCAATGGACAAGTTTACGAAGGTCGAGGATGGAACTCATCACCTCGGCTGAACCACAAGTTGCAGCGGTTTTCTCGGAATGCCCTGCATATCGCATTCCTTGGCAACTTGAGGGGTAAGTTCTCAAAAATGTAAATCTTTTGAATGAACTCTGTTTAAAAAATGCTTTAGTTAAAAATCATTGCATGATCTTACGTAAAATAAAGTCAACTATGATGTTCAAACTTTTAAGTTTGAAGGTTGATTATTCAACTGAGCGCTTTGTTCTTTAGTTCATGTAATTTCCCCTACTCAAAACAAGTCATGAAAACTATTCCTTTTTCTCTGGTATTCCAACCAAAGACACACAAAAAAACACAACTTAAAATTTACGCTAAAATAAGAGAGAAACATTTACGCTTGAATACATTATTATAAACAGTAGTAGGAGAAATTTTGGTTGGTTTTACAATGGATTCCTAATTATTAAATGTTCTTATTTTGGTTGTAATTAAATATGTTTAATATGACATCCATCACTTAATTTTTTTGTCATACTGCAGCAAAAACAGCTGTTTTTAATGCATGGTCTAACGTAGCAGTTTTACTCTCGGAGGAGTAAAAATTATTTTTAGTCTTTAGGGAGTTAAAAATCAGCTGTTGTAAACAGTTGTAAATTTAGATTGTGGCAATCATATCGATCAAAATCATTTATCTATTGATTTATTCGATAAGGTTTTAGCATATTGTTATCGATTACTTGACATATCGATGGTATAATTACTAAAATGCTGCTTATTTGCATTAGCAGAATTTAAAACAGTAAGCTGGAAGTCATTTTGAGAAGTTATCTTTACATACGGTAACAATTATTTTGTTTTCTAGCTTTGTTTGTTAATTATTTAATGATGCAATATGATGAAAAATATGGTTCACCACATGGGCAAAAAGTGACTTTTTAACCCTGCTCATTTTCCGACCTCGGTTTCGCCTCGATTGTAAAACTTGACCTCTTTAGTGCGATGAAATAAACTAATTTACCCATAGGGAGTAAAAGAGCTACTTTAGGCCCTGCAACACATGTATTAAAATGGCTGTTTTGCTGCAGTGTGACAAAATACAAAATAGTATATTGTTTATGCTTGTATGATTGAGAATTTAACTATGAAAGCGATTAAATTGTTTGCTGAAGTATACTATTATGGCAGCTGTTACTACAAAGTGTGATTTTGTAGCCAGTAACAAGCTACACAGATCATCTCACTCCATTCAACAACCAATCACCCTGCATGAATTTTAGCTCATAATACACAAATTACATCACAGTCTTAATGAAATGTCTAAATGTTTGCTTACTATTTTTGTATCTTTTTCCAGCGACCATGCCTCCACAGAAAATGTTTAATGCTGCTCGCGACCTCGTGGAATTAGGAATTAGGAAACACTTTATTGCTCCAAAGTTTTTAGAATACACATCAAGATTATGTAAGTATCTCGAAGGGTTTGATTTACTTTATTGAGCACTTTTCATTACTTATTTAGTTTTCTGAAGAGTGTAGTCCTAAATCACTCTGGAATTTGACAAATGTCTCGTTTTAGTCTCTTTACTTGACTGGTTTATTGTGAAAGGTACAGATTCAATTTTGTTTTACATATTGTAAATTTTGCGTCATGGTATCCACATACAAAATCCTGTATCTTTTCTTTGTTTCGATTATTTCCATATAGGAAATAAGCTTTACCGTAGGTCTCATGGTAAGACCTGGGCCTGGGACCGATTTTCTTTTTCGCTTAGAGGTCCCCAGAGGCCAAAAACACCATTGGTTCAAATTCATATAAATATTTATATAACTGCTGAAACATTCTTATTAGTTTTTGTGGCCTTATCCCGTAGAAGTATTGTAGTTAACAACACAAAACTGTCTTTGCCAATTATGTAAGCTTCATCAGAGTCAAATTAAATTATTACTCAATGTACATGTTTTTGTGTTTTCAGGGTCTATACCTGGAACGCCGACTGACTCAGAAGTGCTTAAAGATCTACAAGCTTATTAGGTGAAAGCAGAAGAATTACTTTGAGTAAAACTTAGATTTACAATTTTAAATCTTTATAGTAACATTTAACTTTAAACATAAACACTGCTGGCTTAAAAACGGACAGAGTGCTGTAACTGTATGATAAAAAAAATGTATTATTCCTTCATGTACTTTTCATCGTTATTGTTATTCTAATCCAAAGTGAAAATGTCTCATAAAGTTTTTGAGTTTAAAGTCTGGCAAGGTAACAAGATCCGTAAGATCATTGTGCAACATTGTTCATGTTAGAACTTAACACATTTAATTACAATTTAATAAAACTTGTCAAATAGTTTGGCCAATAGTCAAATTAATTTTTGTATTATTTTGCATATCACAAAGGTTGGTATTTTATAATTAAAACGTTTGATCTGTTGCAAATGAGTTATTACCACAATTACCTAAGATTTGCTTGTCCTTTCATTAACCCATTAACGACTCTTGTGTGTAGCTTGTCACCAAATTTTCCGCAAGATAATCATACTGCTATCCCACTGGCCCTCAAGTAGTACGTAGAATCTAGCCTACCAGCTCTAATGTTGTTGTGTGGCAATCGACCTGTTTGGCTGATGGCCGACTCTGGCATGGTAGCTCAGTTGGCTAAGGCGATGGACGTAGTGTTAAGGTCTTCCTACATGCACGGGTTCGAATCCCGTAGTGTAACCATATTGAGCTTACTAATTTGTGGCTTGGAGTAGACCCCAACTTAAATAAACAGTGTCCAGCTTGGGTAGAAGTTGACAGCATTGGCGAGTTTATTATGGATTGCAAACAACACCTGTCATAGTTATCTTAATATCAGTATAAAAGATGAGGACGTGGTTTTTTTATTTTTTTTTATGTTAAAAGAGGACATGTCGTGTTGAAATGTGTAAGATAAAATACATAAACTAAAAAAGAATGTATTGATAGTGAAAAATATCCCGGTGTCTACAAGTTAAATAAATAATCTTTGTGTCTATATTACATTTATTCAGATTCGGCTAAGTGTTATCAAAATTCTCTTTGTTAGCTAGTGTTGAAAGTGGTCAATCACTAGCTCATGTTCTTCAAGTTAATGTTGTATTTTATTTATATCATTTGCTTATTGTTCAACTTGAACAGATTGTAAATTAAATAAAGTAAAAAAAAAATTGATATCATCTATGCGATGACAGATGAAAAACTAAACTAATCTAAAAATAAAATGAGAAATAATTGCACCCAACAATCTAGCTGTGATGAATACCCTCACTTAAGAGCTCAGCCTTTCAAAAAATTTGCAAATTTAATTACAGCTGATTTATTTACTTTTTAAAACTTTACTTTCCTCAGGATCGAACTGTTAACCATCTTACCACATGGCTTTCACAGCTCAGCTATACAGAGCTGATGGTTGTTTCAGATCAATGTTTCTAATTTAATGTGAATCAAGATAGAAATTGCTGTTTTAAAGAGACCTTTGTAAAATTGCTGCAGTTATATTGAAATAATTATTTTGTTGAGTAATAGTAATTTTATCAACGCTTAAGAAAAGAATTTGGCTTTCCAAAGTTACATAACATTTTTTACATCATTCATAAAAGATTATGGAGATGAAATTGTTCCACTTAGTATTGCACAATTGCCTCCAGTTGTTTTGTTTTTGCTGCCGCTGTTTTTGTTGTTTTTGATTCCTAGATCCCACTATGAACTCAGAATGATTAAAACATGTATCCTCATATCTTGATTGTTAAGTATTTTGGGTTGTCGTTGTTAATGGGTTGAAAATGAAATATGCCAATGAACTAAATGTAATTCGTGAAACATGTATATATTTATGGTACAAAAAGTAAAGTAGTAATGAATAGTCAATTTCTTTTTCTTATAAATTACACTTTTAAAACATAAAGCTATAAACTACAATTAATATACCCTAATATCACAATGTGTTTTGCTTTACTAAAAAAAACCTTACAAAAACAAAATCATGTAAAATTGTAGTGAAATTTTTCAGAATTTAATGCTACTGCTATGAAAATTATTATTGAAGGTTTCTTACAAACCAGGAAAACAAAGACAATGGAATATTATGCATAGATTATAGAGAAATTGTTCATACTGTATTTCGAATTTTGTATTTCTGCTGCCAATTATTCTGTATGAACGGTGACTGCCACAAACCACCATGGAATTACAGAATTAAATTGCTAATAAGTGACATGGTTGTAGTGTTTTTAAAAAATTACAGTATTATCTTAGACCCAAATTTTGAGTTTTTTTTTACCCTGGTAAAATAATTTCCAGATTTCGGTAGACAATAGAGTGTCCTGACACTCTATGGTCTATCTCTTAAGTCATAGTTGTTATTGAAGATTTTTTTTGGGCTCTAACTGACTTTTTATGTGTTTCTTAAACATTATAAGTTTCGACATTGAATCCTCCCAAATGTAAAAAACATCATCAACATACCGTAACCAGAATCTAGGTTTAGTTTCAAATTACTTAATTACATCCTGCTCAAACTTGTCCATGAAAATGTTTGATAAGATGGGGCTTAACACGTTCTATCGAGGTGAGCGATGCCCACAAACAATCTTCATAAATGAATAACACCTCGCCTAAAAACATGTCATCGTCGGTTCCACACACCTTCGGTTTAAGTGGACGGCCAAATTAATATTAAAAGAGATCACTACATAGAAAATGAGCCATAACTAAAGTACTTCTGTTAAAATACCCCTTCCAGCAGGTCTAATTGTAAAGGCCAAGTGTATTTTTGAAATAAGTGAATAGTCCATCCCGAATCCTATGAGGTTATCCTGGCTTTGGTACATTTGATCACTTGGTGGAGATTCTAGAACAAAAAGGTACCACAAATTTATCAAGAATTTTTTATGTTTTTACCTGATAGAACATGAAAATGTTGATTCTGAAATAGCATTTATTTATCTTCATTTTTATATAGTTCACCAGACTCATGACATTTTCTCCTCTATGCAAGTGGCATTTTGTAGGTGTTGTAAAGATTATTCAATCGCTTTTAAGACAAGCGGGCCAAACCCTTATTTTTCATCCAATAACCTTCATCCTATTGTATTTCAAGTATATTTTCCCCAGGCTATTGGAAGAAACTCAAAATTTTTATAAGAAAGCAATCCAAACCAATTGCTTTAAATTTAACCCATCCCTCTTTTTGGTTGACTTGCTTATTATGCTACATTTGAGCACACTATTGTCTATAACGTTTCTCTCTTTATTTAGGGTAGATTTAACAAATCTAAACTCTGCTCTGTAATTACAATAATAGAACAAGCAAGAACTATTTCAAGTTTACATCAAAGCAAATGGCCATTATACAATTTTGTTTACATCCATATGAAAATGGGGTTATCGTTACAGTTGGTGATGTTTTAGTGGATTCAAGTAAAATATTGTAATGTAATTTGTATAAAATGTAAAGAAGAAAATCACTTACAAGATTAACATGGTAGAAATAAATTGACGTTACCTGCGAAAATGCCTATCAGACCGATATACAAGCTGCGTTTGTTGTACATAGTATACTTGGGTGGTAGACTTGGACGGCTATACCAACCCCGACCTTCATAGATTGACCCATCTCCTCCGATCAGGAAACTGTAAAGGACCACACTATGTGACTGCTACCCAAAACAAAATATCTAGATCTTTACTTCAATACTTTTCAATCAAATGGCGACCATACAAAGTAGGTATTTTAAGCCAAGTATGAATGGAGATGAGTGTAGGATGAGTGGCGCGATCTTGTATTTATTTATCTATTTACAGCTAGCAGCTAATACAATAGTGTTAATGTTGTTTATTTTTATTTAGGTTTATTTATTAGGTTTGTTTATTTATTATTCATTAAAGGAATTCTTCGATCAAAATAGTCAAGCAAGATGAAAATTCAAATTACAATCTATGTATTGATCACTGTTGTATTTCTTAAAGAAATCTGGGTAAATAAATTGAATTGATTGATAATTTCACATACACGCACGAAAAAAGAATTTAAACATTTAGAATACCAGGCCTACTATTAACCGGTCGCGGTACGGAGGAAGCAGTGCTGCCTCTTATTTGTTTGCTTTTAGATTAACGTAAAGTACTAATAAACATTTACCAGATCAGAATCCTTACTTGTATCGCACAGCTGGACAATTTCTAATCCGAGTAGCGTGTCTCTCCAAATACTGAAAAAAATATCAGTTAAATTTCACTTGTTCACATTGTAATTTTGTGCTTTCAAACTTTTCTGAATATTAGTATTAACAGTCTACTGTTCTTTTAAATCTTGAAAGGGAATCTTAATTGTAATTAGTTTAAGTTCATTAGTCTGTAAGTTCACTTTTTGTTCACATATACCTTACCTAGAGGACCCTGTGCTGCTCTGCAGCATTGAAGTATGTTTTTTGATTGAGTAAAAAGTTCACATAATATGAATACGTTCTTTTCTGTTTTTACATGATTCATTTTGAAATTTGCATTAGATTTTTAGTTTAATCACAAGAGTGGCTTCTGTCAGGGTTTCATCTATCTATTTATAAGTAGTTTGGCTTGCTGACCACCCTTTTTACAGTTTGGATGATTTTTTTGCAGAACACAATTGTAATGGTAAAATTGTTCTTACTTTAGTCCCTAGCTAGTCAACTGTTACCTAGTCTTTCAAACGCTTTGTTTAAGTACCTCACTTTTTGTTTCTGTATATAGTTCTGTGTTGTTTTTCAAATGATTTTTAACTATTTATTCTCTTGTTTTCTTTGTTATATTTAATAGTAGTGAGACCATGTTATACTATCTAGAGTCTATGGTCCTTTTTGGCACCTTTTTTTTGTTAACGAGGTCTATTGTAACATCTGTAATTTAATGACCAATAAAGATTTATTAATTTATTTATACTATTATAAATTTGAGGTGGTGTCTGTCACAGAGCATAGAATAAATATACAACTCTCGGCGCGGCTGCGGGTTCAGGGTGTAGAGTAGTATTATTCGTACAGCCATATAGTATTATTCATTCGTTTTAGTTTTTGTTATTTATTCGTCTCGTTATGTTTTTGTAGACTTTATGACGACCTCCTAGGAGCGACAACCATGTCTAGGCTTGACAATGACACCATAAGTGTGTCGAAACCGGTAGCCATTAAGTCTACCAAAGATTACGTTGGCAACAAGGTATTTAACCTCTAGATTAGTAATTGTTAAGTAATCCGGAAGGCAACACCTCAGAAAGGAAGTAGGCCTAAGTATTTTTCCAGGATTTTAAAATAATTTCTGAATCCAATGATTACAACACTTAAACTTTAGCTAGTTTAAAGAGTATTACAATTAATCTAAGCCTACACGTGGTCATGCCTGTACTTCCTCCACACAAGAGTTGTATGAGCTGCAGGGACTTGAGTATGTGTATGATGTGAACACCGATGTGACCGGTAGATGCAACTTCCATGACCATCGCGGGGTCTGACCTCCCCACATCCGTCTGGTCGTGATGTCCAATGTCATATCTGTAAAATCATAATGTAAAAGGTTACTAAACCAACACAAACTTTCTTCCAGTTCAAAAGTTTGATGTTTTATCAAACATTTGGTGAACGACGAATTATTTTTTCAACACTTTCAAAATATTTGAATCCAAGCACATTGGTATGACACTGTAACAATTTGGGATATCAATACTGACTGCTTTATGATATTGAATTTTCTATTAATTTCTTTTACAGCATAACAAACTTTTTAAACTAAAAATTACTTCTGCACAATGTTATTTTGCCCAATATTTATAGTCTATTATATAGAGTTTCTGATGAATTTATATGGTAAAATATACCAAACATAAGAGATTATTTAACTTCAAAAACATAACTTTTGCAGTGTTATAAACACACAGTTGTAATCAGTTATTTGTAAAATAACCCATAACTTAAAATTGTTTAGGATGCCGAGAACCTATTTTATGGTCTTCTGCTACAAACAAAAACAAGTAAAAATATCTTACTTCAACTGTAAAATAAATACCCCCGCTGCAGCAAACCTGCCATCTAAGCAAATTCCCATTTGCCTGGATTGATTTTCAATTAATCTATTAAATTAACATTATGTTTAACGAGTACTTAGGTTAGTTGTTACAGGGAAACTAATAAAGTGTGTTTTTTATTAAAATAGCAATAGCTTAGTATGAAATAAATAAATCTGCCAAGTTTGATCAAAATAAACAAGCCAACTACGACATTTTACAATAATATTCTCCATAAGAATAATATGGGAATTTTAAATTAAAATTTTTTTTTAATTTTCTCCGTAACCATTCACCGTACAAAACACTTTGATATTCTAAATAATTTTGTTAAGCTCTTTAAAAAAGTCTGGAGAAAAATTGATAAATTTTGTGTTTTAAGGGTAAAAAATGAGAAAACCCCATTTTCACACCATAAAACCCCCCGTTAAACACTGTTCCCATGGTCCGATCATGCTGGTTTGCGAACTCATTTAAGTTTATCCCGTCTTTACACCTTCAAATTAAATTTTATCAGAATCGGACAAAAATTACTCAAGTTAATCGTCCGGACATATATAAAAATTTGAACGAATGGTGTTTTTGGCCTCTGGGGACATCAAAATGATAAAGTAAATCAGTCCCGGGCCTAGGTCTTACCATGAGAGCTACAGTAATAGCTACTTCCCCATAGGGAATATACCTAACAATAAAAAATACCTAATGAATTTTGTAAAGTAAATTTTGGTAGGTTTATAAAATATATTATCACACCCCCTGGTTCATCAAACTTGCAGACTAAGCAAATTCCAATCCGCCTCATGAACGCTTTATAGATATAGGCCTACAGTATACGTAACAAATTTTAATTAACGGGGGTTTTATAACAAAAAAGTATATTAGCCCCTATTATAAAGTGGTATATAAATAAATTACTACTATAATGGTGGTCTATATTAATATTTGCTATAGTATGATTGACGTTCAAAAAATTAACTTAAGAAAAACTTACAAGGCCAAATGGAAGTCTACTTAAGTTCCTCAAAAAAGTTAACATAAGTTACACTAAAATGACTTCCTATAATGTTTCATGAATTAGTAACTATTGCTTATCAGACATGAGTTATCTAACAACTACATAAATTGTATCACTAATCAACAATGTTGCTTGAATCAAAATGATAAACACCACTTTAATGGATGGGATTATAGCAATTAATTGTCAGCAGAAAATGTATTTTATTATTAATAATAATAAATAATAATAATAAACCAGAAAAAATCGGGCATTTATCAAATTAGTTAACTCAGTGTGACATGACAGTTTTGTTGTGAGATGATGAAGTATGTTGGAACAACAAAAAGAAATGTAATAATTAGATTGAAAGAACACACTTCTCACATAACACATTACAGACCTAAAAAATCTGCAAATCAACTTGCTATTCTTATTATGGTTTATGGAAACTGCCTTGTTTTAAGGTGCAAACATGAGGGTAAAGTCAATTTTCAGTTTTGACTTCAACTGATTTTACTCAAAAACCGTTTGAGTCTCAAACGGTTTTTGAGTAAAATCAGTGTCTCAAACTTTGAGACAGAAAAACAAACTTTAAATACATAAGTTGTAGATATTTTATTCCTGCACTAACTAATTTACATCAGATTTAACATCCAAGCATTGGTTCAGCCAGCCTTTACAGACCAAAATATAAAGGCTTAGCCTACATCGTATATTTTGACCGGAAATTGCTTTAACTAAATTTGCTTTAAATTAAAAAAAAACTCGTCTTGTTGCACATTTACACTATCATACAGGGGACTGTATCAAATTTTACAATTCTGGGTCGTATTTTGTTTAAAGGTAAATATAAGTTTTTAATTCGTCAAATGAGAGGTATTTTTGTTGAAAAATAAATTGGTATTGAAACAAATGTTAGTTTTAGTCAATGGTTTTAGGCCCTACTTCTTTCTCACTATTTCTCCAAGTGCAAGACTGCGCTGCACAGTGCACTGCACATGTTGATTGGAATGATAACATGTGGTTTTATAAGGTCGTTGATCCCTGATTCCCCTGCTACCTACTCCTTTCTATTTCAACCCGAAGAGGGGTGATGTTAGTGGGTGTTGGGAGGGGAACGAAATGCATGCGACACGAGACTACATCCTGATAGGCTCAGTCCAAAGAGAACAGAAATAAACAATCGGTTATGGTTATATGACAGAGTTAGAATACAACTGAAGTTAGCACTGGTACTACTATTATTGATGATGTTCGCATGAAGTCATCCTAAGAGCATCGCTTCGCTTCTCTCAATGATAAAAATAAATAATTTAATTGAATTAAGAATGTTACTTACTGCGTGTGCGTGCCTCCTGATTAAACAACCCTATTTATTAATACCTTATAATGTATAATGCATATAATAACTGTGAGTTTAACAAAGTAATATAGCCATTGCATATAAACAAACCACTTAGCGAATTTGTCATAATCAACGCTCAAGAGCGGCACAATTGATCCAATCGAGTAATGTTGAAACAGGTCTGAGTCGTCAGGGTTTAAGCTCGAGTAAATCGAAGTGCAATCTCCGAGGAGAGGAGAGGAGCCTAGCTGCTCAGCTTGTTTAGCATCGTCTGCCAGTGTTTATAAATGCAACGCAGACGGACTTTAGAAATTAATTTTATGGAAGTTTTTAGTGGTAATACGAACTTCAGGTTTCAGGGAACGTGGTGCTATAGCTTGATCTTTAAATACTTATCTTTAAATTTAGGTTGTATTAAATTAAATAACAATTTTTAAATTTATTATGAGTGTAATAACGTTAAACGATAGAATTCACAGAAGAAGTGGCCATGTTGCTGTCCCTTACAAAAACTGTATGCTCGTTTGGGGTGGATACATGGTAAGCAATCCTAAAATTTCTTACGTACATAAAATAAAAAAAGTTTTAACATTTCGTGATTTGGTGTTAACATTGGTCAAACCAATTAAAATACTATGTAAGTATTTTACCATAAAATCCTATGATTGTAAGACATTTTTATAGGCCTAACAACTAATTAACTTAGGTACTTACAATTTAGCTTAACTTGAATTAAAATGACCTAGTTTATTGTAGGTTTTTATAATTTCCATTTTTTGGGGTTTAACTTAGGCCGTGTAGGCCTTCAGTTCTGCAGAGAACCTGCAATATTATGAGATGAATAACAATAAATATCGATGATTATTTGGTTCGGTATTTCTGCAGAGAACCTGCAATATATTATTGGATAAAAAACAATAAATTAATATTGATGTTTAATTTGGTTCGATATTAATATCATAAATTGTATACTATATATAACTTATGATTAAATAAAAACAATAACAAAACATTATCAAAACTTTTTTTATTTATTATTTATTTGTCCCTTAGTTTTTTCTTAGATGAGCCTATTTAAGAATAAACTGAAGAAACCAGGAATTTTTGAATTCTAAGTTATGTGGTTAATAAGTAGGTGGGTATATCAACATTATTAAAAATTTAAAACAATTTTTGGTTAGGCTTTGAAATATTGTTCGTTTTATTCGAATAAAAACGCAAACAAATCATAAATTAATTCTGTGTTTACATTGGAAAAAAATAAACAATATTTTGTAATGGATACCGGTATATTGAATTGGATAAACATCGATAGCCTATGTATTGTTAGGTATTCATCCGATAATATATCGCAGGTTCTCTGCGGAACTGTACCCAGGCCGGGGAACTGGCCTGAATAGGTATAATTTAGTTAGTCTGATCAATACAGTTTCAATTTTGTTTTGTCGTTTTGCAATGCTTACCCTATAATTAACTTAGTGGTGTATCATACCTTTTACTGCTTGAGTTTTGAAACTTGGGAAATCGATTAGGCCTATGAGTTTAACTGACGGTTTTAAATTATTTACTTTTGATTTTTGATATAATATTTTGAACTTTTTAGGGTATTACCAATTTATTATCTACCGACATAATTTACATTTTAAGTTTAACACCTGAATTCATTATTGAAATGTTTTTCAATGGAAGTCTAATGTGTGTGCTATAGGCTGCAATTTTGATTGCCCTTATGTAAATCATCTACTTATCTTAGATGAAGTTTCTGACTGTTTAACATTTTAGGAGCAAATGCTTGATGCTGATATAGAAATCGCCTACAGCACCTACCATCCCACCGATGAGTTATGGGTGTACAACTGCCTTACAGAAGTATGGTGAGTAATTTAAATCCATTATTATAATTCCCAGTGATTAGGCTTTAAGCCAGGATGTCTTGATTCAGAGACATGGCTTTGCCCCACAAGAGAATTTTGAGTAACTTACAGCCTTTTTAACATCTAATGCTGTGCGTCTAAATCTAGTGGGAGCTCAATTGTTATGAAAAATATTACCATATTTGAACGGAACACACAAATTACAGCCTAGTGGGCCTGCAAGTGACCCAGTGACTTACAGTTATTGAATACAAAATTGCATTGTTGATGAGACCAAATCCAGTAGTTTTACTGAACATTCACACAAATGTAGCCCAATCATAAGTTTGGACTGAGGTGTAAGAAGGATAGAACTGTTTGTTCTTAAGTGTAGCTTTGTCACACTCCACATAAAATGAATACTTAATGTCCTGTACCAGTCGTGTAGAGGGTAAAAACTTGAAAACAGAACAATTGCTGTCCCCTATATCTGAGAAAATTAATACTCACCAATAGTAATTAAGCCTATTTTTTTCTAATGTTTAGCCTTTGTAGTTCATAAAACTGATCTTATTTCTCTAAAATTAATTCGTAACATTTATTATTGCTAGAAGAGAAATTCGACCTCTGGTTTTGTGTAATCTGGGTCACACAAACAATCCTAAGTTTTGAAAAGGATATCTACAATGAATTATGCAAATTAAGATTCCAATAGCTTTTTAGATACCCAATAATACCAAAGTGTGAGAAATGTGGTTGCTATAAATATACAAGATGTAAAAAAAAAAATTGCGGTAATGATTTCAAGATCCTTCTATATTCTTTATCTAACTCACAATACAAATTATAGGCTGCAATATTTTTTTCTTTAAAAAATATGCTGAAAAGTATAATTTTTAATTAAAAATTACCATTCAAGTTAGCAGTTTTATTTATATGCCAACAAACACACCTTGTGACCCACCATTTCAAGAGTGACCCAAATTACAAGTAATGTAGGTCACCTGACTGACATTACAGGGTAATGCACGTAAGGCGACTGACATTACACAGTGACTCAAACGCAAAAATGGGGAACTTCTATGTATTAAACAAAATTGTGTTATCCTTTATTATAAAAGTGTCCCCTTTTCGTTATTATCGTCTGCTAATAACACTAGGCGAGGTTCGTAATTTTTTTGCAAATCTAGGAGCCAAATTCTTGTCGCCCACATTGTTGTATAATCCCGCCCATCATCAGAATAGGTCAAGTAAAGAAAGTAAACAGGAATCATTTTCAATCATATTGTGGGTTATCAAAAAATAATTCTCTACATTGAAAACTCATAAGAGAAGTAATTTGGGTCACACAATTCACCAAAAGTAATGTAGGTCACACATCAGATCCTCAGATTTTGTGACCCAAATTACAGTGACCGACATTAGCATTTTCACTCTCGTCATTTACTAAAATGGAACATAGAGGCCATGGTCCCCTTTGCTGGCCACAAGTTTGGTTAAGTATGCGTCTGTCTTATATTTTCTTAGTTTTAAATAAGTTATTTGCCTTATTGTAACATTTATTACCAGTACCGACCATTACATAAAAACTCTTACAAAACAGATTTTAAATAAAGACTTTCCGAATAAACTGGAAAGCCTGGCATAACATCACGCCTAACCTACTTCACCCACAGTCAACAACGAACTGAGAGAGGGCGAAATATCGATCCGCCCGTAGTCGATAGGGTTGAAAGACCTGACGAGAACTGGTTCCGACCCTCGAACCCAGCATTACATTCACGGCCAGGGACGCGACTTTTAACGATCGTTATTGCCAGTATAATTTCATTAAAAAGCCTGTTTGGTAATTTTTGTCAATATTTTAACATTATAAATTAATTCAAACCAAATATTTAAAATTTATTGCCTTTATATCACTGAAAATATATGCTTATGTATCCAACTTCTAACCTAGGGGACAGGGTTTTTCACTAAATATACCCATTTTGGAACTTTTCAAACACACTTTTCTTTACTACATGGTATTAAAATCTAGAAACATAAACATATTTATTCGAAGGAAGGTATCTATATATTAATTTGAAACTGGTTTTCTTTGTGACAGCTAATTTAAAAGAACGGCTGGGCGTAGAAACCCGGTAGAGGTGTCTCAAGAAAGGGCTTGGTCTGTAGATGAGCCATCAAAAGAGAAACGTGGTAAAATCCCTTGGGGCTCTGCCCCAGTGGCCTTTAAATTCCCATCTCATGTTATTCTTATCGGGTAAAAACGGGTTTTTGTCACAGCTAATTTCAGAGAACGGCTGGGTGTAGAAACTCGGTAGAGGTGTCTCAAGAAAGGTCTTGGTCTGTAGATGAGCCATCAAAAGAGAAACGAGGTAAATTCCCTTGGGGCTCTGCCCCAGAGGCCTTTAAAGTCTCCTCAGCAGATTTGTTTACATTATGACTATACACTACTTTTTAATGAAACAGCTGTTAATATTTAAATTGTGATTATTGAATTTGTCAAAACGAAGTATTTACAAAGGTTTTTTCCTGATTTTAAAATTGATTTTCTTCTGCATCGTGTCATGTTTTGCAATATAATGTCGTAATGTTATAATGTGCAATCCGAATCAGTGGAAAATCCTAATATCACAGTAACTCTTAAAATTATTTCTTATTGAGTTAACTTATGTCTATTGTTATTGTTGGTCTTTTTTACCACTTCTTGGAGATTGTACGTAGGCGTGTTGCACGTAGATGATATTCTTTGGCATATTGCATCTGTAGACGATACTTGGTTTGGTGTAATTATTACAATGGAAAAAATCGAGAAATCCTGGACAATTTGATATAGGTCTAAAAAAACTGAATTAGAAGAAATAGAAATAATGCTTTTTTTCTTCATTTATAACTTTATGATAGAGAACCTAATGCGGCTATGAGTGGGAAACCTTTGTAGAAAACTCTAAAAAACAAGATCAGCTTTTGTAAAAAGATAAGATATTTACAAACAATTTTGATTATATCTAACTGTTGTGTACATCGTAAGTATGTCCATAATCTTTGAGTCGACTTTTATAAAGTCATCGGAAATTATGACCGTTATTCGTTTTAAAATAACGCCTGTAATGCTTCGCAATTGCTCGAATTCGAGCAACAGGTACACTAGTAATAAATTATTTTAAAACTATTTGGAGCAGGAATAGATAGCAGAAGAGGTATAAATAGCTGGGGACAGCAATTGTCCTGTTTTCAAGTTTTTACCCTAGATAGACCTTCGTGAAGGGGGTATGGAAACTAGTTTTGCACAGAAAGTTTTCAGGATCAAAAAGTATATCTTCATACGATCAATAATTGTCACCAAACACTTTTATAAGGACTTTTTAAGGAAATTAGAGATATCAGTCAATGATTTTTGTGTTAGGCCTATACTATATCCAACATGAATTGGATCATAATCACTAGTTATTGTGAACAATTACTTTCAGTGAACTACAAGTGTCACTTATAGACATAATTATAACTTTTTTTTATCTTTCACTCGTGAATATAAATGTCTGATGAAAATAAATGTATTTTCAAAAATTGGGTTTTTGTTACAGGTGTCGCGTTCTTACATCAGGTGATATTCCCCCAAAAGTCTCCGGTTGCTGTGCCCTTTTACATGGAGACGATCTCTACACATTTGGAGGTAAAATTTTTATTGCAGATACATTTGGATGAAACAAAATCAGTAAAAAAATTATTTCTTTAAATTTGATTCATATATGTAGGGTAAATGTTTAGAAAGTCTTCTGTGGGATTATCTCTGAAATTACGATACAATAAAATGCCATGGAGTTTTGGAGTTTTTTGTATTTTCTTTACTTGAGGCATGTCAAATTTTTTTTTTGAAAGGAATGGTGGTACAAACTCTATAATGTTACCGTAGCCTGAGACAAAGAAAGTATAAATTGGGATCAGAATAGTTGATTTTTAATGCTGATTTCCCCATAACATAAAGTAAAAATTATGTTTTCTCGGAAATTGGTCTAAACTATTTTGATATAAATTTTGTACTGTACCTATATTATAATTATTTCAATTCTGAAAAATATGGTATGACTCCTATTTCTGTATAAATTACAGTTCTAAAGTTATTGTAACTAATGTTTTTTTCCTCACAAAAAACTATGAAATAACGGAAAATCAGATTTTCAAAAAAGCCTTTTTGATTGAAATTAGTTTGTTATTGCCCTTATAATCTATATAAATAAAATTCCTTTAAATAAAATAGTACAAGCTCTAATTGCTGTAAAAATTACAGTTGGTTCAAAAGTTATTGCAGCTTTTGTGATGTTCCCTATCAAATATCATAGTTACTCCCATTGCTTACCCATGAAACAGGTTGTCGACAAGCTAATAAGAGAAAGTATTTGTCAGATTGCTGATACCGTTTATTTTTCATTCATCATAATCATATGACTTTAAGTTTTTCCAGCAACTACATGTCAATGAGTAAAATAGCTATTTACCTTACAAGTGTAGTTAGAGCGTTTTTACATCACGGAGGTGAATGTTGTGCAACGAGCGGAAGCGAGTTGCATAATTCACTTAAGTGATGTAAACACGCTCTTGCGTAACGTGTAACGTGCAAGATTTTGCCTGACCCGACAATATACAGGGGGTTACGTACAATATTTTTCATTATCCATTTCACTCATTTTCTAACAGTAACGTTCTTTTACAAACAAAAGCTAGGTTAGGAAAATTCTTTAAAGCATAACAATAAAATTCAAGCACAAAGCTGATTTCTAGAGTTGATTGTTGTTGCCTCCATAGAGGTATACTTTTTTAAGTTGAGCACTCAATGTTATTTAAATGGGTTTCATTACCTCACTCATGAAGTACCTAAAGAAGTTGTTTACATCATGCTTGGGATAGGGAAGTTTAACATGGCGGGTTGGGTAAATATATTTAAACCATCAAAACCAGTTGCATAGAGTAATCCATCCAAGGGTGGTATGTAAAAATCGAATTACAAAACATTTTTGTAGTCCTACATTTCAATACTGAAAATCCTAACACTTAGCTATGAAGCATTCTGTTTACAGAGTTTTCAAGTATGTGACGTGCTTTGCTATCTATCACACACTCTGGTATGTGCCACTTCTGTAGCTGTAAAAAAACCATACTTCATCAGATATACAGATTAGCTTGAGTAAAAAACTACTTTCATTTATTTATTTTGCCTTAGTGTAACTTTTGTTATGATAGAAGTCAATGAAAATATTTGAATCTTCAATATATAAAACCATTTAATAGTCAAATATAAAACATAGGTACATTTTGCCATTGATTAAGGATTATTTCAAATAAAAATCCAGTAGATTTAAAGCAGATTTTACATTTGTAAGATGTTTAAGTTCATATCATCTGACTTTTTAAATCATACAATGTATAAAGAGAATGCATCATACCAAATTCATTATATTGTAGTATTTCAACTTGAAATGAAGAATACAAAGTGACTTAAATAGGTCGAGGTTGATTAAACTAAAAGGACGATCTCGTAGTAATAGCTCAATGTAGTTGTGCCAAATGGTGGACTACAGCCAAGAAAAGCGTTGACAACGCAACTTGTTTGTTTGTTGGACACACTCCATTTTAAACTACTTCAACTACTTTAAAACTATATTTTCCTTATCCCAATTTTACTTGAAAAATTGCAGTACCGGTAGGCTATTTAAAAGTTTTATATCACTGGATTGTTTTTACGAATGACATAAAATTTTCAAATATAATTTGAAGGAAGAAATTATTATTAAAAAGCTTTCTAGACAAGCCAGCAGGACAAGTAGACAAGCCTATTGTAAGTCATGACCAGTTGGCTTTAAAGCAGATTTTTTGGACAGTTAAGAACTTTTGACAATTAATTGACATCTTAGTGTGTGGTACAATATTAATGGTTTTATATCCAACTTTTGGCCGTTAGTAATGATATTTGTATTATCTGTATGGAAAAACAGAATAGTTCACCCCCTCCCCCTTCAAATAAATGGCTATATTTTTGTCAAATTTGGAAATTTTGGTTATTTCATACCGCTATAATCTTGTTAATAAAAACACACACATTATCACCTTCCCTGTAGCACCAAACCTAAGCACTCATTTATAATAATGTTATTTAAAAAGAATATAAATCTGATAATTTTAATGGCATTTACTTCTAATGGAAATCTAGCCAGGTTGGTGGAAATTCACCTAGGGTTGCTGCGGCGCAAGGCTATTAAAAAGAAAAAGAGGTTGCCTCAGTCGCGCGTATGACGTCACCCGCCGACCCAGATCTGTTTACAAATAAATAAATGAAAAACAAACAACAATAACAAAGTACTTGACAGGTGACAGCTGTGTGAATTAAAAGCAGCACCGTCCGGGTCGGCGGGTGACGTCATACGCGCGACTGAGGCAACCTCTTTTTCTTTTTAATAGCCTTGGCTGCGGCGGGGGTATTTAAATGAAACATTATTTAATTTGTACAGCTGTGTCTTAGGAATATGTCGGCCTTAGTCACTAACAAGACTACAAGATTGCACCACTCATCCTACACTCAACCTTTACTGATATTTGGGTTAAAATATGCACATAGTGGCGTCCCCATCTTAAATAATTGATTAATTGAAATAAAAAAATTTCACAAATTATTTACAATATTATCATTGAAAAACTTTTGAAAATTTATTTCTTAAGAAAATCTGAGATCAAAACTGTACTTGACCTAGAATGTGAAATACTTAAACCATTAAGGAAGTGAGACCTACTTTGTTATCAACACGTAAACATCTAAACACTACTTGTGTAACAAACATGTTTGTATATTTACGTAAACATGTGTTTTTCAAAGTACGTAGACTCAGTTGAGAAAGGATTTATAGTTTATAGCCTGCTGCTATCTTGTAAATGACAGTTTATCTCTGTAAGAGTGTGCAATATGTAGTAAAATGATACCCGATTAAGAAATGACTCAATCGAGAGGAACACACCCACATTTGTGGAAACTGATTTAATTTTTTATTTAATCTTACTTACCTAATACATTTTGAGAGCGGCAATGACTGTTTTTACTTGTTATACACAGCTGATTTTTCTACCACCATAATTAACTTACCATAGTATATAGATTAACTTTTTGTTTCTATATATAAAATGTCATTTAGGTTATGTTTGCTTTTTTAAGGCTAAGTTATTTACTTACCCGATGCTAGTGTTTTATAGAAATGCCAACAGGGAAATCAGCTGATTTAGCGAGCGGGAATAAAATTGGAAATTATCTATTTTGCACACTGTTTACAGGTGTGGAAATGTGATAATTTCCATGCAGTGGTAGGAAAGTTGCCATTAGCTGTATGGGCTATTAATTAACAGCTGTGTCTAAGGAATATGTCGGCCTTAGTCACTAACAAGACTACAAGATCGCGCCACTCATCCTACACTCATCTCCATTCATACTTGGCTTAAAATACCTACTTTGTCTGGTCGCCATTTCATTGAAAAGTATAAAAGTATAAAAAGTAGAACTTCCTGTTCTGTATCTGTATAAACATTAGGAGATTTAACAAAGTATCTAACAAAGATCTAACAAATTATTATTTATTGTTTGCAGGTTATCAACACAAGTCAGAAACTGGCACAACCAACCACCTTTACAGACTCAATCTCAAGACAATGGTGTGGACGAGACTAATGCCTAAGGGTGATTTGCCCGTCTGTTGTGATAAGATGGCCGGATGGGTCTACCAGGATAAGTGAGTATATGACTCAACAACGTGAACCAATCACACGTTCACCTAAACAAACAATGTCTGGGGTGGTGTTGACCTTGACTATTGATAAAAGTACTCATTCCTCCCATGTTATACTATGTTGTTGCATTAAGTTTTAGAAAAGAAAGCCACCTTAAATGTACTGATGTAAATTGTTGATTTCTGTTGAATGCTCCAACTTTTTTACAAAGTCAAACTGATAAACTACTGATTATAAGATATGCCAGGATTGTGTAAGTGAAAGTATGCCAAATTGTACTCTTTTATTGCATCTGGTACGTGTCATTGTGTAAGTATAGGAACACAACAATAACATTTCAATTTTAACCCATTTATACTGGAGTTTGTGTTTCTGATAGAATAATTATGTGGCTTTGCGTTATAAATAGCATTACTACGCTAAATACTTGGCAAATGTTTCTTTGAAGGCCCGAAGAAATATTTAAACAGGTTCTTCAGTGTAACCAAATACCCCGTAAAACTCTTCCTTGCATACTCTAAATTTCCTCTAAACTTTTCCTAATCCTCTTCTAAATCATGCGTAAGGTTCACCATTCAATTTTCTTTTTTTACTAACGGGATGCATCCAAGGTTTCCAATTAGGTATTGAGTACAACAGCAAGAAATCTAAATCATCACTGGAATATCGTCCTCCCCTTTATAAAAATCATGGCTGTAGCTCACTATGTTGTTACACGCCATTTTCACAGGACAAAAGTAGTAAAATCACGACGTGTAGGAGGGAAGGGGTAGTCCGCCTGCTTGTGGACTCCTACAGCCGTGTGCATTACAAAAAATCCGTCTTGCAGGAGTCTGTTGTCATGAGTCCATCTGTCACTTTGTGCGCCGCCCTTAAGTCTGATTATTTCAGAAAAAAATAAGAGCCTTGAAGTTATTGCACTTTTAAGTCACCTTGAAGTTAAGTGGTGGTATGATCTATTTTTTTTTAGAGTTGCACTTAAGATAGCAAACTGTCACAAGTGAATGAGCCACAATAACAGTTAAATGATAAGCACCGCCTTTCAAATGCTTCTTGAATGATATCATTTTAATTGGTGCTAGAATAATTGATATCATATTTTCTTTGTTTCAAAGTAGCTTCAAAAAGTTTAAAATTTTCCATAACAGTTTAATTAGTTTATATATTTTATTGAATACTGGCATAATCATATTGTGAAATACTATCTGAGTCTTGTATACACATTTTTTTCAGCTAAAGTACATGCAATAAACAAGAATGTGGAGTGGATAGATGTTGTGCAAAATATGACTCAGTATAATTTGTCTATTTTGAGTTTTTTTACTAGTTTAGTTTTCTCTAACAATGAGCGGTTGCACTTATAGTCATTTTCTCATCATGTTTGATAAATATGTTGGTAATTTAAGGTCTAATGTTGATTAGTTTGTCTACAATATTTTGCCTCGGCTTATCTTTTTATGTAAAACCCATGTCACAATCATTACAAGTAGGCCTACATTGACATTAATTAAGGATTTCAAGAAGAACTTTGTTGGCTTAAACCAATAACCTCTCTGCCTACCCTCCAAGTCATCATGAGTAATCGTCTCATTAGAAGTTTTACCTTGGTGGATAAAGTTCTGACCCAACAACCCTGAAGCATTCTATCTAGACCATTTCGTACTTAAGATGTATTTGCAAGCCATTGTTAACATAATCAAGATCTAAAGCAAATCAACTTGGTATTTTTTCCAGACTTTACTTCTTTGGTGGGTTCGGCCCTGTGCAGAGGTGTCGTTGTGAGTTTCAGATTGTTTTGGAGCCGACGTCAGAACTCTCACCCTGGCCGACGGGGTGGAACAACCAACTGGCTGTTTATAACGTATTGACGTAAGCTGTAAACCTATATTATTTTATTTTTAAATGGTTTTCTATAATAGGTCTTTGTAAAGGGTTTAATATTTTAATGCCAAATGTTGATTTGTAATGCCTACTAAGACCATTCTATACGGGTGTTTTGAATGCTAAAAGAGCATTGTCTACTGTCATGATTGCTATTTCAAAGTGTCCGTTTCTTATTGAAATAAAATGAAATGAATAAGTGCTTTATTCAACAATAAAGTAATATCTACAATCTACATCCAAAAACATAACACTTTGAAACAATGGTTGATTACAACCGTCTGTTTGGTTGGCACAATTTTTTGCCTTCTAAAATGAATATGAGTCTAACAACATTTAGCAGAAAAAGAAATGAAGATTTTTCTATACAATAAATAAAATAATAATAAATCACAATTAGCGTACTCAATTTACAACAAAACATAATTACAGAATTAAGGATATCAGATAAAAGTAAACGTGTTTCAAGGTTTTTTTTCATTTACCCAAAATTTGGAAGTTAAACTCGACTATAAGTTCCCGTCTATATTTCCAAGCTTCCGTAAGGTAGTTTGTAAAGACACGCCAATCCTTCCCGTTCAGATATTGATAATATTCAGCTTCACTCAAAATGTTGCTTCCTAACCAAGACCTTCTAACTTTACCCAAAATTGGACAGACAGCAATGAAGTGAAAGATAGTTTTATACTCTTCAAGATTACATAATGAGCAAATAAAATTTTGTTAGGTCCAGGGTTTATAATTTAAATTTACCAACTCTGCCCTAGCTTTAATCACCCAAGAAATTAGTTCCACTTCGCTGAAGGCAAGTAGGCTCTTAGTTCAAGGTCAACTCGCAATAGTCGTTTGTGATAAACAGATGTCCTAGCTCGGCTTACACATTCATCCTTCCACTTATTTTAATTGCTTCTGCCAGCGATCCAAACTGTTTCGCCAATGCGCTGACATCCTGAGTTTAAAAATTTATTGCTCCCAATGTCTGCACCAAAATATATGTTTTTCAATAATCTGATTTGCTAATATTCTAGGCAATCTATTATTAGGCAAAGATAACACTCCAACTATATAATTTATATTTGTTCTTAAAGTATGGAAACAATCTATCAGCACCTGTCTCTATATATAATTAGGAGTATTAGAAGGCAATCTGAACAATATTTTTATAAACAGATTTGGACGGACACGACAATTTCACTATCTATAAAATCGCACACTTGCGCCCCGTAACAAATTATAGCCTTAACTATTGACTCAAAGCAAACAGTTATGGAAGATATTGGCACATTTTTATTAGTTATCAGTTTTCTTATAGCAAAATAATAATTTTATCAATTTTGTATTGTTTACAGAAATAGTTGGGAGTGGCCTAGATGTAGAGGAACTATTCCAGCTCCTAGAGCCGCACACGCAGCCGCCATATCAAAGAATAAGGTTGGTCCACCTTAAGCTTTAAAATAAATGTGATATTATTTTTACGGTACCACTGTCAGGGAGCAATTTTCTGATCATAGCAGTGGCATGAAACAAATTTTATTAGACTTGACTATACATGTATGTGTGTATATTTTGTCTGATTAGTATCTCTTTCTTTAATTGATAGTAAATGAGTTAAATAAATGGATATCCTTTTCCTGGTTTTGGCAATATGGGCTCTTCACCTCCTCCCATCCCTTCACAGTTGACTCTTCCTACACCTTTATGTAACTATTGTCTTGTCTGTCTCCTGTCCTCTATCACTATCAACTCAATTATCTTAGGAATTATCCCTTCTCACCTGTCCGAAGCATCTTAGGCCCCTTTCATACTATGTGGTGCACGCCGCAAATTAGTGTGATGGCAGTGACAGTGTTGGGAGTGTCAGGCTTACCAACATTAGGATTTCTAACACCTTTAAAAGTTATTTGTAGTGATTATGTTTATTTCAAAGTGTATAAAATATTTTATGTCAATATTTTAGTCATTATTATGGTTTAAAAACTCAATAAACTTAATGGTGCAGGTTTGTTTTGGGGACGGTTTCGTTTTGATTATGTTGATAACACTTGACAACGACAGTCTTTCTTTTTCCATCCTTCCTCTTTAGCTATTCTCAACTACAGTCTCAGTCCTCGGATCTCCTAATTCCTAACCCTAACCTAGAATCTATGTAAAGATAGTATATTTATGATTCATCAATGTGTTTTATGTTACAGGTCTATGTTTTTGGAGGCCGCCTTAGACTGATTAGAAACAATGAACTTCACTGCCTGGACTTGGACACCCTTACATGGAGTGGCAAGTAAGGAATAACAATACATCTTAACTTCCAATGGAATATTTCATACAATTTTACTGCATTAACACTATTGAGATTATTTTAAAGAGAATATTAAGAGGCGGGTTAGGAATTATTTAGAAAAGACAGTTTGATGAGTAATTAAGTTTAGCTAGCTCACTTGAGAAAAAAAGTTTCCAGAGGCTAATAGACATGCAAATAAAAGATTAAAAACATATCAAAGACATATTGTCCTAATACAGGACTTCTTTATAGAATAGGTCAAAGAGATAATGATCTGCAAATTCATTAAATAATTTACTGAGGTTATTATTTTATTTTTGTTTCTGCAATATTGGCATATTTTACGTTGTTTGTGAGGAAACGGTTCAACTCTGGTCTCTATTATGTCAGGAATCCTTACGGTTGGATCCCTCAAAACCACAACCGTTTTACACAGTCTTTGTGTTTTATGTCTGCATATTTCTTACACTCCTTTCCCTGCCTTTGTATCCTATCATGGTTATAAATTATAGGCTAGTATACTTTGTTTCTTGCTAATGGCTTGTTCTATTTTGTTGAGAACAGCAATGTGTAGCTATTTGTCCGTGTTTACAGCCTGACAGGCGCCTCCAAGAGTGAGTGTGGCGTTCCGGAAGGTCGTACTTGGCACACACTAACGTTCATCTCTGACGAGCGAGCTGTCCTTTATGGTGGACTGAGTCAGTACAACGCCGTATTGAGTGAGTTGCAGTCATCAAAATTACCACTGTATTACGGTTAGGTGTTGAATTTAGTATGATTGTGCCTGGTCAAAGTCGATAGTTAACGTAAATCTATTAAGTATACTATCGGGGGAGCGAGCTGGTCTAGTGGTTAGAGCGCGGGACTCCGGTTCCTAGGGTCCCGGGTTCAAATCCCGCCAAATCACCAATGGATTTTATCTAAGTGATAATGCCGTAACCCCTAGGTCTAGCCTGAAGTAATGTGAAAAACAATTCCGGGCTCGTGCCTAGCGTCCTAGGACAAAAAAAAAATCAAGTAGGCCTATACTATCATCTTAAAAATTACCACTAGTAGCCTATACGGTAAGTGTTATGTTAGTATGATTAGTGTTGAAAGACATATTTTATTCTATCCATATGATAGTACAAACACATATAATGCTAATCAGAAGTTTTTTTTTGGTTCAAAACAATTAAGTTCTGCTCATGCCTCGCCACGGTGAGAGAATGCAGAGAAGATATGGTGATTATTTACTGCCTCTTCCAAAGCAAACTGCAGAATGATTGAGCGCTTGTTTTTCATGCTAATTAATTTTATCAATGTAGGGCCTACATGACATGAGGAAAATACTCTACAGATGTGTTTTTTTCCCAGTTGGGACATATAAGGGTCCGTCCAAACTCTATAGTTCTTGTCACTTAAATAATACACAACATTTGTCTGCAACATAGATTTGCTGTGATATATAATACTGAAATAATAAGTAACGAATTGAAACAGAATTCAAAGGTTTGAACACTATCATACATTATGCGAAAAACGTACTTACACTTCCCTTGATGCAATATAAATCTGTGGTAGAATCAATCTATGGAATCTATGGTATGGTTAACTCATGGAAAAGTAAACAAACAAACTAAAAAAACAAATCTAACAGCTGATGTATCTTAATGGTTTTAATGTAATTAAATACAGCCCTTTAACTAAAGTTCCTGTCTTAGGAAAGGGTTTATAAAAAAACTGAGATTTTTCGGGGAATTTTCACATTAAGATCTTTTGTTGAAGTATGCAGTTGATAGGTGTACGGCTTACAGTTATTTCAAAAGTTCAAATCCATCCTAGCTTTATATATAGATTTGTGATTTTATCACAATTTTTTGTTATATTCTTGTCAGTGTCACTTAATTCTCCTAATCATTTCTCCAACTGTGAAGTTTTGTTGTTGTTGTTAAAATGGAAATTATGGCAACAATTTTCATTATTTTAAATATAAATAGTGTACAATCATCATTACCTTTTTAACACTCATTAAGCATCATACATCAGCTGTTAGGCAGCCATTAACACTTGAAACTGACAGGTGATTGCTGGACCTTGGAAGTGAGCAGTACGTCGGCACGATGGCACAAACGGAACGACTGCCGCCCACTACTCTGGCATCGAGCAATATTCTCCCGCGACACCAACGAACTGCTGATACAGGGCGGACTCAAACGGTCCATTGTTGCCACGGTTACATGGAGAGTGAGTCTATTGTTGGAGAGAAAACTTGTCTCGGAAAACCAAAGTTTCAGTTTACGTCAACAAAAGAAGGGTTGTTTTATTTCTTGTCTTTTGTTGTTTTTACCTTCCTTGGTGAATTCCTTAGATTTTTTCATTTGTTTATCACTGTTAGTGTTAGGAGACTGATTGTTGTAGAGGTCAAAGAACCTTAACATATTCAATCAATTTTTCTTGCAAATGGTCCTAATTATACATCATAATCAATTTGCTCCTTTCACTATATATCAATTATTATTTATATTTTGATTTTTCCCTTTGCAAGAAAAGTTTTTTTTTTATTTTGAGAGGTTCCCAAGGATTCTGAGTCACCTGAAAATCTGCTGCCTACAATTATAAACTGTTTACCTAGTCTTCTTTGTTAATCACATTTTTATACCTAAACAATTAATTGTTGGCTTGTACAGTGGGTATTAAGTATCTATTTGTTTAGTCCCATATGTTATCATGCTAAGGTGCATTTTCTGTGTCAGTTCTCAAGTAGCATTAATCCCTTTACCAATTTTCCAAACCATAATTTTCATGTTAAAAACATTCAAACACTTTCAACACATTACTCACTAGAATTGGTTTTAAGACTTGAAGCTGAATGATATGTCAGTAAAAGTGTATGTCTGTCAAATTTAAACTAATTGTTTTAAACCTTGTTTGTTTTTGCCCAGCCTGACATATTTTCCTTGTCCAGATGATTGTTGGCAAATGATCGTTGAGGACGACCGAGTTCGTTGGGTTGAGCACGAGCTACGGTACGACCACGGGGAACCTCGGTGTGACCACGTCGCATGTTACTTTGAGCCAAATCTCATTCTCCACTCGGGTCTTACGCAGCCGTTTTACAACACTCGTCTTTTCCTCGCTGTAAACTGAGCCTTTGGTTTTCTGATTAACACTGTGTGATGTCTGTGCCCAGTGGTTTACTAGCTGTCTTGCCTTTAATGCTTTGACTAACATGTTTCACTGTTAACTAATTGTAAATAAGCAGCCATACAAACATAAATGGCTTTTAGGCCTCGCCTATAGCTTAGAAACAAAGCATTATTTGCCCAAAAACATTAAGCCCTGAGAAATTTTTCCACAGAATTTATTCATAGTACATACGCTCATAAAAAATTACAGAGTTTTCAAACTTTATTTTTGGTAGAGTTGACTTTTTAATGTGTTTGAATTCTGTGCAATGTTTTATAGTTGAAGGTATATAAATGTTTGAATTTGCTATGGTGTGAAAATAATATCACTATTCACTACTACATTTAAACTTTACCAAGAGTTTGTCAACATTTGTTGTTAGGTGTAGTGATTAAACTCTTTGTTTTTTCCAGTTTGTTTTGTGGCTTCAATATTTTACATCATAGGTGTTGACTTGAGTGCAAAACGTTTGACCTGCAGACGAAGGTTCAGATCCAAATAATCACTCATTGTTTTTTGTAATTGATAGAACTTTTATAACAGTAGAACCCCTCGTATTTGACCATGGCGGGATTAGATATTGAGAGGAGCAAAAAACTATTTTTTTTCTATGATTTACTCACATAGACAATGTTTGCAATTTAACGTGAATGCTGAAAACGTTCTCGATTTCACGGTACACGCAGATCATCAGGCTGATAAAAATGTCATGTCACTCAAGTTGAGGTCGTCGGTAAACATAAAAACACACTCATACAACACGAAACACGAAAATACGGAATAACATTGCTAGCTACTGGCCAGTACAGGACACTACGACGCGGCACGGGTAGTTGCGTGGTCATGACTCTATGACTCACCTACAAAACCTAAAACCTAACTCATGAAAAATCGGATTAAAAAAAACTACATGGCCAATTTTGATTCAAATTGTGTGCATGTTAAAAATCCAACTCATTTAAATGAAAACTAAACTAACAAATAGTTTGCTACTAGAGTTTTAAAGGAAAATTGTCCATTTAAATTGGGTTAAAAGTTTGATTCAAACGCTTAAATTCCCATAAATTTAAAGAAGTGTAGGGGGCACCCCTTCCCTCCCCGCATTATAAACATAACTATGGGTTAGCCCCCAGACCTTCCGGCATGGGTTAAACAACGAATTTGGGGGGGATTCTGCGACGTGAGCTTTGGGGGGGATGGGCACCCCTGGAAACCGGTCGCATAAGACGACAACAATCGGATCACTGACGGACAGGTAATATAAACCATTTTTATGCAGATTATAATCAGGTTTTCCCAGTGAAATTGAAAACTCCCGCATTATTCACGACTCATTGTCGTAAAGAAAGGCTGGTAAGTGGACTTTCAAGTCAAATTAAAATTAAAATGGTTTATTCAGCCATTAAACACTACAGTAATAGGCTTTGTCTAATATACATAATTCAATTAGGTTAAATAAAAATACAATACATCAGAGTTTGGTTAGCAATAAAATCTAACCATGCCAATAGTCTGAACTTGTTCTGCATTATCGCCCTAGATAGGAAACAAATATGTCGGACACTAATTCGGATATCCCGAAGAGTCGGTTATAACAAAGTGGATATGAGGGCAGCTACTGTATGTTAAGTTTCAAAGCATATCTTAAACAGTAATTCCACTTAGTTAATTCCTCCAAGGGCGATAGGTCCACCACTGAGACATGATGATTCCATGGTAGAAGAGAGAGTTACTTCCCCCTGTTGTAGTAGCCTAACCTGCCTCCCTAAACCTTCTGCTTGTGGTACTTTGACGACCTCACCCAAATAAAATCTGCCACATTCATCCCACCTGCAACAACAGTTTTTGCTCCAGATGATTCTGTGTTCCAGATTGTTTAACAATTAGCGAGGATCATACCCTCTGTTCGGATTTTGAATTAAAGTGTCATTGCAAGCAAAACATTGAAGTTAGGATTTTATAGTATTTGCCTACTATTGTATGTTTTTGTAATCATTTTCCAATATTGTTTCAGGACCATGCGTATGAACTGCTGATACTGCCATTTGCACCTAAATCACTTTTTAGGTAAGTTTCACATAGCTCAGCACGCATAGCTGTCTAAGAGACCGGGTTTGTACTTTTTTGTGTAAAAATTATATTTGTTGGTTGTCGATATTGTCAGCCTTTACTGTGCACAACACACCACATTCCAAGAACACTGTGACCTACTTTTTGCCATCCTTCGCCTCCTCATTTCAGTCTAGTGACAGCTTTTTGTCATGTGCTGGTCGATTCCACCAGTTAACTGACTTAGTGGGCTTCCTTGCACTGATTATAGCACACCAAGTAGCTAATTGCTGCATTTACTTATTTTTGCCACACTCACTTTTTTTTGCTCTCCAGTATTCCAATCAAACAACACAAAACAGTGTAATTTTATTAGGCACGTAATACAAGTACGCTTGAAAATAAGTTTAATGTTTAAAATAAGGCAACACTTGCTACAACTAAATACTACGACTACAATCAGATGGTGCAGCATTCCTCATTTCCTTCAACCCTTGTGTTGGGGGCGTAATGGGTGAAAATGAAAATAATTAATAACTCGAAGGACCAGAACTAATTAATAGTTCAAGAGAAAAATAATTAAATTATAGAAAATGGCGAATCTGCAATTTGAAGGGCACTGAGGTCCCGAGATGGAATAAAATGTCTTGTGAGGGGCAAATGAGATTAGTTTTAGAGTCTAATTAAAACACACACAAAACTTTAAGGTTGTACCTTGAGTCCAATTATCCAAAGGTGGAGAGTATGGCAGCGGCGTCGTCTATGGTGGAGCGATGGCGGATGGCGGAGTCCTTAGACCGAGTGCTTCTGTTTTGTAGAATTTTGGAGAACGCAACGCACCCAAGTTCATGATCACAAAGAGCTCACTAATACGCGGAAGTCGCGGTGAAAACGTACGGAAAGTCTAGAAGTAATACACGGACGCGCACACACTGTCTTGAGGTTTGATTGGTTTGAAGAGTCTGAAAGCACTAGATCACAATTTAAGTAATTTAATCACAAACAAAAGGGGGAAATTAAAATGTATATATAGTTAAATGTACTATAGAGGAGAGGGAGGCCAGATATAATTAATCTATAGCCTAAAAATACGTTTAAGAGAGGTAAAATGGGCAATTAATGTCCCGAGATACGAGAAACGGAATACACCGTGAGTTATGGACGCCGACCGTGGACAGACAGACGCCGATCGCCGGCTTCACACTTTGAAAAATGCAATTGCGGTTTAGAGGGGTCTAGGAATTCGATGGCCAATAGGAAATGCGATTGAAGCAAACACGGCGTCAGGTGATTCATGGGTATGTAGTACAGGAAAATAGGCCTTACTGTGGCGGGAAATTCGAGCAGGCTTAGCAATCTCATTTGAATATTGAAAGCGGGAGTCTATTTACAATAAATTGTTACTGAGACTAAATAATATTACAATAAATGTGGTGATTTATATACACATTAGCATGATTAATTAACCAGTGACTTAATTAACATAATGATTAATTTCTAAATACTCTAAAAATATGAATACCGAACATTCCGGCCCCCTTGAAGCATTACAGCTTCAACAGACAATTAATTAAAAAACACAAGAGCAAACGTAAACCACACTTAAATCTAATATGTACATAGAGTAGGTTTCTTGGACTTAGTCTTCATTGCATGGCAGAGGGAAGACCTTGTGAACAGGCCGTGTGAAAGTCCCAGAAGCTGTCTTCACTGTGACGACTCGAACTGTTCCATCAGCGCCAGGGTGAGTGGAGACGATGCGTCCAAGAGGCCAGGTGAGTGGAGGTGAATTGGAGTGAATGAGCACCAAGTCTCCGGTCTTCAAATTCTCATGAGGGGTGGTCCACTTGGATCGCTGCTGGAGGGAGTGGAGATATTCAAGCTGCCAACGCCTCCAGATACGCTGGTGAAAAGCCTGGACAAGCTGCCACTGACGAAGACGATTGAAGGGCACTTCAGACAGGTGAGGTTCCGGCAGGGCAACTAATGGAGCTCCGATGAGGAAATGTCCAGGGGTCAGCACAGAAATTTCGGAAGGGTCTGAACTAAGAGCTGTAAGAGGGCGCGAGTTTAGCATTGCCTCTACTTGAATGGACAAAGTTTGAAATTGGGTTAAAGTTAAAATGGTTTCACCAATTACCCGTTTCAGATGGTATTTTGCACTTTTAACGGCACTTTCCCATAAGCCACCTTGATGAGGTGCAGAGGGGGGGTTGAAATGGAAGTTAATTCCTTTGGGGGTGGTGAAATGAACAATTTTGTCCTGCGAATCAGGTGTAAGGATGGTTTCACGGATTACCTTGCGTAATTCCGAGTTTGCACCAACAAAGTTGGTTCCGCAGTCAGAATACAGATCGGAACAGAGTCCGCGTCTCGACACAAAACGTGTGAGAGCGGCAATGAAGCCTGAGGTGGTAAGATCGGTGACTACCTCTATATGAATAGCTTTGGTAGCCATGCAGATAAAAATACACAAATAGACCTTAATCTGTCTAAGAGCTTTGAGACTGCAAACGCGAACACTAAATGGTCCGGCGTAATCTACGCCTGTAGATGAGAATGGACGAGTAGGATTGACCCGATGAGCAGGTAAATCACCCATTAGAGGGATTTTGTTTCGTGGTTTATTTTTAAAGCACACAAGACACTTAAATATGCGCGAGCGGATAACGCTCCTGGCCGATAGAATCCACACTTTTCGGGCGAGTAGTGATTGAGTTAGTTGCGGACCTGAGTGCAAGTGTACCTGGTGGTAAAAGTCTATAAGCAAATTCACTACAGTATGAGACTTGGGTAGAACAATAGGGTGACGTATGTCATGAGCAAGCGAACAATGTGACAATCGGCCACCGACGCGTATGAGGCCATTAGGGTCGAGGAAGGGGGTGAGTTTCTGTAATTGTGCAGAACATATTGAGCCTTTGTTCAATAATTTAATATCCGCACTGAAATGGAGTTTTTGCACTAGTTTAAAAATTGTCACTTCCGCTAGATTTAATTCACTGAGTTTTAAGTGTCCAGAGAGTTTGTTTTTAGACCTGGAATAGTTTATGAATCGTAGTACATAAGCTAGCACACGGGTTAGTTTCAACCAAGATGAATATTTAGACAATAAGTCCCATTCCGAAGGGGCGACTGTTGCACTAAGTACACTAAGAGGAGTTTCTTTAATTTCGTCCGTGGGAGTGAGTTCAGACGGCGAAAAACATGAGGGGGGCCAGTTGGCCGCAGGGAGCTGTAACCATGGTGGGCCAGTCCACCATAAGGGATGGTCAATGAGAGATGAGGCTAGAATTCCTCGTGAGGCACAATCAGCGGGGTTTTCCGTCCCTTTTATGTGCCGCCACTGATAACTGGGAATGATTTCTTGCACTTGGGCTACACGATTAGCCACAAAGGTCTTTAGTCTGTATGGAGGGGTTTGTAGCCAAGTAAGAACTACAGATGAGTCACTCCACAATACAGTGGTATTCATAGTAAGAGAGTTAAATTGTTTTTCACAATAATGCACTAGTTTTGATAAGAGGTGAGCTGCACACAATTCCAAGCGGGGTAAAGTTACCTTTTTTAACGGGGCAACACGAGTCTTAGACAATATTTGTTTCACAATGACTGTTTTGTCACTAAATTCACACCGGAAATACACTACAGCGGCATAACCGCATTCCGATGCATCACAGAAACCGTGAAGCTCGATTTTAGATGAGTGGGCGAGCGGAAATGCTCGGGGGATCTTAATTTGACCGAGGTGGTCTTTAGTGTTACTAGTGAACACATGCCACTTATGTGCGAGATCAGAAGGGAGAGGGTCGTCCCAATCAAGACCTTGAGTCCATAGTAATTGCATGAAGCATTTTGCTACCATGATTAATGGGGACAAAAATCCACAGGGGTCATATAGTTTGGCAATAAAGCTGAGCACGGAGCGCTTTGTCAGCTTTTCAGACGGGGGGTTGAAAGCGTAACAGAAACAGTCTTCTTCAGGAGACCAATGGAGACCTAGGATGGAGTACTGGGGAAGCTGAGCGTCTTGCAGGAAACTTGGAGTCTCTAGATGTTCCGAAGGAAATTTTTCTAGAAGAGCAGAGGAGTTGGAGGCCCACTTGCGAAGTTCAAAGCCACCACGATGTAGAAGTTGGATAAGTTGGTCCTGTAGTTCAAGAGCAGCCTCAACGGAGTCAGCACCCGTGATAATGTCGTCCACGTAGGTGTGATGACGTAGAGAGTGAGAAGCCTGAGGGAAGGCATCACCTTCGTCTTCCGCTAACTGCATTAAAGTTTTAATAGCAAGGTAGGGGGAGCTGTTCATGCCGTAGGTGACGGTAGTAAGTTGAAACGTAGAGATTTCCTTTGAAGGGTCGTCACGCCACAGAATCAGTTGAAACTTTTGATCGTCAGGGTGCACTTGTATTTGGCGGTACATTTGCCGAATGTCACATGAAAACACAATTTTATGAGAGCGGAAGTTCAAAATTACGTCACAAATGTCAGTTTGTAATTTACGTCCTGTCAAAAGAATATCGTTTAAGGAGTGACCGGAACTGGTTTTGCTACTGGCGTCAAACACTGTCCTTAAATTGGTCGTGCTAGAGTCCTTCAGTACCCCATGATGAGGTAGGAAGTAGTGTGGGTGTATGTCTTCAACAAAATCTAGTTTTGTCATATGGCCGAGAGTTTGATATTCAGACATGAACGTCTTATACAAGTGTGAAAAATGGGGTTGAGCTTTAAATTTCTGCTCAATAGACAACAAGCGCTTTTCAGCAATGGGCCTAGATTGGCCTAGAATGGAGGGGTCCGTCTTGAACGGAAGTCGCACAACATAACGACCTGATTGATCACGAGAGTGTGATTTTTTATAGTATTCATCACAAAGAAGCTCTTCCTGTGACTTAACCTGGAAGTGAGGGGGTTCCTCCTGTTGCCAAAAACGTTGCAGGGAAGAGTGTAGTGAATTATCACTAACAGAGAGAAGAGAGATCGCAAAACCTGACACGGGTTCCGAGTTAGTTGCACAG